AGTCTCATCTGCCAAGGCTGAGACTCGTGCAGAAGTCTCACATGCCAAGACTGAGACTCGTGCAGAAGTCTCACATGCCAAGACTGAGACTGCCACTTGGCATTGCTTGGCAATGACCCATGTTACCCTGGCTGTACTGACAAGTACGCCGTAACAATCCTTTAGTACCTAGTACTTTATTACTTTGCCCTTTTTACTTTTAAGCTCGTGCTGGATCTGTACTTTCTAACGAAACAGAAGTCCGCTTAAGAGAACTGAGAACCAGAGCGCAATTGACCATGGGAGAGCGGACTGCAGTATCGGGCCCGGACTTTGCACATGGCTTACGAAAATATCGTCGAGCTTGCATTTGTCGATCTTTCGTCCGGAATGCCCTCCGACCCCAAGCTTTCCTTTCCAGCTCTATCCGCTTAAGCGAGGAAGCACCCAGAAATCAGAGTATACCATTCTACTATTAGGAGGTTGAATCCCGGGATAAGGCAGTGGTATTTAACGAATTTGGCATTCGTCGCGGCCGGATTCGAGCGGGGAACAAGCATCACTTAGCAGCCAAACCGGAGCACCTACAGAATAACAAGTCAATAGGACTATATACGTCGTGGAGCATTTCCCGATCGGGTTTTCTCAGCCTCGCTAGGTCATCCACGCCAGGTTTAACATGCGTTCAGCTTTTGTCCGAGGAACGATGCCTCTGCGGGGCAACAAAGGCAATCTTCGTTTGTTCGACCCTCCTTTTCATGTTCAGTCTAAGTTCTGAGCCAGAACGATTAGACTGAATCTCAGATCGCCGCCTCCAGCAGCGGCCTCGCGTCTCAAAAATGCGCGAACACCTAGCTCCAACGCCTTCTCCCCCAAGACGTCCTCTCCTTCGGGTAGCTGACCACGGTCAAGCGGGCCTTTTCTACGACCATCCATCTCCCACAAGTGGTTGTCCTCTGTCTTGACGAAACAAACAAAATGCAGGTCGACGTTGTTGTCTGCCGCTGGCGCTGCCGTGTCACCGATCGTTGCAGCGCTTCTGTGTGCAGACTCGAGAGCCTGAGACTCGTAAAGCAGATCAGCGCGCTCAGATGGCTTAAGTGGGATTGCCTTCTTCAGCAAGTCGTGCAGATCTGAATCCTTTTTGATAAACGACCGGACAACCCCATTGCTCACCGCATGGAGGAGGCCAATAAGACCACATGCGTTGCCAATGGTCTGTTTGTACCAGACGACAGGCTCATTTTCGCCCGAGCCGTCGTACTCTGGCCTGTTTTGATCCTCTTCTCTCCGGAACTTCTCGTATGTATCGGTAACGGGAAAGATCAGCAAGAGGGCGTGCGCCGGGCGGGGGACGAATTCAAGAAGAGAGGGTTCGTCGATGCTCCACACATCCTGGAAGCTGAGATCCTGGGACAAGCCAAGCTTGTACATCAGCGAGTTCATGACGTCTGGGTTATTTTCTGCCAAAACATCAGTTAACACATAGCTCGTCCTCTCGATACTTGTGGAGAGCAGTGCCACGCACCGAGCGGAATGAAACGCTTTCTCGACGGAGGGACATCTGGACTATCCATCTTGTGGTGCTCGGCGTTCTCGTGTTCGGTCGAGACCATGGTCACATAATCTCGAGCGCGGATGGATGCAGAGAAACAACCGAGTTATATAGCGCGCCTGTGTCAGAAAAAGATCTGGCAGGGCGTAGGCAGTTGCAGGCAGCCAGACCCACGCACCGTGAGCCGCAGGCACAGGCAAGCGGATGACGTCCTGCCCCGCGCCGGACCCCCCTGCAGACAGGACGCCCCCTCGCCAAGCGTGGCGGCACCTCAACGCGCTTTGGGTCTGCCAGGCAAAGCACAACGTCTTGCCCCTCCACATTGTTCGATTGCTCTGTCCGTGATACAAAGTCATGCACAGAAACGCCTGCCAACGGCAACCAGAGCCCTGCTCCTTGAAGCATGAGAGTCTAATCACCATCTGTCTGCAGCCGTCGCTGCAAATAATCACTGCATCCCAGGAGCACTCTACTATCCGGCCCTATGAAAGAACATCGTTGGCCAACCCTTCGACAGCGGGCGGATAGAGTAAGTTGTCAGACTAAAATGCTGTATTAAGGATCGATTCAAGTAAATTACGTCGTGCTTTTGCTGTGCATACACGGTCTCAAGCTGAACACGTCCGCTTTTGTCAGGATTCTGTTGTTACAACGTGGGTGTGCCTACCATTCCCCCAAGCTTTCACTCTATATAATGCAGTTCCCGTCTTTTAACTTTTGTCCTGCACAGAGTTTGTAATACATGCCGCGAGATCCTTCATCTCCGACTTTCGTCCATCTTCGCATCAGCGATGTGGTGATATGGTCGTTTCGCGCAAGGTCGTCACATAGTGGCCATTCAAGGATTCGCCTCTCCGGCAGCGTATTTTTCGATGTCAACGTCGCGTGATTTAGGGTCGCTGGCATGGTTTTGCAAAGAGCCTGCGTCTGACGAGCCGGCAGTTTTCGATATGCTAGTCCTTGGCTCAGAAGCAGGCTCCACTTCGTCGGATGCAACGCGTTGCTTGCTGGTAGCGGCGGCCGCGGCCTTTTGATAATTTTTGTGTTGCTTTGCCCCGTCTGGGATGTGGAATCTCTTATCGACACGACTGATTGCGTATAGGTAAACGGTAAGAACCTCGATGGTGAAATTGACAATGTAGAAGGGGGCTTTGCCAAGTATTTTCGGCAGTGGCCGAGTCTGCGGAACAGGTGTCAACCACGTTGTGCCAGCGCGGTAAGACGCACCGAAGCAGACAAGAATGGTTCCGACGAATAAAATAGAGACTTTGTAGCGCCATCGGCCTTTTCCAAACTTGTCAAGTGGTCGGTCGTTGCTCCGAGGAATCACAGTTGCAGCCAGCGTCAAAGGAATCGGCAGGAACGAGATGATTGCAAAAGTGGTGACTCCGTAAAGTAATATGTCTCTGTCGATCTTGTGGGTGTGAGTGCTTAAGGTGTAGAAGGACTGTACGACGACAATAATGACCATGATAATGGTCAGCACGATCAAGGCGTAGACGAATTTGAACAACGCGCCGACGAACGGGTGCCAGCCAACACGCGGGTGCGAGCTCCGGATCAAGCGCTGCGCAAAGACTAGGTTGACGATGAAGAGGATGACGACGCCGGCGGCTGTAAAAATCTGTGCAGCTATCGCGAGGGACAGATCGGTTGGCAGCGAGGCAGAGGCGATGCGCATGATACAAGTGACGATCCGCGCCATACAGAAACCGAAGATGAGCGCCGAGAAGAAGAAGCGGTGGTTCCGTCTCCGGTTGATCTGAAAGATGCTCATGTGGTACGCAGCACCACCGATGAAGAGGGCCAGGAAGACTGCCGTGATGGGTATATCAACATGCTTTTCCAGCCTTCCACCCAGCGACCATGTCTGTGGAAGATATGGCCCTGATTTTTTCTGCACGAAGTTAGTATCTGCAGCTCAATGTGATTTTGAAGTTTGAGTCTTCTCTTCAGCCTCGAATCCAAGCGCACGGTCGAAGGACTTCACCCCAAAAAAAGATAAGGAGGGAGGGACGAAATTCATGGGAATAAGGCATACCTGTGGCTCCATCTCTGTGATGCTCCTCAACTCGTCACCGAGCCAAATGGAGGACGTTCTGTCTTGCTCGAAGATGATTCTAGCAGACGGGAGTTGTGCGAAAGTCAATGGTGCGATGGAATGAACCAGAGCTGTAGCAGGCTCGGGTGGACTAGAGAAAGAGAATTTGGCGGAGCAACTCCAGTGTCTTTGTGAAATGGACTTATGCCAACCGCGTATGTGTGAACATAGGCATCATGGGCGAGGCAGCGAACGTCGTTATATTCTTCCGCAAGGACGGAGCAATGGTGTCTCCGTTGAAGAGAAGTAATTGCGTTTGCCTCTTAAGTTAGCCACTTGCATCCTTCGCTAAGAACAGCCTGCTGGAGCTTGAGCAAAGCCGATACGCGCTCGGTCTTTTTGGTCTAGGCCGAGCGTCCGACGATCGTGGTCACCCGACAATCTGAAGTGTCCAAGACGCGGAACCAGCACCATTCGCAAGGAAAAAGACGGGCGGGAAAAGGAAATCAAACCAAGCAAACCACAACTGATCCCTACACTCAAGATTCACGGTACATGCGAGAGCTTGGGTTGAACTTGTTCGTACATTGTACTTGGATGATCCGTACGGCACCATGCTCTCGAACATGACCTCAACCAAAACACAGATCAGGACGTTGCTTGCACTTTCGGCTGCGACAGCTTGAGGTATGTCGCGAGTGTGACAACGGTAGGCAATCGGCCCCGACGCAACGCAGTTTTTGACATCATCGGCTGCCTTTTTGCAGCACTTGCTGACGCTTTATTGGTCCGCATCCTCGTTCGTCGGAATGAACCCGGCCGCGAATGGAAGATGCTCGGGCTCGTTCCGAACCTCCTCCTCTAATGTCGGTGCGGCGAACTTGTTTGGCAAATCTCCCGCGACTGCGTCTAGACCGTCAGCTTTGCACGACTACCTGACAAAATAGACCATTCGATACCTGTGGAGCGTCAAGACATGTTTGGAGAGCGACTTTGCTTCCGGACAAGATTACCTCACCAGCTACCTGGTGCCCTGGCATTGTGTGTGTCTATCGTCGGTTCTTCTATCAACATCTCAGAGTGCTGAGTTTTTCAGTTGATCTCTCATCGCTATCCTGGCCTTAAAGATGGCTGAATAATCCCTAGGATCGATCGTTCTACCTATTCGTGTTGATTTACTTACATTTCTTCTGTACTACGAGAACATCTCTTACCTGCCTGCAAAAGGACGACCTAATTATAGTCAGCTCACGCGCACGTGATAATCCCGTTCTCCGATTGAGACTGCATCTCTACGGCTTTTGCCAAAACACTTGCAGCATTTTGACGGTAGCCAAGGGTTCATTAGTCTGAAGAGGAGCAACCAGCCTTGCGCATCAGCTATAGCTTGGCAGCGGATTGACCCGTCTAGCAACGATGCATCAACGAGATGAACCGCAACCTTTACGGCGCTGATTTCCCTAGGATGGGTTGATTTGTTCATATTCATATTCAATCAATCGACAAAAACGATCTCTAGCTATATGTCCGATGTCCTCCTTCGAAGGGAAAGGCTCACTGCCGAGATCAACATTGTGTGTTCCTTTGGCATTGATAGAGCTCAGTAGAGGTTGCATGGCGCAATAGATTGAACGTGTCTGATGGCACCAGCGGTAACTCAAACTTTGGGGAGTGAGCGAACTTCGCAAACAGCGACTCGCGTCTCGAGTCGAACTAGTTTAGAGCGTGAATTGAAGCTATAGCTTGTGGACGTGTCGAAATTGGAGCAACGAGGATCAGTTCAGATGCTCTCGATACGAAGGCGTCACCGCAAGCAGGAGCAGCTAAGAAAAATCGTTCTACAACACCTGAGCAGCACTCGTACGAATCAGTTCTTTATCAACCCGTTGTCTTGGCCGCTCACTCAACGGCCTGGTTTCTGATTTTGATTCAACGGTGGGAGTCCGTTCCGTTGATAGACCCATCCGTCTTTGTTCAGTAGCGTCGCATCGCCGAGATGCTTGACACATTGAGTCCTTGAAAAGCATTGTGATATCTTCGGGCACAAAAATCCATCTCGCTCTGGGCCCCACCTGTCCGTTCCTTGCCCACATCCATTTTCTGCCAGCACCGACGGAGCACTGTAACCCAAGCACAGAAATGGCCTTTCAGCACTGCGGCCCGTACATGAGTATGTTGGAGAGACATGGTAAGCTTTTGCTCACATGGGAAGCGATATGATATCCTGATTCTGATAGATCTTTAGGCGCAGGATCCAAGACGAGTGATCTTCGAAAGGATGAACCACCTTCATGTCTGGCATGATTTATACGTGCAGAGAGCATCGTTAGCAGTGATTCACACTATAAGTGACAGCTTCACACCTTATCACGCGGCACAGTCTTGGAGATAGTGAAAAGCGTGTCATGAAGTCAGTACACGGAAACTCTACGCTGATATGGCTCGCCCCGCCTTGATAGGATCAGAGCAAAGGAGTTTCGAACCAGTACGCCCGAAGAATCGTCTTAGTCAAGTAGATTTGTTCAACAAGCACCTTGTACAATCTCGAAACCAAGTTCTCTGTCGTCTGCGGGACAAAGTCTTGTCATGTCAACACCGTTTTGCCGTGAGACATGATTCAAGAATATATAATTTCAAGTGATAACAATTTGGAGCATCGTATGGGAGCAATAGGAGCTTTCGATTATGCTTGAAATATGCACGATGTTATAGAGCAGACGCGTCCATTTTCTTACTTTGAGCTGATCAAGCTATGTGTAGCATCATTTTGATGGTCTAAAGGATAAGCACGCAATCAAGAACCATTGGTATTTACACTTGAGCTATGACGTCCAACTCAGAAGTAAATTCCATTGCACATTCTATTTCATATCAAAGAGTCTATGAAAAAATGTGACTGGCGCTAAGACACATGATGAGCGCCGTCATAAATGTATGTCTCACCAGTCTCTATGTCGACCCTTCCATCCATCTCCTTGCTGAACGCATATGGCGGTGGAGTCGTGGTAATTAGGTCGCGCAAAGGTGTGTTGTCAGTATCGAAAGTTGCCGACCCCCTGTTACCACTCGGCTCACCGAAAATTCCAATGTTACTGCCTCTTTGTAGAAATCGTTTCCAACCGAATATCTTGCGAAGTAAAGGCCACCAGCACATGACGTTGGAAACATAGATGCTGATGCTGGATTCTCGAATGTGCCAGACCATGTAAACGGTCGTGTTTGGCATGGTAAAGTTGTAGTACTTGTTGAGTATTGCGGCAAGAATGACAAAGAGGCCGAGACTGAAGATGCCAACTAGTAGAAATCGCTTCAGTAGTGGCACCCTAGCATTGATGATAAACGGCAGGGGTAACAGAAGCATCAGGAAATCGGAGGAGACGTTGAAGACCATTTGGATGATGCAATAGTAGAAGTAGTTTGCACATTGCGGATTCTTGACTGGTAGTGCCCAGTACTGCGAGAAAGGCCGACAGAGAACGAAGAGACAGGAAATCTCTACAACGACAAGACCGAACACCGTGTAACAGATCACAAGCCTGACCCAGATGTTGTTCGCGGTATCTCTGGTCATGTTGTAGTATAGCATCAGCAGACAAGCCTTGACACCCCAGAGGGTTACGAGATACGCTTGGTTCAGGCCCACTACTATTTTGCTACCGTATATGCGGTCTTGAACTTCTCGAGGATCATTCAAGATGCCCTCGAGTTGTTCAGGTGGATATTCGTTGGTGGAATAATGGCAAGAATAGTTCAGCAACACCAGCAATACAACATAGCAACACTAGGGTTCGGTCAGCAAGTGCTGTGCACAGGCAGAGAAATAGCCGATGCCAACGAACAAAGGTAAGAACCATGGTGTAGTCATCGATCTGGAGTTTTTTCCACGACTGTTTGAGGATGGCTCTCGACCAGCTGGATTCCTGTTACACAAAACCATTCCGAGTGGAGACAGAGCTATAAGAGACTTACAGCCTCCCGAAAAAGAGCACGAAGCCCACGGAGCCGAACACGACCGATTCTTCGAGGATTTGATTGGCAGAAGGAGACGTCAGCATGGCTGTACCTGTTTTAGCGATGACGGTGTGATAAAAGCCGAGTGAAATGTGTGACAAAATCACATCTGAAAGCACCAAAAAAAAAAGAAATCCAGCAGACGGCTCTTAGTCAAAGAGAAACAATGCAGGCAAACGAACTGAGAGAAAGGGAGGTTGGAAGTCCAAGAGACAGATTCTGCAAACACGAAATATAGGACGCTCTAGCATGGAGGGCACACATGGCTGAGAGCCCGCGCCAGGCGAGAGATAAGAGAGGATGCGATACCTGGGCAAGAGAGTCCCACACAGATAGTCGACAGAGCCGGCAGGGCAACAGGTGGACACGAACTCTACTGATGAAGAGGCGTTGGCTTCTCACCGATCGAGGCAGGGTGCTTCCGTGCCAGCGCGTGGGATATGGGGCACAAAGGCGAGGGGCAACATGGAGGATGGTGAGAAGCCAGCGAGGTGGGCGGAGAAGACGACGAAGCCCACGGAGCCGGCTGAGGGGCGTCGACGGGCAGGAAGGTGCGACGGACGCATACGATTGTGGCCGGACGTCGCTTCCGTGGACGCCATGGAGAGACGACCAGACGCAGCGGAGAAGTCGAGTTTCTGCGCTCGTGCTGGACTCACATTGCCGCATCGCTTCGAGGTGAAGGCGGATGTCGAGTCCCCTGCGCGTCGTGTTTTCGCACTGCCGCGTCGCGAATGCGTTGCTTTCTACCGTCACAGATACCGGAATCCGGGTTATGCAATGGCCATTGGGATCCCGTGGTGGGGACGAGGTGGGCGACGGTCGGAACCCGCCGTGCTCCCCCCCTCGATTCGTCACATGATCAGCAGTCTGTCATCAGCTCTCACATCGTCTTCGCTCTGTCCCAAACAAATCCCGAAACGTACGGTCACAGACACAGCCGCGATGCGGCAGTGTGCACAACACAAAGCTAATCTCTCCACAAAGGCTGTCGTTGATTCACATCGACGCCCGTAGACCGGCGCCTTGGGGGAAAGGCCTCGAAACGTTTGTCCCAAGCTACACTGGGCAACGAGAAGAGGATGTCATGATTCGATGCTGCCACTCTTTGGCTTGAATTCCTGGATACGCTTAATGAGATTTTGACCTTGCATGACTACGCAGCAGAGCCTGCCACAGCTAGAGCAGGCACCTTCGATAGCCTGAATCTTGTATGTGCAAGTAATCTAATCCGCAGCGGCCCATCACATCGCAAGACTCGGACTGCGTTGTGCCACCTGTACAATCTGCTTAGACCGCCGTGCAAAAAGCAAAATCTTTGACTGTCCTCTATTTTAGTTTCCAATCCTTGTACGACCACTTCTCTTTCACCTCCCGCTTCGGCTTCTTGGGCTGTGTTATCTTCGCCCTGCTTTCGATCTTGCCCCGAAGGATCATGCTCCTATACCGATCCTGCAGGAGATTGCCCTCTGGCCGCAACCGCCGGAGCGAGTCTTCCAGCTCATCCGCAAGCACTACCTCGAGCGGGGCTTCAGGAACGTGCTTTGGTCGCCTCCTTCTTAATTTGATGTCCTCTCCCTCGGACGAGGACGATTCCTCAGGCAAAGGCTCTGCCTGTGGCCTGCTGCTGGAATTGCGATTTTCTTTAGCCAGTGCCTTGAGCTGAGCCAGGTCTAGATCGCGCGTGCGCATCTTCTCCTCGTGACGTTTGCGCTGCTCTTCCTGCTTTCGCCTCTTGATCTTGTTTCTTTCAGCCGGTGTCTTGCGTTCCGGCCTCTTCTTGCGTAGCCACGACCTGTTCTGCTCGGCATCTTCCTTCTCACTCATGATCCCCTCCCACTCGCTTTCCCACTCGCTTTCCCAATGCTCTGTGTCTTCCTCAGCTTGAGCCTTCGCAATCATGGCCTGCCTCTCTTCCTCTTGCCGTTCCTCCTCGAGCCTCTGGCGCTCTTCTGCCACGGCCTTGTCGCCCTCGCGCTGGATGAGAGCCTCCCAATCTTCGAACAAGGGATTGTAGCTCTTGCCGGCTTCTGGCTTGCGTACGGCAGAAATTGCTTTACCACTTTTGGCTAAGCTGATGGGCGCCTGCTTGAGTGTGACTGGTTCTCGAACCGCATTCTTCTTGGCTAGAAATGGCAGCTCCGCAGGCTGAGTGGACGCTTCGGCAGCCCACGGGTCATAATCTGCATCGTCACCCTGTTTGACGACGTCTTTGTGCACTGAATTGCCACCGTATGCAAATTTTCGGAGTCTTTCGTACTCTTTTCTCGAAACATAGTCTCGTCGTCGCTTGCTGCTTGGCTCCACAAGGCCGTCCGTGACTCTGGAGCCGGCCGGCCGTTTGTGCGTGGCTACAGATGGCACTGCAGAGCGCTGTGCAAGAATCTCATCTGCCTTGAGAAGCTTGTTGGCGCGGGCGTACGCTTTCTGGATGTCCTTCGAGCCGGTCGTGTCGGTGACGAAAAGCTCCGCCGAATCTCGTTCAGCAATGACGCCTCTGTTCGTAAAAAATGAGCGTTTTTCAAGAAGAATGAGCCTTTGCGGGTCGTCCTACCCGTGCTTGATAACTTCCTCGCGGACTTCCTCCAAGCCATCCTGCACTTCGGTGATGTCGACATTTTTGCGCCAGGCCTTCTTGCCCTTGCGCGAGGGCTGCTTGTGCTGCTGCGGAGGCAGAATTGAAGCCTCGGCCATGGTCAGCGCCGAAACACGCAAGAGAACGCAAAAGTAGAAGCGAGTATATGGATCGATGTCTGCTGGAGGTGGATCTAGAATTGCATGCGTCCAGAAATTTTTGGTGTCCGTTGGACCAGGGTCTAGCCAAAGCTGCGTCCAAGGGTACGGTAAGTCCCGTCCTCAGGCTTCCTTCTGGGGTCAGCGTCATTATCATTCGCCCAGAAGCGCAGCACCCCCAGAACTTTTGCTGCTCCTCCTTTATTACCCCATTGCACCCATATTAGTACCACTGCCACTTCGCTCTTCGGACCAACGTAGTCGCCTCGCAGCCTGCTTCTCGGTTTGTTGTTCACAGTCAGCCAGGCACGATGGCGCAGTCGGGATACTCCAATCCGTTGAAGAAGTTCAAGTAGGGCAGCCGGAATTTCGCCACGGAACATATTGGCACCGATGCTGATGGCATGTTAGGCTTGTCTTCTTGGGCGAGCAGAGCGGTATGTCCTCAAACGATAGTTGCCTATCTTTGCAAGCGCTGACCTTGCGTTTGCCAGTCGGCAAGACGTCACTGATAACTCGCTTCATGTATGATACATTCGACAACACGTACCAGGCCACAATCGGCATCGATTTCCTCTCCAAGGTGCGCGCGCACGTCTACAGCCGGGCCGGGCGTGCATGTTAACATTTTGTGCGCAGACCATGTACCTCGATGACCGGACGGTGAGGTTACAGTTGTGGGACACGGCAGGCCAGGAGCGCTTCCGGAGTTTGATCCCCTCCTACATTCGCGATTCTAGCGTCGCGGTCGTGGTGTACGATGTTACTAGTACGTCATCTTGAAGACCGTTTCAACAGCGCTGGACTGATGCAAGGGGTTGTACAGATGCCAAGACATTCGATCAGACGCGAAAATGGGTCGACGACGTGCGAGGCGAACGTGGCAACGATGTCATCATCGTGCTGGTCGGCAACAAGACCGATCTGTCGGACAAGCGAGAAGTCACGGAGCAGCAGGGGGCTGAAGAGGCGCGAAAAAACAACCTGATGTTCATTGAGACCAGCGCGAAGGTTGGACATAACGTCAAACTGCTCTTCAAGCGAATCGCACAGGCGTTGCCCGGGATGGAAGCTGAAAATTCAGCAGCAGAGCAGAGAGGGACAAGTATGACACGAAGATGGAGCGAACGCTATGCCCGGATTTGCTGACATGTGCAACAGTGATTGACGTGAACATCAACCCCAACCCGCAATCTCAGGAAAACAGTTGCAACTGTTAGTAGGGCTCCTTCTACGACGACGTTGATTTGCTTCGCTTTATCGTACCCATTTTTATCGCATTGGGTAGGCCGCATCGAGCATGGCGTTTGGAGAGGATGAGCAGGGTCCATAGCGAAGTATTGTCTAATGGGTCTAAGGAAGCAGCCTGTAATCCAGATATTGTGCTGTTTGCAGGAATTACAAAGTTTTGTCATAAATACCATATTTATTGAGTTTCAAAACGTCTCTGATATCGTGCAAAGATTCTTAATGCTTGTTATAGTTCTCAACATTCGTGTAATTGAACAAGATGCAGATATTTGAATCTCATCAACAGTCCATACCGAGGCCAATCTTGTGAGTTCAAGTAGCCCCCAGTGGCGCAATGAATTCTTCCAAATGGAATACACAAAGAACGTAAAGATATACGCAAGAACTGTTGACGTGAAGATGAATTGTGATCACACACTTAGCGCAATTCGTTCGCAAATTCGGACAGAAGTATCGACGAGTGTAGTTTCTTCTGACGTTGAAGTCCACCCTCCAAAGCCACGGGACTTTCGACAACGACAAAACAGAAAGAAAATTAGTCTCTGAGTGACAGTTTCGGCTTATGAGTGATCATGCTCGCTGCTATGACCAGTTCAGCTTGATGGAGTGGCTTTTCCAGGATGGAGCAAACTGGAACGACTCCCATCAAATGTGCTAATGTCAACTGCATCGGGCCGTTCACTACTTGTAAGCGGCTCCTCTTCAATGAAAGCTCTGCCTTTGATACCCGCCAGCTCTCGATCTGTAACATCGAGCGCACTTGCGTTTCGTGCTGGTCCAGTCTGGGGAGCCGTCAGAGCTGTTGTGGGATTCCCTATGCCGTTGGCAATCTCATCTTCGTTATCATTGTAGAGGATATGGTGTTTAGGTTCGGGGACCTTTTCTTCTACAGCAACAGGTATTGGTGTGGGAACCGTTGATTCACGTACAGGCTCAGTTGTCGAACTGCTCGCAGGATTTGTGTTTGACGGATAGACATCCGCAGCTGAAGCCGATTGATGGAGTCGTTCATGTTCGTGGGAGAGGTTCGAGTTGAGAGAAGTCCTCGATTTCTTTCGCTTTTTGTGAATCAGACAGATTATCAGCAGTAAGAATACGATGAGGGAGACAGATCCAATAGTCGCACCAATGGCGATATCGCGTGTCTTGTGAGATTTGTTACTGCCACCTGCTGGCGCCGCTGATGGAGACGAAGCGAAGCTCGAGCTGGCCGAGCTTGCGAAGGCGCTGCCACTGACCAGACTGGACACAGGAACAATTGACGTTGACGTAGTGCCTGTTGCTAGGCCAATGATCGTCACAGCCGTTCCGGTAGGCAGCGTAAACACTTTCAGATTTTTTTCGCAATTGCCAGTGCTGTCCTCTTCATCCACTGCGCAAACAAAACGATTGTTGCCGCAAGCCCTAAGGGCACCGTCGGTGTTGTTCCCGTTTTGATCTAATCGCAAGCGTTAGCAATGTTTTCATATCCGGAATTTTAGACAGTGCAAATCTACGCACTCAAGCAGAAGTTTCCGCATATTGTATCGTTCCAGGATGGATCTGTGCAAGTACCCCTCTCAATGCTTCCTACAGAGGCTTTCGCAATGCTATCGTCGGTGACCACACACAATTTGTTGCTCATGCATGTCCACCCATTCGGACAGCACATACTAGTTTCTGCATATGGATCGCATGGTCGGTCATCATATGCGGCGGTAGAGTTATGATTTGGATAGTAGCAATATCCCTTTGTGGGGGGAGATATAGCCGCGGTGGTCGTAGCTGACGGATTAATTGACTGTGCGTACGCCGCGAAGACGCAAATGGCAGCTAGAAGAAAACTCGGCATGCTGTCAAGCAAGATAAGGGAAAACCCCTTGGGTCAGGACAAGGAAAAGCTGGGACAGAGTAATGTTTTATCCTGTTATATTGGCCTTTTGGAAGCGGCCTCATTGAGGAGCAACGGCACAAAAGGACTGAGGCAGAAGGCAGTGGAAGCTGAGCCTTGAAAAAGCCCAGGCGGAGCAGCAAGCAGGCTAGATGTATTGGAAGCGTTCTGCGCCGGATTTCTGCAGCTGCAGCGTTGCCCGAGATCCACCCAGCCTCTCAGCCTTGCGTGCATCAAAGAAGAAAACTATGGCAATATGGGTGTCGACGAGAAGACAAGGCCGCGGCTCGACACGGGCATGGCTTTTTTTTACGCACATTCTATTCAGGCCGAAGTCTTTTCGAAAAAAATTGAAAGGGATGAGGCAAGGCTGACAAGATGCGAAGTACGATTAAAAGAGGGAGCGATGGTGTTGTATCCCTGCAGTGGCTGATCGGCTTCGTGTCCGAACCAAGCCCATCACCTCACTAATTAGCGCTGCTTCTGCCAAGGATATAAGGTTCACCTGATTGAGCGCTGTATGCAGATTCGGCTTCGAGGCGCTGCACTTTTGATTGCCGCGAACATTGTCGCTGGTGCCAAGATTTAGCAGCTGGTAATAGCATGCTGGACTGATCAACAACTGAGTAAAGTTTCTAGCAACAACGAAGCTGGCAAAATCCACCCCAAATAAAGAAGCCTTGGTGACGCCAATCGCTCTGTTCTAAGATGATTTCGTTTTCGATAACCCTCTTCCTCGATGAGTATACGTAAGACTGTCAGTGGTCCATTGTTAACTCTGCGATGCAGATCACTTCGCGAGCCACCCCGTATCATATTTCTACCAGCTAGTGGCGACGAGTCGTTGTGGTCTTCCAACCATTGTTTTGCCGATACGATGCGTCACTTTTTAGCTTGACACTTTCTCGTAAATCGCTGTTCTGAGCCTCTCTCGGAATCCGATTTTATTCTTTCCTCATGACTTTTAAGTGGGAATCATTTAGGATCCGGCAGCGTTGAGCTTGTGAACGATCGGATCAGGCAAAATGTTCGTACAAACTTTTCACCTGTTAGATCTGGGGCCCTTTAATCTTAGCTCGATTGGGAGGAGACCAAACTTTGTGATTACATGAAAGCGCTGCTGGTCTTACATGTAAGAAAAAGTTCCCGAGCCAGAATGCCTCACAACAAGCTTGAGACGGTGGCAGACCTCTTAGGAGCATAAGGAACCATGCCGAACAAACTCTTTTCCGATAACAAAGCCCCAAAGAAAGGGCGATGTAAAGTCGAGCGTCAAATGTGTAGAGAAAAGTGGTTCTAGTGCTCAACTCGAAATCTCTTCCATAATTCCTAAGCCTTGAATTTCTTGACAGTATTCGTCTAAGCTTCGGTTCTACGCTGCAGAGAGTTGGAATAAGACCCACTCTATATTCCCAGTGAACGCTGAAGCATGATTAATGATTTGCAGCTTGATTCTAGCGATGAGGACTGCCACTTCGACATCCTTTTTGGCGCCATAACACAAAATGTATTGTGCGTTGAGTCGCATCCTGATTGGCCACTGCTTTTTGAGACGAAGCTCAAGAGGATCATGATATCCCTCAATGGAAATATGATCCTTGGCTACCGTACGGTTGCCCAAATGCTGTCATACTCTCTGTCTCCTCCTCCCCCAAGTCTATGAACTGATCAAGACCATCAGCCTGGTCGTTCCCGCTCATTTGTGTGTCAAACTCTGTTTGCATAGGCATATGATGCACATGTGGCTGTGACTGTGGTGGCAGTTGCTGTTGCTGTTGCGGTGGCTCCGTCCTTGGCGCTATCTCCATCGCGGGAGTCGGTGGTTCCGTACCTTCGATCAAACGTAAGCCTTCAGGCACAGCTCGACCAAATGCGGATTCTCGCTTGTCATGCCGTATACCCGCGGTTCGATTTACGTCTATGCGGCCGTTGAAAGAACGTGCAACGGAATCGGTCTGACCATCCCGCACGCAGTCACTGTAGTTGGGTTGTTGATTGACGATGGGCGCCATGATGCTAGTCTCGTACCAGCGACCCTTCACATCGGCGACATCTACCACTTGCCCGTACTGCAGAATCTTCCAGAATGATTTCGGCCCCCCAATCGCCTGGATGGCTTTGTTGCGAGCCTCCAGGTCTTCACGCATGCGTTGCGGGACCAGATGCTGGCGGTCTGGTGTAACAGCATCACTTGGAAGGGTAGAACAGGATATGACGTTACCTGTCAACAGGACTTTCGTTGGTGCCGTTGGCTGGGTAGAAATGAATTGCAAAGGACGTTCGATGATTTGCGAGATGACAAGAACATCCTCGCTATTGCTCGCACGCAATCGAACCGGATCGCCGACCCACACCCGCTCGCCCCCAATATAAACACCGTTCCAGAACATTTGGTGTGTGGTATAATGTGGTTGGGCATCACTCTGTACTTGCGTGATCGGGGAAGACTTTAGGTAGCCAAATGGTGTGTATGTGGAATCGATTGCTCGTGCAGCCATTATACTGGCATCGACGATAACAATCTCATCATTACTCGGCCCGTAGCGGCCGCTAACGACTGCATTCCAATCGACCGTCGAAAAGGTCGGTTGCGGTCCTTGGTTCAGTCCCTGGTGACAAAAAATCGGTGGGCTCCAGGCTAGCCACGGCCGCATGGCCGTTTCTATTTCAATGATGACTGTGTTCTGAGGTAGAAATGGGGCAGATAGAGGTTGAATGACGTATCTCCGACTATGATGTGGAGGCATGTTTCTCAACATCCACCTTCGAATCACAACACCAAGCGCCCACGCTGCACCACGGTTGAACCAAACAAGCTCGCCTAATCTGAAGCTGAACTGACCGTATGTGGTGTCGATCTGTTGATCAATGTCCTTCGGGGTTGGCAGTGTAGCTACTTCGAGCTGCCGTTGCGGGGCCTGCGGCTGAGGCGCCTGCTGTTGGGGTGCATGTGGTTGGGACACACGCTGCTGGGGGTTCTGCTGTGGAGTGGCCTGCTGTCGTGGCGGAGAAGCTGCAGGAGCGGTGATGGACTGTGTAGCAGGCTTGGAATGTGCAGTAGCTGGTGCAAGCTGCTGCGCTGTCGAACGAGCAGGAATCTCAACAGCCGGCATTTTATTCACGGCCTGCTCTGCTTTTTGGCTCTCGACTTTCATGGACACTGTGCCTCCTTTCGCCGGACCAGACTTGACGTCTGTCTGCAATTCATCCGGGGAGCACAACTTGCAAGTACAGTTCATGGGGTCTCCGGCCTCATCTGTACAAAGCCATAATAAGTGCGGGAAGAAGTCGCCTGGGCTTCGGAATCTCTTCTTCCTGCCACCTGGGTGGCCATATAAGTATGCGTCTTGTCTATCATGACCTCCTCCAGCGTGAGTCTTGCCGGGTTTCGCATCTCCGTCCGTCGGCTTTGACTTGACATGCTCGAAGAGGCGGTAGTTTTCAGGAAGATCGTCCAGGATGTATGCTCCGTCTGCTGAACGGCAAAACATTAGTTTGATGCCGGGTCGAAGGCAAAACCCTGAACTCACCGTACGAGAAATCTTTACCACCCAGCTCCTTGACGAGCATGCCAGCGAGCTTGCGTCTCCAATCTAGGTGTTTGGCATCGTGCATGGTCAGCGGGCGGTAGTAGTCGCTCACTCCTTTCTCATTAGGCGTTGAATCCAGCTGCTCCTTGGTGGGCTCATTCTTCTCCCGTACACGATTCTTACCCTCAGTCTCCAGTTTGCCATCGGAGCGCCGACAGTATATCACGTTGAACAGCGTCATCGTTGAGCAGGTAATAACGCTGTCAGAAAACCTCGCCAGTGCAACTTTGTGTCGATAACTATCGCACTATCTCAGCTCCCTCCTCGTCCATCCTCTGTGCCCAGTGCGGATGAGTACGGAGGCAAGTAGATCGGATTTTTGTTTTCTGTGGTACGGGTTATGTGGTTCAAGCCGGGAATATAAATGTGGAGGTAGTGCATCAATGTACAGAGTCAACGTGGTGTGGAATAAACTCTGGACGATCGGAGACGCCACTCTGGAGGTTCGCGTCCATGCGCGTCGTGACCTAAATTCAACTCCACACCAGAAATTGTTGAAGAGAGTTCTGCGCAACGCTGTCCTTGCCCTGTAGTTGAAGAGCTCTTTGCACAGCAAAACTGAAGTGCATGCCAGATCATGAGCAACCGAAGACGGGGGAAAAGCCCCGTAAAAGGCCAGAGGTCTGCCGGCATAATACACACACTACGTTGCCACTAATGAGCTATTGAAGTTGAATGCAACGCTGATGATAAGCCCACAGTAATGTGCTGCCTTTTTGGCCAGCCTCACTTTGGTTTCAATCATGTCTATTGCAGGTGCTGTAGATCAGGCCTTTCGTTTCCTCGCATTCGCATTTGGCAGTTGTGATGCTTTGTCCTCACATCCTCTGACTACGTTTATCATGCGGAGGGTCCTTTTATGTCTCTTTTGATCTCTATCAATCCTCAAACCTGACAAAAACGCGCTACCAAACTTGACGCCCTGTTCGCATTGTTATGGAAATTAGCCGGGCACCGTCGGTATCCGAAGAGAACACGCCGTTCAATACCGCCGATGAATTTACGACGTTGCCACGAGTTTGCATCCCACACCCTCTGATACACACTGACATTCGACAGAAACGCTCACAGATCTCTTAACACGATGCTTGTATTGGCCTTATGAGAGTATTTGAGGTCCAGAATATCCCAGAGTCCGTTCTCAAGGCTCGCCGTGAGCGTTTGAGGGCCCGATCCACAATGGAAAAGGGTGAACACTGCCGTCAGAAATCAGCACGCAACTTCGAAGAGTTAGAAACCAGTGAATTCACCCCACCGGAGACACCGTCAGAATATGATCCTTTTGAGCAAGGGCTAAGGACTTCATGTGTGTCTCGTGAGCCAAGCACAGTGAGGCTTAAGAACGCCCCAAAACAAACATCCAATAGCACATGTGCGCTCTATACTGAAGACCTCGAGCAAAGAGATTGGGCGTTTTCTTCAACATCAGAATTGTGTGATAATCCGGCTTTGCCCACAGTCTTGGAAAAGTCCACTTGTCGGGTCCCAAATCGCTTCGAGCTCCAAGACGAGCACGAAGTGAGTTCTCCGAGCCTGGGCATACCAGTATTAGAACGGATGACTTTGACTGGCAAGGCCCTTCGCCCTCGTTCACTCTTATCTAGCTCTGCTGCAAAACTGGGGCTCTCCCGCCAGAACGACTCTCTCGTTGAATCAACAAGCCGGACTCGTCGAAAGTCCGTGCCAAAGACGTGTGCCTCACAACCTTCAGCGCGAAACGTTGTCCGTCAACAAATTTTAACGTCTACGAAGACAAGGAGAGACATCTTCATTTATCATAACCGCTCACTTCTTTTACCATTACTTCCTCCAAAAAATTATGTCGAGCAACTTAGCTTTGACAAATCGGCATTCATTTCTATTTACGAAGATGTAGCTCAACCTGCTGGAATCAATGCAACCCTAAAGCCATATCAAGTGAAGGGCCTCTCATTTCTCGTACATATGCATAATAACGGCATGCCCGCTATATTAGGTGATGAGATGGGCTTGGGCAAGACTTTGCAGACCTTGTCGTTATTTCAATACCTCAAAGAAAAGGAGCTAAGGAACAACGCGCTCGTGTCCGAAGAACTACGCCCATTTTTGGTGATTTGCCCTCTGACCGTGCTTGAGAACTGGGTTTTGGAGGCTCGCAAATTTGCTCCGAAATTAGAAGTTCTCCGCTTTCACGGACCTGTCAATGAAAGAGAGTTCCTTAAGGATGAATGGCGTAAGAGAAAACGTGACGCACTCCGCTATAGCAAATCACCAGTGCAAGAGTTACAGGCATCACCATACGACCTAGTCATTACCACATATGACTCATTTAGAGCAGAGTCAAGCTGGTTTAGATCTGTCGCTGCGTGGCGCTACGTCGTTTTGGATGAAGGCCATCGTATCAAAAATTACAGAACACAGGAGTCGAGGTCACTTCAGAGCATCCAAGCCGAGTATCGCATTATATTAACTGGAACGCCTTTGCAGAACAATCTCATAGAGATGTGGTCGCTTTTTCACTGGCTTTTCCCAGACATCTTTACCGAAAATAGTCTTCAGATGTTCAGAGAAGCGTTCAATCTTACCAAAGGACAAGTGAACCGAGAAATTATTGACCATTGTCGCCGGCTACTTGAGCTCATCATGCTGCGGCGGATGAAGAACAGTGCAGAAGTGAGCCTCAATTTACCGCCCAAAGAAGTGATTCGCCTGTTCGTGCCCCTGACGCGCATGCAGAAGAAATGGTATTTGAAGCTTTTGACGCAGCAGTCAGACGATATGCTGGAAGAGATATATCGAGGCGCACATGGAAAGGAACAACAAGTTCTGCAGATGAAAGACGTGCGAACTGGTATTGTTCATGACGACAGCACACAAGCTGAAACAATTTCGATGAGCCATTCGCTGGCAGTGGATTACATAGACAACACATCATTCGAGTCCACTCCCAGAAGATCATTGTCACCAGCGTCGAATCAGGACTCATGGAGGCGCTTGTTGAATCTTGCTCTTCAGCTGCGAAAGGTATGTACCCACCCATACCTGGTTCCGGATGCTGCTCCAAGCGTCAACTACATCGGTTCGCACATATACGAAAACTCAGGCAAATTCATGGCGCTTCGTATACTCATCGATGAGATTGTTGTCCGGCAAGGTAAAAAGATGCTTGTATTCAGCAATTTCACAGAAGTTCTGGATTGGGCGGAAGACCTTGTCACATTGATAAGTGAATCGGGCACAAAATTCCAGTGTATACGCCTCGATGGTGCTACTGTGCGCGCTAAACGTAACCTGTATGTTCGCCTCTTCCAGCAGATTGAATCCAACTATAGAATATTCCTGATCTCAACAAAGGCAGGTGGTGTTGGGCTCAACTTGACTGCTGCCACGGAAGCTGTCTTCATGGACGAGGATTGGAATCCCCAAGTCGATCTTCAAGCCGAGGCAAGATGTCACCGAATAGGCCAGACGAAGCCTGTTACGATTTACAAACTATGCACTTCTGGCAGCGTTGAGGAGCAAATGCTTGGACGCATTCACAAGAAGCTATATCTGTCAGCTAAGATAACGGAAGCGATGGAAAATATCTATGATAACCCATTGAAAACTAGCACTAATCGAGTCCAGATCGACCAATCCAAATCGCTATTCGGAAGCTATTCCCAATTCAAGAGCTTGCTTCGTCGGGGTACCCAGACATTGGCAAGTGCTAGCACGGACGCAGACGAGATGGCCAATTGGGATTGCAGAACTATGATTGAGAGATGTCGGCAGAAGATGGACCTTAGTGGGAGTGATGACGAAGCCGACGAGGAAAGGTGGCTTGCGACTATGGAGAAAGTTGAGTGTGCTGTTTTTGAAGGCCGGAATTATGGTCGTCGGATCGCGTCACCTCAAGGCTCAAACATGGTTCCAACTACATCTCGGGAGCAACGTCGCTTAGGCAAGGAATTGACGGTTGAGATAGATGGGTTCGCGGTCAACAAGGCGTCGCTGGCGTGTGCTGAGTGGGAGTCTGTGCCAACTCTAGCAGGCAAATCTCCCTTACTTAAATCCAGAAAGAGGACACGACTCAAGTTTTCTCATCAAGACGTAGGTTTGAATCTGCCAATTTACGTTCTCCTGAGGTGATATACTGATAGAATACAGCACTGTCAGCAATGTTACGAGTCCGAGGGCCTGCTATACGAGTGCACGAATTGTCCTCGTGTATATCACGAGGGTTGCATGAGTAAGGACGATGCAAAGAGGGCAAAGGACATGTCGAACTGGAGTTGTTTCCAGCACTCTTGTCATAGTTGCAGCAAGAAAGCAGCGGAAGCGGGCGGCATGATCTTTCGGTGAGTTCGCAAAGAGTAGATGATTGTTTGTGACTCTAATTGCTAACATTGTCTAGCTGCCGCTGGTGCCCTAATGGGTACTGCGAAGACTGTCTGGATTGGGACTCCGTAAAGCTCATCGGCGACAACATTGATGAGTACAAGATACTTGGTTTCCCAGTCAAGCGCGAGGCGTACTATATCGCGTGTCCGGCCTGCAACGACCCAGAGCTTCGTGAGGCACTCGAGGCTCAGGCAGAGAGTTATCGTGAGCTGGCAAAGCGGTTTGACGCCGGCGAGCCAATCGAACTTGATGATCAGGTAAGAAATGACAGCAATGAAGATACAGCTTCAGGCTGTAACGAACAAGCCTATATATTCAAGCATGTGGAGTCCGTGTCGGAGATGCACAAGAACCCGTCTCCAAGTCAGCAATCAAGCGATAGACAGAACACGAGACATGCCGGCGTTGAATCCGCGGCCGCGACGACAACACACGACGTCTCCGTGGCAATTCGCGCGAATGAACTCGTCTTCTCGAAATCTTCCTCTCCAACGTCAGATCGCGGACCATACAGCTGTTTCGCGGTTGATCCGTACATGCCAATGACACCCGCGGCATCGCACGTGGACTCTCCTTCGCTAGTCGCGTCGCCGGCCCGCTTGAAACGGAAGGCTGGAAACGATGCAAAACTGTCGGATGGCAGCCCGCAGCAAAGGAAACAACCGAAGAAGAGGACCGTGTCGAAAACCTAGATCAAACCGTACGGTTTGTGTTCCCGACAGCCTGGCTGCGATGAGGGTGCGAAGGCACTTCTTACTTGAAGACCTGAGACACGGATGTTGGGCATTTTCGCCTCGCTTAGGGAACCCTTGTTCTCTGGTAGGAGTGTGGATCTCAAAAAGGTTACTACGAGACAGAGGGATCTGCTCTCTGCGCAAATGATAAAGAGTGTAAGGCGTGCTCTGTATCTTAAAACAAAGCAAAAACCACATCTCAACATTGATCATCTCGTAAAAGCCCTGTCCGAGTACTTTCGTCCTCTAGATTACGGTGTCAGATACAAGAATACATATATATATTGTACATACAACATCGAGCCGACAAGACGAAGGATGCTGAAGACAGTCTAGTCTCGGCCCAAGAGGGTCGATGGCCAGAAAAATGTGCTTTGTCGGAAAGGGGAAATATTTTACGCTATGCCATGAAGTCCCATGTGACGGGGAGAGGGGGGATATCTTGTGCCACCAAAAAAAAAAAAAAAATAACAGATTTGGCTCGGCGAACAGGCCCGTGTAAATGCGAGAACAAAAAGCCACAGTGATCGAAAGGACAACAAAACACTGTGGAAGCTACCGTGATCGAAAGTGCAAAACACACAAAAAAAAATGTCCAAACATCGGTTTCTAACTGTCCAGCTTCAGCGACCCGGACGGGGAGGTCGGTGCGTGGTCCGCGTTCTGAGCGCTCGCGTCTGGACCAGCGGCGTCGTCAGCGCGCGACGTCGACTCTACCATGCTCTTCGGCCTGTGCCGCTCGGACTTGTCGGCCTGCGTTTTGCGCTTGCTTTTGCTCTTCGAGTCGCCCTCGACGCTGCTGTTGCCTCTCGTGCTGGCGCCCCGACTTAGCCCCTTGACCTCGCGCAGGACCTCCGCAAAACCTTGTTCGAGAGTCGACATCCTCGCCAGCACAAGTTTGTTCAGCCTTCTGGCAGTGTCGCCGTCGCCGTCGCCAACTCCATGGTGCTGCTGATGGCGCCTCATGCTCATTTCCATTTGCGTGCCAAAGCTGGCCGGCAGCGCTTCGAGAATGTTGACGCTTGGGCCGGCCCGGTTGTCGCCCAGGTCAGAAGCCAGATCCAGAGCTCGCGCATTGAATGAGGGTTCTCTCCTTCCACTGTTGATGGCTAGAAAACTGGCCAGGTTGTGGTTCGACTCGCGATCGTCTCGCGGCGGAAGGATGGCGCGAGGTTTGCTGGCGGGGTTGGTGACTGAGGCGAGTGGTTGTAGGGTAGGAGCTGCACGACGCCCCGACGGTGTCACCGTTCCGCTGCGCATTCCTGTACCGCCATGACCTGCGTTTGGCTTCCGTTTCGTAGGCGAACCTGGCTTTGGTGGCGTCTTCGCTCTGCTATCCACGTCTGTGTTTAGCGGCGAATAAAGGATGGTTGCAGACGAAGCGTTGCGCGAGTGCTTGTGCGTGCGCCTTTGCGCCGTTCTCGGACGCGAGGGGGACTCTTCGGAAGGAGGCGACCTCGGACGTTGTTGCGTGGCTGCCGTGTGGAACATGGGCGTCTGCGATTTGGACGCGGTGGGAGTACGGAAATAATCATCTTTGTCGAGGTCGGACCGACTCTCGCCCTGCTTCAGGTGTCTCGTGGTAGCTGCCAAAGGTTCATTGCGGTTTGAAGGCTCGTCGTCGCTGCGGTGTTCATCGTCCTCGTTCGAAGCCATTTCGTCTCCAGCATCTTCGTCCGTCTGCTGCGGAAGCTCGTCCATGGAAGCACTAGCTGCGGATGTGTGACGGAAGGCGTCGAACACGCGAACGGGCAAAGTTCGAGCATCCTCCGGATCTGAGACCGCAGAAGGCGCCATGCCGGAGCCGTGGCGATGAGCGTACAAGCCCTGCGCCGTTCGGTGCCGTCTGAAAGTGGGTCTACGTGTCTCTAGCTTGTCGAGAACATCCCTAGGCTCTTCGACGGGAGATCCAGCCCCTCCTTCCCCCATGGCTCGCATCCAGTCTTGGACCACGGTCGTGGACTTCGCCTGCTCCTCCTCAATACGAGCCGTCGTTCCTTTAAAAGGACGCCGAAAGACTTCCTCCAATGCTCTGTCTTTGCGAAATGTCGTCACGGACGGCTCTCGAAGTCGTGCCCCTGGACTGAATAGTTCAGCGTCTTTCGCGATTGCAAATGCAGCGGGGACTCGGCTCTTGTGCCGGCCGCGCTGTTCCACAAGGTCCAGAGGCTCGAATGTTCTTCGTGAAAGAACGAGGCGCTCGTAGACGCAGATCGCCAGCAAAAGCGGCATGTGAGTCACCTTGATAACGGTGCGATTGAGCTTGACATATTGCCTAAAGGGCATGATGTACCGAAGCGGCGTGAGCAGCCAGCCGATTACGTTGGCCGGGGCAATGTAGGAAAAGAGCGCGTCGGATTTGACCATCGACATTGTGTTGACGGCAAACACGAACTGGTGCTCCTCGTTCGCGTTTTGAACGACGGCCATGAACGAGTTGGTCAGAACGGTGATCAGGATCGTGACGATGAGAAAGTGACAGATGATGAGGAACAGGGTAAGAATAGCTTTGCCGAGCAGATTGTAGCCGTCCCAAATCTCCCACGCGGCTGGCGTGAAGCCCATGAGCAGCTGGAAGAGTGCGTATGCGGTCTCGCCCGGCGTGAGATTGACAGGAAATGCCAGGGTGAAGGCAACAAAAAACCCGCTGCAGGCGATGACGATTAAAATGAGTATGGCGAACAAGTCAAGGGCCATCATCCGGAAGGCGATCATCAGCTGGCTGAAATATCTGTAATGGTCTAACACGGAGAACAGGCGCGGAAAGAGCAGGACGGCTGTCGAGGCCAGGACGTCGTATGCGAGGCTGGCGGTGTGGTGCTTTCCAGAGACAAGGCCGTACAGCCGACAACCGTAGTAGAATAAAAACATGAGCAAAATGCCAATGTCGAAGGCGTTCCACACGCTGAGGATGTACAGGCCGAAGCCCTGCTCGGTGAAGCCGACGAGCTCGTCGAGCATGTAGCCGGCAGACCAGAACCAGAAAACGATCTCAAGGGGTGTTATGTACAAAGAGTGTTCGATCAGCACGGCGAGGAAGAGGCCAAGCATGATAGCGTACGAGAGGGTGGAGAAGAGTTGACGATACCGCGGGACGCGGAGGCGAGAGAGCTTGAATGGGGACGCGTCGGATGGGTCGTACAGGCTGACAGATCTACGCACGAGGGGCGGACCAAGCTGTTCGACATGCCACTTCTGAGGCTGACTCGGCGTGATGGTGCGCGCCGACTCGGGCGACCGAAGCGTCCCGTAGTCCGTGGCAAAAGGCGCTCCCTGCGGGGGCCTGCGGTGCAGCGTGTCGGCGGCTGAGTGAAAGACGATGGCGCCTGCCCAGATGGCCTCGAGCTGCTGAACGACGAGAGGGTGGGCGAGAAAGCGCTTGGCTTGGGCACGAATGGCAATCTCGACGGCAGAAATGCGGGCGTGCTGACGGGAGCGAGGCGTGGCCGTACCTGGGGCGGGAGCAACGCCCTGCATGGGATCGAAGTCGTAGAAGAGGGCGTCGATGAGCTCGCGCGTGTTGGAGTCGCGCAGCATGCGCATGGCTAGCAGCTCGCACAAGACGGCCCTGGTGCGAAAGACGCCGATGCTGCCGGGGTTCATCTGGCCATCCTTTTGAAACTGCAGGCAGTTGGCCAGCAAGGCGTACAGCGTGCCACGGTTCAGATGGCTGTCTCTTATCTTCTGCTGTATGGGTTTGACGAGAAACTGCGACACCTGGGGCGAACGCAATTGGTCCCACGACAGGGTGGTCTCGCATTTCTGCATGACGAGGAGCCGGATGCTGTGCTGGAGATGGTAGATAGGGATCTTGTCTACAGTCGGCGCCGGTCAGTCCAAGAATTGGCGTGGACAGCATGAGAACTGCAGGCAACATACCTAGAACGGGCGCGGAGAAGATGGGCAAGATGGGCTGGGCAGCATTCTGCTCGCCCTCGCTGTCGTCATCATACCCGTCCGCGTCGTCGTACTCGTCGTCGTCGTCGCCATTCTCGTCGCTGTCCTCATGCTCTTCCGACGCCGTGTCCTCTGCGGAGGGAGTGGTATTTCGAAAGGCCTGGAAGCCGGTGAACAGGAGCGGTCTTGCGCTTGAGCGTCTCCGACCCCGCTTGGGCCGCAGCAAGCTGGAGAACATGGTGGTTTGTGTAGCTCTGGAAGCGCTACTCCGTGTCTGCGATGACGGGTGGTGCGGCCAGTGTCATGGCTCTCGGTTTTTTTGCTCTCTGGAAATTAAATGAGACCCAGTGCAGCGGCGACGGCGTGTGAACGGGCCCAGGCTGGCTTTGTGCGAGGGCAGCAGGCTGGAAGCGTCGTTGTCGCGAGGACCAAGAGTCAGTATGCTGGGTCACGGTTCGCAGGCTTGTGACCTCATGTGCACGCTGATGCCCCCCTCCTCGTCGTCCGCTCGCGGAAGGGGGGGCGTTGTGGGCGAGGATTGACGGAGCTTATCGCGATGGAGTCGAGTTCAGTCGCGGCGTCTGGCAAATGAGATGCAACACTCGCATACACAAAGCAGACACAAGCAGCCTAGTGGCCGTGCGAGTCACCGCGCCATGCGGGCGAGCCATCCGCCGTCGCGCCCAGCCAATCAGCGCCCGCGTCGCCCGCTCCGCTTCCTGACCGCCGCGTCCAGGCCGGCCATGTCGTGCGCAACGGCCTTGCATGCGCTGCCGGATCGCTGCGAGCAGGCTGGAGAGAACGAAGGAGGACGGCGACGGGGCCATGTCGTGATGGCGCACTCGGAAACAAGCGTCTCTCTCCCGTTCGCTTCCACGCATTCCAGCATTGCGAGGGGACATGCTGTCATCGGTCCAAGTGCGAGCGTGGGCCCCGCGTTGGCGGCACGTTCCAAGGGATCGCAGGATAGCAGAAGCGCGACGCAAGAAACAGTCAAGTTCGGTGGCATCAAATCATGTGTGTCGCCCAGAGCGTGGACAAGAGAGAGATTCGCCGCTAGGCCTCAGGTTAACAAGACAACGTGCAGAGCGCAATCGGCAATCACCTCGAACCCTTTTCCCCAGGTATTTCCTGTTTGGTGGTGGCCGCGTCTCTGTGCCGGAGAATCCCCAACCATAGCAACGAGAACGACGAGGAGAAGAGTGTGCGAGCAGGAGAGGCCGGCATTGGCCCCAGGAATGCCCATCTCAATAGTGGCATCACGCCAGGATTTCTTCCCGTTGCAAGCGTGTACGGTTCAGGTCGTTTCCATCTTCTGTAAGAACCAGGCATTCTCAGCCTTGCTGCCTAAGGCGCAACATGTTCGGGAGATCATCACGTGATGTCGGCGCAGCCAAGTCAGGGAGCAAGTAACAAGTTCCGGCGATGAATGCGTGCCTAAACGCCTCGAGTCACGAACATGCTGGCCAGGCCGGGCAGGACGGAACGAGACACGACAGAATCGGACACAGACACGGCCAAAGCAGGAGTCTTTGATCTGTGCACGCGCGACAACGCCATCGCCCAGAACGGACGAGCTCGGGCCAGGCTGGTCCCTTCTGTTCGTTAGATCAGGGGACGCGGCCACAACAAGCGCCCCCGTGCTGTATTATGCTGATCCGTTCTGTGCTGTGCCGACTCGTCCCCCTCTGACGCCCCGTCTCGTGTTCTCTCCCCTTCCCCCGGCCCGCGCATCCTCCGGCTCTCGCTCCGTTCGCTGTCTCGCCCTCTCTTTTCTGTGCGTCGCTCCTTTGCCGCTCTCCTTGTCTCTGCACAGTCACCAGCCGTGTTCAGCTGTGCTTCGTTCTTCTTGCCACCGACACCGCTCGCCGCCGCTGTCCCGTCGCCCTGCGTCCGTCCAGATCCTTGCGCGCGTCCGCCCTCTTCCCCCAAGCGGCAGCACCCGTTTCCGAACGCGCTGGAAGGTCGATGCGCTGGTGACTTACCATTGGTCGCGGAACTTTTCCTAACAAAGCTTCCACTCCTTCTCCACGCACAACCGCTCATCGCTGTTCCTTGTCGCAAACCACCCGCAACGCTCTCCGCCTGTCGACGATGCCGTCAAAGAGGAGCCTACCCAAGAGGCGCAACCCTCTGCTCGAGCCAGAGCACACCCCTCCGCGTAAGTCTCAACCGGCGCATCTGCGCTCAGGGCGTGTCGCCCCCCTGCCGCAACACCGCCGTCCGTACTGACAACAGCCGTGTCGCGCAGTCGAGATCCTCATCGAGCGCCGTCGCCTTGGGCAGACCAAGCTCGACGTCAGTCCATCGCTCGTCAACAAGATCAATGCCACCTCGCCCTCGAACCTGGGCAACTTCGACTATGCCCATCTGCGCGTGCCGCTGCCCAAGGATCTGGAGGGTTCCGGCATTTTTTTCGCGCAAAACAACATGTCGTATCCCGAATCCTATTTCTTGATGGTACGTACCCTTCGACTTCACTCCCGTGCTGATGCGCAACGTGTGCCTTTGCGATGGCGACGCTGACTGGCGCTCGATTCGACAGCGGCGGAGCAGTGACGGCTATCTCTCGGCTACTGGAATGTTCAAGGCGGCATTTCCTTGGGCGTCGAAGGAGGAAGAAGCCAAGGAGAGAGCGCACCATAAGAAGCTCTCGTCGTCCGGTCCCGACGAGGTCGCCGGTAACGTGTGGATTTCCCCGGAGGAAGGTGTGTAGACTCGAGCCCCCTTCCAGCAATGCTGCATCCCCAGAAGCACGACAGCCTCAGTTCGCTGACACGCGCGTCTTGCGCACGCCCAGCCCTTGAACTTGCCGACGAATACCTGATGCGACCCTGGATCGAGGCCCTTCTTGACCCGCGGCCCATCGAAAAGGGCACCAAGGACTCCAACGCGACGATTGCGACGCCGCCCAAGTTCAAGCTTCCGGAGCGCGAAGAGACATTCCCCGTTCCACAGTTGTCCGCGTCGACGATGCGCAAGCGCGAATTGCGCTCAGCGTCGCCAGGCAAGACGGCCTCCAGCACTCCGGCAGGTAGGAAGATTGCGTCGCCGCGCAAGCGCAGGACCAAGACGGCGAAGGCCGACGACACCCCAGCGAAGGCGGCGAGCTCGGCACTGAGCAACGCTGTCGAGAATGGCACTGCACCAGCTTCCTCATCCGTCGAGGCTACGCCAAGCGTCGCGTCAGAGGGTGCAAAGGACGACACGATTCGCGTCGAGGTGTCGGAGACACAGGAGCTTGTTAACGGCGTCGAAACAACGCACACGAATGTGAAGGTCGCCATGCCAGCCGACAACCCGGATCTCCAGCTGCCCTCCACGGCCGAGGGTGTCATTGAAAAGGCGCACGAAATCACAGAGACGGCGCGGAAGCTTCAGGGTTCCAAGGGCAAGAGCCTGAAGCGGAAAGCCGAACACATCGAGGAAGAGGCCGATGCGAAGGCCGAAGAGTCGACCGCCACAGCAGCCGCGGCTGTCCAGCCTGCGAAGAAGCAGAAGCTCCTCGAAGATCAGCTGAAGAAGGAGCGCGTCAAGGCGAGAACGTTGATTGGCATCACTGCGACGTTGGCCATAGGGTGCGTGTTTCCGGATTTTCCACTTCTTACATGCGTCTTTGCCACCGTCGTCTTCTCCGCTAATGAGCAAACAGTGCCATGGTCCCATACTTTTTCTGAAAGAGCTGCCGAGCTGAGCGCACGCAATTATCACGCAGAATCTATTGTAATTTATCATTGTCCCCCACCCCATGCAAATCACGATTTCGCATCCATACAAACGCACGTCGCACATGCACATGCACTACTTTCTGTTGCCTCCCCGTCTTTAACCTCGTTCCACGTTCAGATATCCCATATTCCCCTACCCTCACACGCGGGCTGGCTTCGGCGTTGTCGGCGCTGACGGCGCAGAAAGGGGGTTTCTGAAAATTCTTGTTTCGAGAGCATATGGCATTTTGCTGTCAGCTTGTTTGGATGATTAGGGAAGGGCACGGCACCATCGGCTGACACACAGGACGGTGGCCGCGGTGGGCGGTATCGGCGACGGTGCCGCTGACCGGCGAAAGCGGTGACGATGTGCAGGAGGAGCCCGACACACCAAGGACAAAGAAGGCTCCCGGAAAGACGTGCAGAAGAGCATTGGCTGATGCAGCCAGCGTATCGACACTCGCCTGAGTCCTCGTGCTGGCTTCGGTCGACGTGGTTCTTCTTCCTGCTGGCCTCTCTCAGGGTCTCCCTTTGCTCGGTCGCGGTGACTCAGCTCGACGAGAGCGCCGACGGAAGGTTCGCATGGATGTGAGCCGCGACTGCCGTTTTCTGTGCTGCAGCCTGATCAGGTAAGTCGTCTCCTGGAAATCACACGTAGAAGAATCCAACGTTGCCAAATTGCACTCTTCTTCACCTTCACAAGTTCCTTTGTCCTCTTGAACTCGATTCTAGATAGCCACGGCTTCCTCCACCCTGCATCCACGGCGCGTCTCACTCCCCTGATAAATCATGCATGAGCACTTTGACACGAAGCCCTTGAATGAGCCCTGAATGATCGCTTGACCCGCTCCAATGGCACGCCTTCCAAATGCTGACGCGTGCTGGGCAAGCAGCTCAAAACCCGGCGATGCACTGTATGGACACGCTTCAGAGACAGCCGTAACGTGCGACGATGGTGGCGCTGAGGCCGGCATGTCTGCCCTGCAGTATGCTAGGAGCTGTGGCTTCAGCCAAGACTTCCTCCTCGAAGATCCTCTCGACATCTTCTGTGCGACAAATCCACTGCCGCCGCTGCCAATGGCGCAACCCGCATCCGCTGGAGATCTTCCTGAAAAGAGCGACGTGTCCACGGCGTTTGGTGTAGCTATAAACAGCGATGAAACCTTCCGAGAACGCATCATGTGCGCCAAAGAAGGTGCTCTTTTCCTGCAAAAGATTGTAGTGCCCGAAGATGACGGTGCGCATGCGCTCCAATTTGAGGATGCGATAGAACAAGACCGGTCGAGGCTGCGCGCGGTGAAAACGGAGCTGCCTTTGCTGACTACCGATCACGAGATGGATATGACGTGGTTTTGTGGCCGGTCTACCAGATTAGCTGACCTGCGCGACGTCCATTTACCTATGGAGGATGTAAATGTTCAGGACGATGAAGGCTTAGCGTGGCCACTCAAGTATAGACAGCTACCGCAGGAGACCTTTCGGATCATCGAGCGCGCACGTTTAGAGTGCCCGCGGGACACGCTAAAATACATACAGGATCTGGTAGCTGACCCGAATATCAATGAGGACTTGGAGAATTTTGACATTTGGTGCCAGCCATATGTTGATGTCAGTGCGCTGTCAGATTGCCCTTATTATGTCCTGTCTTCTGATCCGTGCAGCGAGCGACGATGGAATTGGTGTCGCCACCTTTGCTACCAATCTTGAGCCCTTCCCCAGCCCCGTTCAATTCCTTCTTGGACACTGACCATTTACAATTCGTTTCGGATGGCTCAGACTTTCTCGCTGCGGACATTGAAGCCCTCGATAGAGAGCTCTTCGCTCATGACCAGATCGTAGCTGCTAATTCTAGATCCTCTGAGCATTTGAATTTGCAGCATGCCGAGCACCTCGCACAAATTTATACCCCGTTGCAATCGGATATTTTCTCCGACGATGGAGCGCAACTAAGACAAAATTGTAAGCGAGATGAGTTGATGCTCGAACCACCAATCATCCTCTCAGCTTGCAGCTCTTGTAGCTCAAATACAAGAGAAAGGGCCGACTTACTCGTTAAACAGATAGAGCCCGTTATTTCCAACTCGCCACCGTCACGTCTCATGCAGAGCATCAGCCCGGAATTGGATGCTTCGTTTGAGATGTTGCGCGATGAGTTTGTAGCTACCGTTGCGTATGAAGCTGTACAAGCCGCTGAAAACGAGCAGCTCTTGGCAGCAGACTGTCTGCAGCGCGTTGAGGTACCTACGATGGATTTCAAACTGCCTACTCCTCCATGGAAGGTGAAGAGATTGTCTTATTGTTGGGAGAAATCAAATATGGCTGTACTTGAAGAATATGCGGAAATTATTTCCATGCTCAAAGTCGATACAGCTACAGAGCCAAACCTAACAAGTTGGAAGCTGGATAGAGCTATCGAGCGCCAATTGCAGCCTTTTCCATTTCTATCCAAATCCGTAGATGTGCCCGAGGAACGAGGAATCGATGATCTTAGGTATTTGAGTGTCGTCATGAGCGACATGAGCCTGGAAGATGTCGTTACAAGTGACGCCCTGGTTTGGAAGCCGGATGGCCTGCGCGTTTTGCGCTGTGCGGAGTACGAGTATGAAGAAGACGAGCTCGAAGCGGCGGGACTTGATTTGAGCGAGGAGGCAGTTGTTGACCTTGACAGTCTCTTACGAAAGCGGCAACATGATTTTGGTCTTGCAAGTAACTGCCACGACCAAGTTGGAATCGAAATGGATTGCGCTTTGAAGTCTACGTTATTCTCGTCAAAGGGATCGACTCAAATGACCCTCGCGGCTGAAACGGACGTCCATTTCTTTGAGGATAATTTCACCACACGTGGACGTCTCCGGAATTTCATGATGAACATGGGCCACCAGAGCAAGAGAAGGAGAATTGGCGATAGCCAGAATCAAGCCCTGTTGAAATCTCCAGCAGGACCGACTGATCGCACAGACATAACGACCGCCCATGCTCCTGTGCCTGCTGCAGCGCAAGAGCGCAGCGAGATGAGTGAACCCTTTAGTTTGCCGCCCTTGCCTTCTAATCCGGCTCCAAGATCTGTTATTCTCTCTCTCAACATTATTCAAATGCATCGTAGACTTCTTCGTACCTTGTTTCAGGACTTGTGTCCGAACATCGGTTACATTGAACGCGACTTTAGCTTGCTTCAAGATGCTTCAGAAGCAGATATATTACTTTCTCCAGGAGCTGGGCTTGTCATGACAACTCTGCAGAAGATCAAGCAGAAGCCTTTACCGGGTCAGGACGGACAGCTTTCGGGGATCATGGACCGTATCGCAAGGCTCACATGCAGATACGAAATCTTGATCGTGCTAGTGAGCGAAGCAATTACGCCTGATACTGAAATGGATCAGCGCGACTGTGAAGCCATCGCGGAGTTTGCCGCTTTCTGCTCAACATGTCAAGCTGAGGTGCAGATTTTCTATGTTCCTGCAGGATATGACAATCTGGCCGCGTGGCTCGCCACAAGCCTTTGTGAATATAGCAGCATTGGCCAGAGACTTCAATTATTGCAGGAGGAAACATTAGTACGTGTAGCTACTATACTAGGGCGTCACTGCGAGGCTGACAATGTATCAGTGGGAGCAAGTTCTTCGCCGAACGGGGTTAAATGCTTTCGCTGCACAGACTGTGCTTGCATCACTCAAAGCTGACAGCGTCTCATCGAGCTCAGGACCGTTCTACAGTGCGAGAAGGCCAGCTGGGAGAAATAATTTTGGACTTGGCGCTTTTGTACGCATGGAGCCTGAGGAGAGGATGGTTCTGTTTGAGAGGGCACTCTGCGGGAGGTCGGTGCTGCAACGAGTGAATCAAACTCTGGAGCAGTCGTGGCCAAGCGCTAGGACTGGTTTTCGTTAGATACCATGAAAACAAATGGCATCCTGCTTCACCAGGCGCCGAGAGGGCTTGACATGAATGCACACGAAGAGCAGCTAGACTTTTTTCGTAGCACGTTTGGGGATTTCGATGTTGCTTTGTGAAAATCTTTGAATTCGATCATTTCAAAGTGATTAAAATCGCCTGAGGCACTGCTAAATCTCCTTGAGCGTGAACCGCTCGCACAGAGCGCGCGGTCTTAGAGCTTCCCTGCGTCATCTAGGACCCAGCCGCCTGTTTCCTTCATCTTCTTGTACCACTCCTTGACATAAGGCAGCGCGACATGGGGGCCATAGAGCGGCTGCTCCCATTGCGGCTTTGGCGCCTTCATGCCCGTCTCCCTCTCGCACGACGCAAGCCACTCCTTGAACGAACCGCCGCGGTTGTAACCCGTCTTCGCGTCTTCCCACGCGGCCGGGTCCCTGCTGCCGCGCATCTTCTCCCTGAGCTCTTCGGTTGCGCCGACGTTGACAGAGAAGTCGCTCGGGCGGACGACGACGCCGTAGTTCTTGGCGGCGCCTTCGAAGGTCACCAGCTTGCGATGGACCTCTGCGGCGACGATCTCGGCCGGTCGGGTGAGGGGGTCCCCTAGGCCTCCGCCGCCCCACGTGCACCACTCGAGGACGTCGCCGGGCTTGACGCGGACGTGGTCGCACTTGCTGGGGAGGAGCTCGGGCACCGCGCCTTCTTTGCCGAAGCTGTCGCCTCTCCAGAGCGCTTTGCGAGACAGCGAGCCGGGCTTGCCGCCGTTGACGCCCCACGGCTTGATGAACCAGCGGTCGTCGTGGATGCTGACCTCGCCTTCGGACAAGAAGCGGTACAGGGTGCGCTGGGCGTTGCCTCCGCGGAAGTAGCCGGCGCCGCCCGAGTCCGGGATGGCCTCGTTGGCCTCGATGATGAGCGGGAAGTACAGCTCGATGTTCTCGGTCGGGACGGACTTGATGCAGGGGAACAGGCAGTGGCAGTCCGGCCCGTCGCCGATCGGGCGTGCCGGCACGCCGCCGAAGCCGATCTGGTACAGCAGGAACCACTCGCCGTCCGGCTTGAAGCCGGAGTAGAACAAGTGAGGCGAGTCCGAGAAGCCGGCCGCGCAGCGGTACGCCGGGTTGCGCTGACCGAAGAGCGCCTGCATCACGTCCATGACGCGGCCCAGCAGATGGGTGCGGCAGCTTACGGCGGCGGGGCGGACGGGTCGCAGGATGGTGCCTTCGGGGATGATAATTTCCAGCAGGTCGTGAAAGCCGTCGTTCACGACGCAGTGCGGATCGTACACGGCAAGCAGATAGTACCCTATGAACATCTTGAACATGGTGATGGAGCTGTTGAGTTTTGTTTTGGTCAGTGCGACTTGCGCCGTGTGGACATCGTTTTTGGCCGACTTACAGATAATAGTTCATGCTGGTGTTGGATTCTTGCATACGACCAGTCAGCAAACTCTGAAACGGTTCTTCTGAAAAGCGACGGGAAACGCAGGAGCTTGAAAGCATTTAGGGAAAAAAAAAAAAAAAATCCTTACGTGGAGACGTGCCGGTCCAGTCGAAGACGAGCTTTTCGCCCTTCTTCTGCATCGTGCACGTTATGCCGTACGGACCGACACCGTTGCCGTCGTCGTCGATGAAATCAGTGAACGTGGATGCCTCGTTGCCAATCTTTTCGTCTATGATCGTCTTGATTGCCGCGCGGTTCTGCGCGAGCAAGTCGTCCGTGGCGGCCTGGTAGACCTCGTAGCCATAACGATCGCAAAGCTCGCAAACGCGCGCCGCCGCCGTCTTGCACGCGGCCACCAGCGCGATGACGTCGCTCTGGAACCAGTCCGGCTGGCGCGAATTGCGGCAGAACAGGTCCATTAGGCCCTTGTTGTGCACGCCCTTCTCGTACAGCTTGACGATGGGGATCTGGAGCCCGTCCTCGAAAATGGTGGTGGCGTTGATGCTCATGCTGCCGGGCACCTTGCCCTGCACGTCCGTGAGATGGCCGAAGTTAGCGGCCCAGCCGATGAGCTTGTGCTGATAATGAATCGGCAGCAGGATGATGACGTCGTTCAGATGAGAGACTGCCCCGTCGATCTGGTAGACGTCGTTGGTGACAAAGATGTCTCCCTCTTCGATCGTGCCCTTCCAGCCGTTGAGGAATTGCGTGATGAACGAGCCGAACTGGCCAACCAGCATCTGGCCCCGGGTATTGGTAATGACGTTGAACTCGTCCTGCTGTTCACGAATCGCCGGAGACATGGCGCAACGAAGCATCAAGGTGTCCATCTCTCGGCGGATGGAGCCCAGCGCCGACGAGATCAGTGTTGGAATCAAAGGCGACTCTTGGATCAGCTTCTTAGCCGACTCTGCTGTGTGCTGCACCTTCTCTTCCGTCTTCTTGTCCACGGGCCAGATGAGCAGATTGCCCATCGAGTCGACCTCAGCGTAATAGCCCGGCAAGATGAGCGTGTTCGAGTCCATCTCGGTGATGACCGCGGGGCCTTGTATCTTGATACCCTTCTTTGTGATCTTGCTGCGATCCCAGAACGTGGCCTCGACGTGCTTTCCCTCGTAGTAGATGTTTTGCTTGTTCATCACCGCGTCGGCTGGCGGCTCGCTGCTGGACGCCTCCTCGATCGCCTTGATCGCCACTTCTTCGGAGCCGTCGATAACCTTGGCGCGTAGTCGCATCGTTTCAAGCTCGGCGGTTTCGAGCGAGAAACCGAACTGCTGTTCATGCATTCCGCCGAACTTTTTGCGCAGCGTTTGCAACAGCGTGCTAGTGTCTCCGAGCTCCTCTTCGGAGAAGTCCACCGTGAGAGTCATGGCCTGACCCTTGTAGCGCATGTCGCTCTGATACAAGACCTTGAGAGGTATGTCGGAGTTTGGCAAGGCTTCTTTCATGGTTTTCATGCAGGCCTCCTTCAGTTCCGAAAGAGAGCTACCAAGGTCTTCCGTAGTAATGTCAGAGAAGAGCCTGATGTATGTGCAGCTTGCCTCGTGGCTCATCTTTGTAGTGGCATCACCTTGAGCACACAGAATACCTGGCGAGGGAGGAATGATGACGGGCCATGCACCCAGTAGCTTTCCCAAAGCATTCCCGTGCATTGGGCCAGCACCACCGAAGACAGTCAGAGCAAAGTCTCTAGGATCAAAACCTTGCTCAACGGATACGAGACGCAGTGCGCCGTGCATCGACTCGTTTACAAGGTCGATGATACCTTCAGCCGCATCGTACACGTTCATGCCCATCTGGTTTGCAATGGACTCCACAGCCTTGGTGGACGCATCGACGTCTAGTTTGAAGGAGCCACCAAGAAGTTCAGATGGGAGTCGACCCATGACCAGGTTGGCGTCGGTGACCGTAGGTTGCTTGCCACCTTTTCCATACGCAGCCGGACCAGGATTCGCTCCGCTGGACTCTGGTCCGACTCGAAGCTGCTTCGTGAAATCATTGTATACTGCGATAGAGCCTCCTCCGGCGCCGACAGTACGGACATCGACTTGGGAAAAGGGATTAGAAGTGGTTTGGGGGATTCAAAAGGGTAAAGGTTTTCGACTCACCGGAAGGAGCCCGTACCGTAAGAGGACCGACATGGGTTTCTCTGCGAATCACGGTGGCTGAGTTGTTCAACAGCGCACAGTCCGTTGAAGTGCCGCCCATGTCAAGCGTAATTAGATTCTTGTATGGAGTGTTGTTCGCAACCAGGTGTGACACGCCTCTAACGCCACCAGCCGGGCCAGACATCAGGATGTTGACCGGAAGCTCTCCAGCAATGTTGACGGACGTCAAATCGCCGTCGGACTTTAGAATTCGAAGGACATCTGTGTCAGCAGCGAGCATGGTCTGTAGATTTTTCATGTATCGCTTGACTACCGGTTTTACGACGGCATTCGCCGTTGTCGTGACCGTTCGCTCGTACTCTTGAATCTCAGGGAGCACATCTGTGCTTGTGACCACCTCGACGTCAGGACCAAACTCATCGTGTATGATTTCTCGAATCTTGTTCTCGTGGATGTTGTTGCTGAAGGAGTTGAGCAAGCTGATAGCGACGGCCTCTGGCTTCTGGCGCTTCAGATCTGCAAGGCTTTCACGGAACGCTTTCTCGTCTAAAGGCTTGAAGACCTCGCCACCAATCGTCACACGCTCGACAGCCTCTACGGTTCGCTCTAGAGGCACGATGGGCTCGGGCTGTTGATAGTTGATCCAAGCACCGAGTCCACCTGGGATCTGTGAGCGCCTCACGGTGAGGATATCCTTGTGTCCAGCGGTGACGACTAGGCCGGCTTTTGCGCCTTTGCCTTCGAGGACGGCATTGGTCGCGGTGGTGGTTCCGTGGTGGATGTAGTCGAACTTCCCATCCTTAGGGAAGTTGTACTCGGCCTCGAGAATCTTCCGAGCCTTGTCCACGCCTTCTCGAACTCCGATACTTTGATCAGACGTATTGGTCAACGTTTTTGCGCGCACAGTTTTGCCATCTGGCGTGATGATGCACACATCGGTAAATGTGCCACCTGCACGGCGTCAGTCACTATCTGGCGCTGAAGAACGAGGGGTTCATTGTACGGACCAACGTCAACTCCAAGGCGGTATCCAGCCATCTTCGCGATAAAACTCAAGGACTAGATCTCAGCTCGACGCTTCGACGACCGGCCATGTTCCAACATATAAGATTTCTGGCACGAAACGCCGATCGCGGTCTCTCGATGCATGGCATCATATCAACCAAGATCCTTGTCCATCCTCGACGGCCACGGACTGCATGCACTTCCTGCGGGGTGACGAGGCCTGGAACAAAGCCCGAAGTGGGAATCCAAGAGCGGTTTGGGAAGCGCCGAAGCCTGCCAAGGGGGAGAGTCGGAAGAAAGGTTGCGAAAGATAACGCTTACACAGTAAGCAAGACAATCGCCAACGCGTGCGCGTGGCTACAAGGGGCTTTGGCAGCGATCCACGTCCTCGGCAGCGGACGTCGGAACGGCGTGAGGGGTCTCTTGTCTATCTGGACGAGGCTTGCCGAAAGGTCTTGCTTGCTTGCTGGCAGCTTTGCTTCACGGCGAACATGTTCAGGACGAATTGTCGGAGCCAGCGATGCGAGCCGACGATCCTTTGCTCTCCAGACCCGTGTCCGAACGTCTATTGCGCACCCGTATATCTGCGTCCTCGCTACAGGCTTCGTCCCTTCTGCATATTCGAGCTCGCCGCAATTCACTCGGTAAACGGTGCGTCCACTGGACTTGGACTTGCTTAGCTTTGGATACATGCACGTCGCATTCCCGCTCGTATCGAGCAGCATCGGATAGCGTTACCGACGGCAGGCTGTCCGATCACGTGATGCTCCATGTCAACGCATGTTCTGCAACTTGAAATGTTCCGCGGCCTCCGGCACGGGAATGGGCAACCATTTCGAGATAAATGGCAGTCTCTCGTGATTTCTGGGCTTCGAACAAGCTTCTCTTATCAGTCGGTATGTGCTCACTTCACGTAATCATGCTCCGTTTGCGAATGCAGCTCAAGAGTGGATTTTTCACTGTGATTCTGACTATCTATGGCCTTTACGGGTCAGATTATTCCCATATGCGCAACAGTACATAGGCTCAGAATTCCAACGTAATCTGCCAGACCTCCAACAACCATCGACAGCCACGTTCTGGTTTAGACATTTGAGAAGCCTTCAACCCCCTCCCACGGTGTTGGAGTTGTCCGCGCAGGAAAACGCTCCACCAATCAAGCCGGTGTCATAAGCAGCAATGATCTGCTTCACCACCCCGTACGTGCCTCCAACCAGGAAGAACAGACCCAGCAGAATCAGGAAGCAATGGAAAGCGAACTGAATCTTCTGCCAAAGACTCCCTGACTTGTACTGCCAGTGGTCATAGAGCCACAGCCATCCAGGCAGGCTGATTGCCAAGGGCGCGAAGCAGATAGAGCCCGTCAGCGCAATGAGGTAGTTGAAGATCGGAATGGCTTCGGCCAAAATAAACGCGAGCGCACCGATGAAAATCGTGCAGCTGAGCCAAGTTCCCCAATGAATAAATGTGTTCTGCTGAAGGTGCTTCGAGTTGCGCAGAATTCTAACAAACACATACTTGCTTGCTACGTGGAGATACAAGCATGCGGAAACAATAAGCCCGATAAGACCTTTTCAGTGTCAGCTCATCCCGCAATTTCGTCTACCCTCGATACACACTGACCTATGCCATAAGATACCTTTTTAATTGTTGGACCGGCGGAACCGAGCGATGGATTGGCGACGTATTGGCCACACCACCGGTAGACGACTAGAGCAAAGGTGATATAGGATGCTTGAACTACGCCCATGGAAGTGTAAACAGCCTTGTTGTAGTCCTTCGGGTTCCTCATCTCAGATATGACCGGAAGAAACGCAGACGTTCCAGCAGAACTGATGAAGATGGTTGCCGAGGCAGTTACGCCTTCTGCAAAGGTTGGGTGTCCGATAGCGTGCCAACCCAAGTCGTATGGTCCAGTTTGAGGCGCTGAGGCCGGCCGGTCTCGTGTTGTGACTGCGACCACGACAATGAAAACTGCCGTGTAGATGCTGATGAAGCCTGCCCACGAGAGCCAACCGATCTTTTGGAACTTCCGCACCGACGCCGCGGCGATGATGACAGCAGTAGCCAAGAATGACCACCATACTGTACAAGCAGCATGCGTGCTGAGTGCATTAAGTGCAATGCTGACACCAAGAATTCCTGAGCCGGTGCAAAGTAAGTAAGCGATGACAAACAATCCGCCCACAAGTTCTCTGAGGGGGACCCCGCCTATGACAGCTGCCATGTCTGCGATCGAGTGACAGTGCGCGTGAGTGTTGCGGAAGTTGCCTTGCACGATTGCGGTATCTGAAGAAGACGTAATCAGCCAATCTGAAGCACAAGGCCGACTGACTGTACGGAGACATGAATTACGCGCTTGCGCTTACATGTGTTCAGAGCGCCCCATCCAATTACAGACAATGCACCTCCTACAGACCCCAAGCTGTACATCGCTGTTGGAATTGAGAGCACGCCGGTGGCGAAAAGTACTTTTCAATAGTTAGACAATTGTCTTGGACTGGCCAGCGACACACTCAAAACGTACTCTTCAAGAAGATGATGCTAGCGCGCGGCCATCCGACCAAGCGAAATTGAACCCCGTCAATGTTCTTCTTGAAGACCTCGAAGTCGTCATCCTTTGGGTCGTAGACCACATCCTCGACATCGCCATATTTTCGGTGATCAGAGCCTGTGGCAGTCACCGTTGGATGGATCTCATCCATCTTCTTTTCGTCGGCCATCTTGGGCTAAATGCGGGGTGGTACAAGGCTGAAGCCTTGCAGGATGGTGCAACAAAGCGTGAGATCAGGCTTGAAAGTAGTCCTTAGCTGGAACAACAGCCTTGAAATAAGACCAAGTGATCGACAGGTGTTCCGGCGATACCTTTATGACCCATCTTTGCGAGTGTCGTCCCCCCCTCTCACCTCAGTCGTTTCTAGTATGCTTATCACGATAGGTGCAGATCAGCTGCAAGGTCCGGACACAAGCGAGGTCAGAAAAGACCCGAAGATAAGGATGGGGCGATTTCGTCGATATCTGAATCGAGAAACGCCGGACTGCTGCGAAGTCAAATTAACCGCTATGGGGCCCAACCCCCCGGCGCGATTGACGACTACACTGGGGCCGCTTGCAGGTAGCCGCACTGCGGGGGAGACGCGAGCGCACATGCTTGGTGTGATACATGTTACCATTCCCAAATCCGTATATAAATGCACGATTGCATCGAGATAAAGTCGCAGATAAATGGCTGTCGAGTCAGAGTAGTGAGGAAAAAAATTGTGATCTTATTGTATTATCAGCCCATGCCAATGCTTGATACGGCGTTATCAATTTGCCAACACTGTTGCTTTCTACGTGACAAGCGGTGGACCAAGAGCTCTCTATCAAAAATGGGGACAATGTCAAGTAAACTTTTTGCAGCACCGAAAACGCTGTAGGGACATCTCTGGTTCGAAGAGATACGTACTCGTGTTCTGAGCTGTCGAGCGATCATGGCAGACAGATTCGTGCAGCTTCCGTTTGCTCAAAACATGAATGCCGTCAACACGATTCAGCCACAGAGCTCCCAAAGCGAAACCTGCGATCGTACCTACGACAGTCTCCGTGCTTGTCGACTCATGCAATGTCCCTTTCACGGCCCACCCGTCTTGCTGCCTGGCTTATACGGGAATGTTTCGCGGTAGTGGTCGGCAATTTTCTCTCGGGTGGTTACCCAAACGCCGTCCTTTGAAGCGATGTATTGCATGAACCTGCGGAGGGCCTCAGACCGGCCGGGCTTACCAACAATTCTTGAATGCTAGCCTAAATCAGCCTTCCTTTCGCATGACGCCTTATTCCAAGTGACTGACCATGGGGATGTTCATCATTTTGCCGCCCTCTCTATACAAGCAGTCGAACGTGCTTTTCAGGTAATCCTCGTACATTTGACCTGCCTGATGCCTTTTTTTAGCTTGGTGATTCGGGCAAGGAATATCGAGACGACATGGTACTCTACTGCAAGCTCACAAAAGGTGGTCAAGTCTTGCCAAAAGGTACGCGAATTCGAGTAAACAGACAGAAAGGCGTTTATGCAATGGGTTCACTCTGCGTAGGGTCAGTGAATGGTAAGTGTCATGTGGGACGTAAGTTACGAACCACACTGGTAACAAAACCAGGAGACATGTGGAACTTGCCGTCATTGCAATCGTAGTTGTATGGAACAATAAGCATGCCCTTTCTCTCGGACTCCGGCAAACCGGCTTCGCTAGGTAGATCGACCCTGTGCAAAAGTCAACACGGGGCGTTGCCAGTGATTCAAGCGAATATAGTACCAGTACGGCACATCGTCGTTGTATGCCTGACCAGAATTAAGCCTCTATGCTCAAGGGGAAAGGACATTTCGCCTTCACGAACCTCGCTTGAGTATTTCAGCTCCCAACCTTGCTCTTTGCACACTTCTGGCACGAGTACATGCGTTTGGGGGGTTCCTCTTCCAAAGTAAAATCCCACGGGTCGTTTGGTAGTGACCCTTTCGAGCTCCGAGAAGGTATCTCTGATGTACTTCTTGTCTTCTTCAACGCTGTAATCCCAAAATTCGAGCCAGCGAAGCCCGTGGGCGGCAATCTCGTGACCTTCTCGCACACAAGCTTGGGCAAATTCGGGATTGCGCTCCATCGCTTGCGCGATCGCGTACAGAGTCATGTTCCAGCCAAACTCCTTCATCAGGCGAAAGATTCGCCAACATCCGCTCCGTGATCCGTACTCGAAATCGTGCTCGCTGTTCAGATGGCGCCCGCCCGGCTTCACGCCTCCGCTGCTGCCCTTCTCCCACAGGTAGGGCTCGCTAAGACCGTCGCCGTCGTTCCAGCTTCGCTCGCCTCCCTCCTCGTAGTTCAGAATAAAGCTGACGGCAATGCGGGCACCGTTTGGCCATTTTGCGTCATGTCCAGCCTCGCCAAATCCCTCGAAATCCCGCGGCAGCTGGATGGACTCCTCGACGTGTGGCATTTTGGCTCTGAATCGGAGATTTCGACAACGTGAATCCTGAAGCGTATCAGCTTCAATGCGTGTTTAGTCACCATATCTATATTCACCAACTCAGGTCCAGGATCCGAAAATCCCGAGCACAGGGGTAGCTGGCGGACCGTGGAGGTCTTGATCCGCTGGCCCTCAGCGGGGTCCGCACTAGCTCTGGAGGCTATCAACTTCGCCCATGTGCGGCAATTTGATATCAAAGTTAGCTCCCTGCCCGTCGGAGGTCTCGGCATTCTCAAAGCTCACCTGTATTCTCGCCGAGACATTGATGTTACGTTATTACGTTCGATGATCTGTTCCGTAATGGGGATGTTCTTTTCGCGCACATCTCTGTCAAGTAACGTATTTCTTTCTAGACCTTTCCCAGTTCTGCGTCGCGGTGAAGTTTCCAATCCAGAATGTCTGTCTTTTCCGTAACTCCCAAGGACGGGAACCCAGTCACTACTGAGGTCCTAGATGCAACGTGCAAGAGCTTGGGGGTTCTAATTCACGACGATGAGAAGGAGGACTACAGAAAACTACTCGCTGTGTTTCACGAGGCCGCGGAGGAGTTGATGGCAATGCCAGACTTTGATCCTCCCACAAACGTGAAAAAATTCCCAAGGGAGCAGGTCCATTTCCCGACGGAAGACCAGAATCCGTATGGGGCATGGGCTTGGAAATGTTCGATCAGAGATCCAAACATTGCAGACGGCCCATTGTCAGGAAAGCGTATAGCAGTGAAAGATAACATTGCCGTGAAAGACGTGCCGATGCTCCTAGGGACAAATTTTATCAAAAACTATACTCCCGTAAGTGGATGAGACTTTTCCAGCTTCATTGCATGCTCTTTGATCGTATATCGAGCATACTATTTGAATTTTCTTGGCAACGGGCTTGAACTCAAGGCTCAAACCACCAAGGCGAGCGCAGGCTGAGATCGTCCAGAAAATCGATGCGACCGTCGTCACTCGAGTGCTCGAGGCGGGGGGTGAGATTGTCGGCAAAGCTGTGTGCGAGAACATGTGTCATAGCGCAACTTCTCACTCTGCGGCGACGGGAATTGTTGAGAATCCGAGAGCCAAGGGTTACTCTTCAGGAGGCAGCTCAAGCGGATGTGGAGTGCTGGTTTCCTTGGGTGAGGTGGATATGGCCATAGGAGCGGATCAGGGAGGGAGCGTCAGAATCCCCGCATGCAACTGTGGCATTGTTGGCTTCAAACCCACGTTTGGATTGATACCATACACTGGGTGTGGATCTAATGAAGCATCAAATGATCATCTAGGCCCTATGACAAAGACTGTCATGGATTGTGCAACGCTCTTAAGTGTGATCGCTGGACAAGATGGCATTGACGACAGAGGATTTGCAGCACCAACTGCGCAACAGCTGCCCCAATTCGCAGAGAAACTAAAAAAACTTTCGTCTCCCGACAGGCTCGACGGTCTGAAAGTTGGAGTCATAGTAGAGTCTCTATCTACGCCAGTCCTCGATCCCAGAGTCAGAAATACATTTTGCAACGCCGCGAACAGACTGAGAGAAATTGGTGCTTCGGTTGAGGACGTGGGTATACCTATTCACAAGAAAGGGACGGCAATTTGGACGGGAGTTAGTAAAGTAGGTGGTTACCTCACCAAATTGCACGGTTCTGTTGGACGACGCAGCTACAACATGACGGACCTGAATGCTTTGATGCACCCAATAACTCAAGCCAATTGGGACGGAGCTTACGTGTCGTAAGTATAACCTTGTGTTGTGCAGCCGTACAGGTCAAACTAAGATTTGCTCAGGACGAAGAACATTTATCTAAATGGAGCCTATGCAATGACTGCATTCCCTCATCTGTTGGCAAAGTCCATCAACCTTTCGAGAATGCTTCGAGCTGCATACGATGAAGCATTAAAGAAATACGACGTTCTCATCACTCCAACTCTGCCATATCTCGCCACACCACACGCGAAGACCGATGGCACGCCTCTTGAGCAAATCGGAACGCAAGTTGGATTGACTAGCAACACGTGTCAATTCAATCAGACCGGCCATCCAGCGCTGACACTGCCATGCGGGTTACTCGAAATTGAAAACGGACCCCTTGCCGGGACAGGAACAAAATTGCCTGTCGGATTGCAGATAATAGGCAAGTGGTGGGACGAGGAGACTGTGTTACGTGTGGCACACGCTTTTGAGATAACTAACGACTGGGAGAAATTGTAAAGTGTAAGCGAATGATTGTTGTACGGACCATACATAAGAGGAGTATGTTGACGAAAGTATGAGGGCTTCTTGGGTCACAAGCGGCATTTAGATTTGTTTGGTATGAATAGAGATCTAAGAAAAAGCCCTTGCTCCTCTACTCATGAAAAAAGACAAACGTCAGCATGTCTACATGAAGAAGATTCGTAACTTCGGAAAACGATTATGGGACGTCACGGCTGAGCTACATGTGATCTTTGTTCAATAACGCAGGTCTGTCAGGAAGTACTGCATGAAGTATTCGCACCGGATTTCACGACTGGCGCTGTTGTCATTATTGTCCTTTGTAGGCCTTGCATCGAGTCCAAATCGAAGAGGTTATTTGCATTTACAGCCATGAAATCTTTTGAGGGACAGAAATCGGTGTGCAACTTCCCACCTCAACGGTGAGCTGCGAAGGGACATTCTACGCGCCAATCGGTACTGGAATCTGGACCTCCAGTGATCGATTCATTTCACAGCGAAATATGACACTGATTGCGACTCGAGAAAGATAGCTTTGCATCCAAACCAATTCAAGAACTGGCCGCAGTATAGCTGTTGTCCTTCACATACGTGTTAAGTGTGAATAAGACGAGACTACAATCAAATGTAAACAGGGACATTATCCTTTTATTGTCTCAAGCCGGCTCTACCTTTTCAACTTAACCTCCAGTTTGGACGGACCGACTTCTTGACAGCTGTTTGCGAGGTGCCAGAGCCCGTTGATTTCCACAAGCGCTCCAGAGAAGCGCATGGCTCTCATAAGCTGCCTATCTATGCCTCATTCATCACAAGATCTATCGCCTTATCACATTGATCCGCACTGGAGCTCTTTTGATGTGCTCTTCGCCAGTGTTCAAGGAGACCTGGGCGCGAAGGGAGTTTTGCGAGTAGAGACGAGCGCGACGAATGAGGCTAGTGCGTAGAACTAAGGCGCGCTATACACTAAAACGTCACCGTAAAGCCGCAGTCCGTCACCAAGTGGTAAAGAGTCTTTGCAAGAGCTGTCGATGGCTAATCTAACCTATAAACAATTGCAATGGCACGAGACAGACCTTTAAGTAGTACGACCCCAAGATATTGGCCAGATGAACCCTTGCACGTGCCATGTATCCGCGACGATGAGGCATTTCCTCACTTGCTAAGCAAACTGTCCATGTACGTGCTGCAACATTATGCTAAAGGCCGACAAAGCTAAGGATCATTATAGCTATATCACAGATGCGATTGTCTCACCGCACAGCTTCGAAGAGCTGCGGTCACCGGTCGTTGAGCAGCGGCTTAGCCCACTGATAGACTACATTGCCGATTCTGTTCACAACAGAGCGATTGTCTGTGCATTGCTGGCACTAAAGGGCTACTTCACCGCGCTTGAATCCGACGAAAATCGGGGGGTCAATTTATCGCGCGGCTTTGCGTGCGAGTATGTTGCCTGGAGATTTCTCACCCATCTATCTGGCCGAGAGCTCATTCATTTCCTGTTGTACGAGCTGCCCCCGCATGAAGTAGGAACAAGAAATCAAGACGAAGAGGCCGGATTGGTGAGACAAACCTCGTTACCACCGTCAGCGCAGCCGCTAGATGGCTCCCAGCCGACGCTATTGGACTCATCAATTCTTGGGCACGGCGAGGATGTCGCGGAAAGCTCTGCAGATGATCACGTGCGCTCATCTCTTTTTGAAATAGGAGATGGAGGCGACTTTGTCGCCTCGTTCGATCATCTCAATGCGCTTGAGATTGCGGCGGTGACCAATGCGAAAAAATTTCTGTCCCAACGTGTCGTTCAGAGAATAATCGAAAGTATCTGGAAAGGGGACATCGTGTTCTGGGAGACGTTAGATGTCGGATCGGAAAAAGAAGCCAAGATATATAATAAACGGTACGTATGCCAATTTGATCTTTTGCTATTTAACTAACTTTTCTCGTAGCAAGGCCGATCCATATTGCCGCCTACGTGTCCCGCGATACCTAAAAACTTTCGAAGCACTCTTTCTGATCTCGTTTGTCATTGTATATCTTGCGGTGCTTATCCCAGTGCAACGTAATTCTCACAGTCGGCCGCGGAGACCGGGCGTACCACCATTGACTACTAACTATTCTGAGATTGATTTGGGTTCTCCGATTCAAAACTTTCGTCACATCACGCCAGCAGAAATACTTTTGTACATCTGGCTCGTTGCTTTCGCATATGATGAGTGTAAGAACTCGTTACTTGAACGCCCAGCACGGCTCTAATCTAGGGAATAGTTGGCGAGTACATGGACGCCGGTACCGCCTTTTACACGACAGATTTTTGGAGCTTGTGGGACATCGGCATTGTGGCGATAGGTGTTGCTTTCTTCATAACACGTGAGATTGACGCACTGAATTCAAAAAAAAAATGTGCTAATTCAGGTTTCAGGCATGATCGGACTCTCAAAAAATTCAGATGAAATCATAGGAACTGCCTTTGACATCCTTGCACTAGAAGCATTGTTCCTCATTCCACGGTGAGAGTGGTGAAAAGAGACCATGTATAGGAACTTACAGACGTCTAGATTATGCTCTATTCTCAGCCTGAATCCGTACTTTGGAACAATTGTACATATGCTACCCCAAAATTCGCGCACAATGGCTAACGTCGCAGATACCGTGTCTACGCGAGATGACCAAAGATTTCTTCAAATTTCTTAGCATTGTTGCCATACTATACTTAGGTAAAAGATAATGTTTTGCAAACGAGATTCACTTCTGACGTGAGATTGAGGCTTTCTCACGACCTTCACGTTACTTGCTCGCGACAATTTCAGCCTTAGGGAGATGTCCTGGATATTGGTGAAAGTTTTCTTTGGGTCATCATATTTGGGATTTGTACGTCAGAAATAACCAAAACGCCGATCTCAACATTTGCAAAGAAGATTCACAGTGGAGACTAACATTCCCCCTTAGGACGTTGCCCAAGACATTAGTCCTGCATTAGGCCCACCTCTGATGGTATGCTGTCCCTCTTGATACGTATTTCTTGCACTGATGGCATTGCAGCTAGTCTTTGTGACGCTCACGAACATCCTCCTGATCACATCTCTTATGTAGGTCGTGTGCATTCTTTTTCCACACACACGGGCACTGAAGAAAAGGTTTAGATCCTTATTGAGCAACTCATTGACACGGGTGAGGATGAATTCTTGATGATTTGTAAACTTGCTAATTCATACTAGATTCTTGAACATGCACGAGATGAATATCTATACATCTACTCAATCTACGTTCTCGAAGCGTCGACGTCGAATCGGCTGACGTATTTCCTGCCACCTCTGGTATGTGTCGATACATCAGATTGAGTGCGAAAAATGAGACCGCGCATACCTCGACAATCGTTAGACACTCAACTAGTCGTGACTCAGCCACGCTTTGAATCTAGCTCTTCGATCGTAGCGCGGTCCCTTTCCTGATTCTCTCGTTGATTTTCGAGGGATGTGCTATTGCTGACTTTGGGCTAGAATCTCATCCCGCTACTTCTACGTCCCCTGAGACTTTTGATAGCGCCAGAAAAGCTGCGAAAGGCCCGGATATTTTTGCTTAAGGCAACTCATGCTCCATTTGTCCTGGCAATTTGGTCGTACGAAGGTCTAGCCGACTATTTTGCAGGAACACGGAAGTCCCAACCGCCAGAATTCCCCTCCTTAGGTGGTCCTACTGATGCAACTGCACGCAGTCTAAAGAGGTCTTCCTATTTGAGGCCATTCACATCCCGTGCGCCGATGGTGGCGGACAATGGCCATAATTCCTTCATGCGGCACATGCGCGACAACCGCGGAAGGAAGAGTTCTCGTCCCACAACAGCTACGGCAGGCATTGATCCACAGGGAGATCTCAGAGATTTAGTTCTCAAGCTCTCTTCGCAGATCGAAGATCTCACAGTGATGGTGGCCGATCAGCAGAAGGTAAAGCAATATGAGGGTTGAGTAATCTAAGAAATGTTCCAAGTTGCCAGACACAAAACAAAGTAGCAAAGAAGTTTAGCATACCGTATCCATTTACTCCCAAATACCTAGCCTCCGAAGCACAAGCCGAACACTACCGGCCATGGACTTGGTGTTTGCCCGATGGCCCACAGTGTAAAAGAACTTGTCTATCCGCAAACATTGCTTTTTTCATCTTGACCAATGACTAAATATGCAAGGCGGTAATGTTTTCAATTTGTATTGTGGGGATTTAGCACAAGAAATTAAACCCAGACGCTTGGAACTCGTTTCATTCGCCAGCCACGTACGCCAGGAGCAGTTGATTTAATAGGCAGGATTTATGTGCCCACATGCTGGTTTTGAAGGAAAGCAAATGCTCCTACATATATGTTTTCATACTAACATTGCGTCGCCTCTTATCGGACGCTCCTTCAATCAATGCGGACTCAAATCATTAATATATGTTACGACTGCTCAAACCCTATCTTCGGCCTTCTTTCTGACCGGGTTCAGTGATCTTTGGATCCCATATCTTTTTTACAATAGATCAAATCACCTTAGGATCACAATGGATGTTCAACATGCTATGCTTCCCTCACCTCCTCCTACGCCTTCTGCGTTCTCCGAAGGGAGTTCATATCCCGGAATCGAAGAGTCCGTATCACAAGCACAAATTTTCTGCGACTGGCCATTCTCAGTCTACGACATGGCGGCACATAGCCCGCCAAGTTATCCGCAGAGTCCTACAAATACTTATCCAGTTCCCGATAACCGCCCTTATTCAACATATCCTCCGGGTCAGGCTTTTGAATCGCGAGAAAATACTATCATAAAAGCTCCCCTTCCTCGTGATGACCCTTTGCCCGTAGCTATAACTGCTGAAAATTTAGGGCAAGCATTGGAGCAAACGTTTCACTTAGTAGGGGCACAGCCTCTTCCGCAAGTTTCAAATGACTGCGGCGTGATGTATTCGGAAATTCAGCAGGAGGTATCACGCTCAAATCTCTCCACACCTTTATCTACGATCTTTGAAAGTCCAGGAGCCATGGATTCGGACATGGAATTGCTTAACTCAGAGATGGCTGTTCAACTAAACTTGCTGGATGCTCTGGCTCTTGACGCATCTAGTTTTCAGAACTCTCCAGCTCTCTTGGGAGCCGGTATGGTTGAATCATTTCTGACCGTCCAGAATCAAGTCACAGATTCTCATGCATTGTCAAACTTTCACAGGTCGTCGGATCCATTTGTCCAGGAGCCGTGTGTGATAGCATTTGGACAGGAACGTTATCTGGACAACCTGTCCTCGATAAGTCTCCAGCTCGGCCTCACGCAAATTGTCCCCGCCACATCCCAATCCAACAATACTGCACGTTCCGAAACAATGCGAACCAGCCCTTCCGAGAGAGGAGGAGGAGTGCTTTCAGTTCCAAGAACGCGCCACAGGCAGAACAATTCTAAGGAAGTTTCAGCTGACCTAGTCTGTGATATCTGTGGGCAAAGCTGCAAACGAAAACACAACCTGAAAAATCATATGCAACGGCACGACGCATCACGGGAAAACATGTTCAAGTGCATGAATTCTGGCTGTAAACAGCCTCCGTTCGCTCGGCTGCACGATCTGGAAAGACACCTCGATTCGGTAATTTATACAAACGACCTTGAGTGGAATATGCTCACTCCGTTTAGGTGCACAAGCGGAAGGAACCTATTCAGTGTGCATATTGCGGATACAGTACGCCCCGTGCAGACACACTAAGAAGGCATGTACAGAAGCCGGTGCGAGTTAGTAGAGTGTCTAACATTGTTCAGACACCAAGAAAACAACTGTGGGAACCGCCGTGCTGCCAAGCGAAGCGAGACTGTGAACGGAAGGAAGTACAGATCTAGAAACAAGCGATTGGCTTGATGGAACTCAGCCTGGAGAATCTCCAGCTTCAATTTGGCGCAAGCTCAGCGTCGAAAGGCTCACGACGCGGTATCCCAATTCCGTTTATCGATCTCGGTCTACCTATTCTGGCCAAGGTGCCGTTATCTACCTCTCTCGGTTTTGCAATTCTTGTAAGAACCTGTGCCGTGATAGTCTTTCGGACCAACATCAGTCTTTGAATGAACATGAATGGTTATTTAATTTTTCAAGTCTCAAATGATCTACAGCTTTGTCCCATGCTGATTTCGAGCGCTATAAGCCTGCCACCCGGCCTTGAAAGATTATAAATCCGCCTTGCTAACGCTCGTATTTTTGAGGCACACTCGGCGTGTTTTATTTTGACTTGAGCAAGTACGCCATACGATCCTCATCAGCGATCTCTTCATTCATGTGAGCGTTAAGCACAACCTAAAGACGAGGTCGCTATCAACGCAATCTACTTAGCTCTGTACCTTCGGAACAAGCCTTATTCTGTCTTTCCAGCTCTAAGAACATAACTCAAAGTCTTCCCGAAAATCGGTCACACCTTGATCGACAGGATTCAGGCGCGGCTGGCATGAACCAATTACATGCACTGGCCGATGCCACCCCCCATGCATTCATCACTAATCTATCGAAAGTCAGTCGTCGCCTAGGGAGGACTGAGCATTTTCTCGATCCCTTTTACTTCCAACGTGGATGAATGGATTCAGCACAAACTTCATTTCTTGGAGGTAGGTGCTGGAAAGGAAAGGAACGCCGTGAAATTGTCAAGTTCGTAATGGCTCCCTTTTGTGGGTGTGTGTCGTTTCCGCACGGGAACAGGCTATCATGGTCCATATGCAGTCGACAATAAAGTAGAGGTGCTCGACCAGTTATCATCGTCTCACTTCAGCCACGTCTATGTCTTCATGTCAGAACAAGTTCCGGATGCCTGGTTCTGCGTCTTTGCCCCGTCTCGCGTTACAAATATTTTTCGCAGCGCAGGCGACGAATCAGACGTCTGATCTTACGGAAGTACTGGCTGTGCATGCTGTTCGACCCAATTTGAGCGTAGGTCGAGCTTAAAGCGCTTCACCGCGTGTAATGCCTACGATTTCTCTAGATTTTGAGAGTGTTGTTGACGAGTCATCGAATCCTCTTGCAACCTCTACACCGCGGAATGCGATCTCGAACCTGCACCTCATTTCAGCCGCGGCCAGCCCGGGTATGTTGATCCAGGTCGACACAGGTCTCCATGCGGACAAAAAGCTCGGAGCAGGTGTTCGCCAGCCCAGTAGCTGCCACCAGAGCCCTGTGGGAAATTGGATGGATGCAAATCTCTTGTGCAAATTGGCTTGTGCCGCCAAGCATCCATCCAGGTACTGAACAAAACGGGCACGCCGGAGAGGTCTGACTACGATATTGGAGAGCTCGCGATCCTTCGCTTAAAATCTCCGCCACATTCATGTCACACAGTTTTCCCCAATGGCTCAATTCTACGAACTGATGGATAAAGTATTCATACATGTGGCCAGAAGATGCAAGAGATGTTGTAGGAGACTGTCATCGATGCCACAGTACTTCATCTTGAACAATTTACCAATGCTGCTCAAATGATTGTAAAATCCACTACAGCAGCTCTTTCTTTGTGAAGAGGAAAAGAAAAAGAAAATAGCCCCAAAACATATTTAACAGCCTCACGAGATCTATTCTAGCGACGGTCAGATGCTAGGTCTGTTCCCCCCGGCAAGGAGTGGCTCAGCTTTTGGTCTATTAGGTCTTTCTTACTGTGCATATGTAAGCCATATGCATCAACGCTTTAAACGTAAGTTACCTTTTTTTGCTAAAACTAGGTTTTATGAGTAGTTTATGCGGCTTGAGTTTTTAAACAACAGAACGCAGCAACCCTGCAGGAGTCTGGACAAACGAAGGATTGCAAAGGAACGGTTGGCATTCCGGAGTGAGGGACGGCTCGACAACGCCTTTTTTGCAACGGTTTCGATCTGCGATTCTTACGCTGCAAGTAATACTCTCTGCCTGCGGGAGCTATATGGCATCTTTGGCCGTGCGATGGATTATATGAGCAAAGAGGAGAGAGCACATCCGTACATCCGTCCACGTCAGATCAAACCTATCACAATGTAATTTTTGCCGGACGCGCTATCAATCCTTTTCCAGCACGGGCGAGAGTGCCTAATTTCGTGAGCTCTGGAGCAGGTCTACATCGTCCAAGCAAGAGAAGCCACGAGTGCTTGTACAAGCTCTCAGCCACTCGAGTCATGAGGTCCCATCACAAGGCGATTGATCTGCACAAGTCTCGATCTATGGGGGGGAAGGGGGGGTGATATCGTTGAATTGAGAAGGAATAGGCTCGGATATGAGTTTGGAGACTTTTATCTCATTCTGTGGACACCATAGACCTAAACGCAGTGTAATAAACTCACTAATGTCAGAGTTATATGTGAGTCTCAAGAAGGATACCGAAGAGCTTCAAGGTTTGGTGATATCCGCTTCTGATATCTGCTAACTAGACCTGTGGGAGCGAAAGCTCATTTTGTGGTTGCAGATGCTGAGTGCACATAATCACGGTGATTCAACGTTTACAAACCAGCGGTATCGCCTGTGAACCACGCGCGTATCCGAGAGCGATAAGAACCTCAGACGTAGCTAATCAAACAGCCGCTATGTGTGCAAATTTTGGATCAAAGAAACGATGCAGAGGCGTCATTGACACAGCTGGCCTCGCCTACCGTGCCGCAACCATAGGATCGTCATCTTCAATTTCTATCTCTTAGTCAGGATGTGAGGCGGCTGTATTTGGGATCATATAACTTGGCCAAGATCCAATGGGGAAGTAAGGGCCTCGCATTGTTCGAGTACGAACCCATGCATGCGCCGCCGTTTCCTTTGCGAAACGAGTACAAAGTACAACGGCAGGAGACTAGCATCTGCTGTGCTCTGAGAGGATTGTGACCTATGTGACGAGTCGATTTAGAGTCGTAAAATCAAGGAAGAAAAATTTTTTTTTAGTGTGGATAGACGTGGCCAGGTCTCTAAAATGGGCCATTTCTTGTGATATTGAAGTTCATTGGAATGAACATCGGCCACGGATCGTCTAAATTTCCTCCACTATTCTGCACCATGTACGCATCCAAGTCCATTTGATCGAACTGCATGGTATCAGCAAGAATGGGTGTTGGCCCGAAGTCATCGACCTGGATGTCCAAAGCAGATATCGCGGCGATTGTCTCGTCTGTAAGCAGGCCCATCATCTCTCCAACTTGCTTTCGCATCTGCTGTAATCCTTGGATCAAATTTTGGCTGACAACCCAGTGCTGACGCAGCTCAAGGGCCTTCGTTGATACATTCCAAGCGTCCTTGAGCATCTGAGGAAGCTGATCGAAGTTTTGCTGTGCATGCTGCTTCTGCAGCCTGGCTTTCAATTGGGCTAGAAGAATGGCCACGCCATCCCAAGGCTTGATGTTCCTCAGGATCCAATACAGATTTTTGAGACTGGGCTCGCAGTGCAAGATGACTTGTTGCTCTACCATCTTTGTAACGGTGATGAAAAGTTCGTCCGACAGGTTTGGCGTTGACGAATTGAGCTGCGGCGTTTCTCCTTTCTGACGCATAAGCGAATAGCCCCAGACCCAGCACATTTTTAGGATCGCTACTTGTCCTAAGGCGAGAATGAGTCGGCTCCGTTCGTTGTTGGGGTTTGCACGGGCCGGCTCGATATACCGTCTGTTCAGAGTTTCCTCGAAGTCTTGAATGTGCTGGAAAAAGGAGCTTTTGTTGTTGGGGTTCCAATCACGTCTTTGAGCTTCTGCAACTGCTGCAATAGCTTCGTATCTGAGCAAGGATGGACTCATTTCGGTCGGAGCGTCGTCCGCCTTCGGCCAAGATGACATTTCAGGGCTCAACTGATCGTCCGCTAGATTGGCGGGAAGTTTGACTGGACTACCGCCGGGAGCAAAGAGGTCGCATGAGTAGTCCTCAGAAGTGCGGATACTTAACAGGACGAGATGCCACCACATTCGCCGACGCATTTCTGTGTCAAACGGCGACAGCCCTATTGTCTCGCCATCTTTATGCACGCCAATTTGCGTAGCTATCCGAATTGCGAGTGCAACTGGGCACCACAACGTGTGCCAAACTTCCGGAGTGTTCTCTTCGAGTATTTTGGTCGTCTGTTGAAGTTAGGCTTCCAATTTCCGTCATTTCGGTGCGTATTGCTCACAATATACAAAGTAAAGGCTTGCAAGGCTGTGAAGTTGTTTGTCGACGCCAACTTAATCCTCGAGATCGAAACTTCAGTTGCAAAATAAACCTTCTTCCTTAGCCCAGCTAGCTTGTCGCCAAACATCTCCGGCAGGCGAGGATCATCTTCCGTAAGTGAACAGGTCGCAGCCAGAGCGATGGACATGAGAAGCGCATATTCAATAGGGGAGCATACGGCTTCAGAGAATGGATTTGGTGGACGAGCAGAGGCGAAGTTGGACCACTTCTCCGGCATATACGTGATCCATCTGTCATGGTCAGCCGTTGTGACGTGCTTGTCTTTTGTCATCCTTGGATCGCTCGAATTCGCAACTGAGACAGGCCCCTTGATTCGATCAATCAAGAGACGTATGGTTGGCTTGTGTACAATTCTCACAATTGGATCTACACGCTCGCAGAAAAGAGCGAAAAAGTTCTCGAATTCAGTTGCCGTTGGTGCATACATCGCCTGGCTCGAGGGTCCGCCTGCCATGGAGGAGAACATGGGCAGCATGAACGGTATTCCGGGTTTGTTCTCATCCACATCTGCAGCTGCAGAACGTATAGAATGCTTTTTGACTTCATCGTCTTCGTCCTATCTCAGGTTAACGTGCTCGCGTGTCAAATTTTGGACGAAGCGTGTACCTCATCTTCTATCTTAACTCTCCCGATTTTACTTAAGACCTTCCTCTCACCCGATTCGTCGGTGACGTACAAAGACTCTCCAGCGCGCAGCGAATCAAGATCAACAGCATATACGGTCACAGCATTGCTTTGGGCATCTTTAATCCCAATCACCTCCTTCTCAAGTTTTGCCACTTTCTCTCGCAGGCTTGGTGATCTTGATTTCTTTGGCCTATTTCGTGTTATTTTGTTGCTAGGGTAGACGCAAAGGACGTTGCGCCCTGCACAACGCTGACATGGTTGCTGTCGATCACATTTCAGCTTACGCTGGTAGCAGGCTATACACGACCGCGCAGGCGTAGCGTTGTGCAAATCATTCATTTGGGGAGAGAGTACGCAAGAGGAATCTCAAATCTCTGGGGACATCAGGGTGCCATATGTAAACGCTCTGAAATTTCCTTTTCGAAACGTCGTGGACCGTTGCAGACCAAGGCAAGAATCAATTGGCTGGCGCTGAGTGGAGCTTCGCAGCGAAAAGCCCGAGAGGGCCGAGATGAATTGTTCAGCTCCGGCAGTCGTATTGCGTCACGTGCAATCAGCTTGTCTTGGCGGTTCGAGATGGTCGGCATAGCATTTCGTCTTCTAGACTGGAACTTGGTTTAGAAATGAAATTGAAAAGAGATTTGAAGCCAGAAACTTGGTATCGAAGTTTAGATTTTTTAGGACAAAGTATATACCGCGAGTTTGCTTCACGTCTATAGCTGTATCTACGCAACGAGCCAGGCCCGGAATGCAGCCGTGATAGATAAGAGAAATGCCACTGGTGCATAGTCAATGCTCTAGAAAAGAACAGGATAACCTGTCATGCATATTTAGAACACGCTTAGTCCGGCGGAGGTTTTAACGGCTGAATGAACGGAGACGGTAGAATCAGAAAAGCCAGTTTAGTCATGTCTCTCTGCCGGCCGCTCCTCCGTTGCTGCTCAGGACGAGCAGGCACCGACAGGCGCAGCAAAAAGCGAAGGCCAACATGACATAGCCCGCCAAAAGCGGCAAGCCAAAACTCCACAACCGATCATCCCAGGCAAAAGGCGTGTGTTCGCTCGAGAGCGAGACGCAAGACGCAAGGTACGGTATAAGGGAGGGTGGCCCGGCGGATTGACGAGTCATTGAATGGATAGACTGGTGGTCATCTTATTGTTGACCGAGGGAAAGTAAAACGAGAGTTCTTGCGCACCTTTGTTGTAGTAGCCCATCGTTCGGCTTAGTATCATTGTCAACCGTCACCGATGGATCATCTGATTACCCATTCCGTCAGCTAAACGACTCTCATGATGCTTTTAAGGCGCGGGCAGAGTGAGGCATAGTCGATCAGACAAAGGTAAGCTAAGGTATACAGTTTCCTCAATGCAGTTCAGTAGCAGAACTGGAAAAAAAATACACTCATCACGACAAAGACATTAGATTGTGACATGATTTTGGGTGATACGTACTGATACAGAGGAGAGCTCTGGAAGAGGCTGTTCACTAGATCACGTTGAGTATCATTGAGTATGGAGAGCAACACACATGGCGTGGGCGACGCCGTCAAGACGCGTTCCACGCATCATCACAATGCCTCATTTCTCGACATCAAAACTGCTGAAGATTAGCCACATGTACCAGAAAAATGCATCAGCAGTGCTGGTTGGAATCAGAGAAGATCAGATGGTGATGCATGTTGTTCGTTGATCACGGAAGAATATCGAGAACCGTGTAAGAAAATTCATCAAAGAAGCGAACGCAAGTGGTGGCTTGGATCTGTCGACGTACCAATATTATACCAAGATCACATCCGTGGACAGCACAGGGAACCTCGCCGTCGCCGCCACCGCTGCACGTGTGGTCGTTGAAAGCTGCAGACCAAAGACGCAAGAGAAAAAAAAATTTGGACGGAGTTTGACGTTGCGGACGCGCCAAGACATCCAAGCTCCGCCAAAAGCGTCATGAGTTGCCCGCATCCACCATACGAAAAAGAAAATAGAGGAACCGCCGGTTTACGAGGCATTGGGGCTGCGTGCAACGAGTTTCACGCGCCTTTTCGACGACTATGAATGACAGAAGGCGCATAAACGGCCCAGTTGGCAAGACAACCCCGCCGGTCTTCAAGTCGACGCTGGCTTCGGCGGAGCAATTGCAAGACCAACGACCTGCGAGGGCGAGGAAGCCGGACGAACTCCGAAAGATTTGTGTGTGCATCTTTTCTACGTTCGATGCGATTCTCAGGTGTCCAGAGAGCTAACCGTTGCGCTCTGCGTAGTCTTACGAACAGGCGTCACGCCTTCGGCATCGGGTTCTGCGTACTACGAGCTGACCTCTCCGTTGTCGCCAACCAAGGACGCAGCAACCTCCTCGTCATTCCTCCCGCCGAGGTCTTGCCTGAAGATAGCCTGTACGGTCCATGGCCCTCACCCTCTGCCTCGATCGGCTCCCTACAACTCATCCCTCGTTCTCACAACGACACTCAAGTTCGCACCGTTTGCAACGAGACATCGACGCGGCTACGTGCGCGATGCCACTGAGCGCGATCTGTCCGCGCACTTGGAGACGGCTCTTAAGGGTGTGATCATTGGAGAGCGATGGCCCAAGAGTGGCGTTGACATTATTGTCACCGTTTTAGAAGGAGAGGAGGACAGGTGGTGGGGCGATGAAGTAGCGGGCGGAACGGCTGAGGTTGGAGGTTGGGGGACCATGCCGGTGCTCGCCGGAGCAATCACGGCGGCGAGTGTGGCATTGGCGGACGCAGGTATAGACTGCGTAGATCTTGTGTCGGGCGGCGTGGCAGCTGTGGTGGGCTCAAAATTAGACGAACGAGTCATCGTGCTGGACCCGTCGCCGGCAGAACATGAGAACACGATTGCTGCGTGTGTTGTTGGCTACTTGTCTGAGAGAGACGAGGTCACCGAGTTGTGGGTGAAGGGCGATGCTGGGGACCAGATCGAGGCGTTGATGGAGAAGGCCGTGGATGCTGCTGCAGCGTCGAGAACGGTGCTAGTCGATGCAGTTGTGGGAGCTGGCCACTCCAAATTCCCGAGCTCAATCACAGGCAAAGGAACTCATGACAGTGACGAGGACATGGCTGGATGAAACCGAAACCGTGGCTCACTATGAAGTGAGAGTCGACATCTGATGTCCCATCCAGCCGGCACCATTTAAGAAGTACCTATTGGCCATAAGACGATCTGTCAAGGAAACAAAATACTTGAACAAAAAGAAGCGTGGGCTTGACGCAAGACGTGGATCTTATTGTCTGAGGACGCCCGCAACAATACTTTGGAGGGGACAAGATTAAGCAAGAAAGAAGTCAAGAAAGCAAGGCGACGAACTGTCGAGCAGTATCGCAGGTTCGTCATTGCTGTAAGGGCGTACCTACAGCGGCGATTATTTCAACGAGTTCTACTCTATGAAACGTCAACCATGAGGCATCTATGCACAGGCCTCACAGTGTCAGGACAGACGAATGCGATGGGTATCACACCGCCAACAAACCGAAAGATCACTAAATGAGAGCATCTGCTCGCGTTCATCCTTTCCCCCATCACCCGGTTGAAATGAAGGTATTTCTTGTGCAGGCGACCTCTACGTCGTGGAACAGCTGGCCAACAGCGTGCAATGGCCAGTCTCTCTCTCTCTCTCTCTCTCTCTTCTTCCCTTTGTTTTCGTTCCATTTTGCTTAACTTGCTAGTCGGAGTTGGCAATAGATTGACTGCGGTTAACAGTCTGAATCCGTCTCCCCTTCAGCATCAGCTTCTGAGTCGAGGTCTATCTCTTCCCTTGCATGGTTGACTCCTACACTGAGTGGGTCGGCTGCGGCACTGAAGCAGAGGAACGACGGATGCCCACCTCCGAGATCAAAGTTGCTGTGTGGCGTGGACTTAAGCGTTCTGGACGGAGAGCCCACCTTTGATGACGTCTGCGATCTGTTCACTTTCTGTTTCTTCATCTTGGGCGTGACGATGGAATCCCATTCATGTTCGTCGTAGTCGAAAATCGTCAAAGGCATGTGATCTCTCAGCACAAAGCTGTCTTTCGAGGGACCGCAGGTAGCCGTGGGTACTGTCATGTTTGGCGTGTTCGAGGGCGTCAGCTGCGGCGGATAACTCGCCATGTTCTTCTGCTTCGCGGCAGCCATGGCGATGGCCTTTTTTCCAACGGGCTGCAAACCGGGCACGCCGTTACTGATCTCTCGGTTGACAATATCACGGTACCGTACGTACGCGGTGTTTTTTTTGATGTTGAGGAGACGGCTCAGAGCTCTGTAGTTTGGTGCGACCACCTTGCCATCCGCATCTCGGATCGAGTGTAGACATTGCTAGGGAAGCACCATGTCAGTCCTTGGAACTACCTTCTTCGAAAGCGGGGGCTGCACGCAGCGAAACTCTGACGAAAGAATGAGACATTACGCACCAGGATGAACTGGAGTCTCTCGTCTGGCGTGGCTGCCTTGGGGCCCATGCTGCTGGTACAATATCGGGACTCACGTCGAAGGTTGCAAAGCTCAGAAGATTGAACGCGGACCTGGCGATAATCTACTTTTCGAGAGCAGTCCTGTGCGGGAGTGGACTAGAATTTGAATTACCAGACAGCATCCTGGTCACAACGCTTACTCATATGCTCTCTTCTTGTAAATGGCCAAAGTGGGTTTGCGGCACAACCTTCACGCATAGAACTAGGCATAAGAGCACATGGCTGGCGGCTTCTTGATAGGTTCCAAGGACTGACAGGTGTCTTCATGCGAGGAAATGGGATTGGGTTGGAAATCACACGGAGGAGGGCGTACCTTGGGGCACGTCGACTACGACCTGAACGAGAGCATGTCGCCAGACTAACCGTGAATCAATTGAGATGCACTTTGGCTTCAACCGTACAGCTGAGGCAGAGGTTTGATAGGTCGTAGTGAGTTGGCTATGCCGGGCTTGGAAGCCTCTATAATTCAAATCTTCGTCCCGTCGAGGGCAGCGCGCGCGAACTCCATCTGGCCCCGTGCGTATTTGAGATTCACTAAGCTCATCGTCCACTAACTAACGTATTTGATATTGAGCTTGGCTAATGAGTCAGCCGCGTGTATTTGATTCACTGGGGCCTGGGGGAATCGGCGAGTAACAAGACACAGGCATGCTGATAGCGACCTCGCGCCACTTCGAGACCGCATCAGCGTGTGAAGAAAAAGCTCTTTACAAACAGCTCAAGGCTTGAACATTATGTGACAGGTCGCAACCTCCCGCCAGGAAATCTTGTCCACGGAAACCCTGGTTGCCGATCGTTGATAAAGTGCAGATCGCCGTCCGCGGGCTGGTAGTTCGTGCTATTTGACGTGAGAGCGTTGTGCGCTGCAAGCCACGCAAGTCCACATCTAGAATAGGCCTGGCCAAAAACCACGAGACAACCACGAGACAACCATGAGACAGCCACGAGGCGTCAGAGGCCGGAGAATCGTCGGTTTAGCACAGACCTATCGAATACGCCGTGATGCCTGCACATCACGTTTACTGGACACTCACCGACTAGTACGGCTAGGCATCACGCACTGGCGCAGAACAGCACATGTACGTGGAGCAGAGGAAAGCTGGAAAATGGACGAGCAAATGCACTTTGTCTAGGGCAGACAAGGCGAGGCTAGTCGGTTGAGAAAAGGCTCAAGTCACGTACACATATACGCACACTGATGCCGCCTCTCACGAAGGAGACACGACATGAGCAGTCCGTCTCTCGCCCACATTCACATAATCCAGAACCGCACTCACTCTCAAGTATCCCATCCTCGTGCATACTAGAGGCGCCACACCCCATGGGAAAGGGTACCCAGGCTCACATCAAATTGGTCTGTAATTGCGTTCTTTTTTTTCTTTTTTTTTCCTTTCTTCTCCCTGGCCGAATCCTCCGGCTGAGCTTTCCTCAGCACCTCCGTGGGGTTGGCCACGGGAAGCCAGAACGGTAATCCAGATTCGATCGAGATCGTACTTTAGTTGATCTAGATTCGAATCCATTGCAGCAAGGCTTCATCCGTTCTTTTTTGGACTTTCTTCGGGTTTTCGCCCAGAAGTTCCCGTTACTTTACCATCTGCGCCGTCGAACACAGCGCATGTCGGCGAATCCTTGCCGGTTGCCGGCAGATGTGAAGACAGCAACGTATGGCTGAGTCGTGCACGCGCTGAGTTATCAAAGTCCGGGGGGCTGGAGCCGGACATTGTGACTGCTGCATGTCTTTTGCATGGCTGGATGGGAAATGTCATCGTTTGATCCGCTTTGGGGGTTGTGTTATTTTTAAGCTGGGGCTATTCAAAGGTGTTGCGAGAACGGGCTGCAAACCCCCCTATTGAATCGTATTTCTGTCACCTGCAGCCTGCAGATCATGGATCCCGAAGAACCGGAAAGGATATATGACAGCAAGCGAGCGCTAAATCATACCATACAGTACAACGTATGGGCCTTTTCCACCGTAATACAGCCCTGTGCTCTGGGTTCTCCCGCGCGTTTCACAGTGGGAAGCCAGTCTCCAATCCTCACGGAGAATTCGATCGATCGTAAAAACAACCTTGTGCTCATGCACACCGTGGTCGATCTCCATGCTGGGTACGGGGGGAAGAGAAGGGAAGTTCTGAACGGATTGGGCATGGCCTCTTTTGCTTTCGCACAACCCCATGGCTTCTCTGCGTGGTGTGGACGGTGGTGCTAGGCTGTGCTACTCGATGCACATCCTCTTATAGCACAATGAATAACACTCGAGCCCTGGGCTCATACTGAATAAATCGTAATTTTCGACTAAAACATCAAAGTTTGCATTGGCGGAAGCGAGTCTGCGGAACTGAGAACCATCTTTTGACTGTCTACTTTGATGGCTATCTCCTAGACCAAGAAAGGACGTTATCAAATGGGAGAAAACATCAATCCAATTGAAATCTAGGATGTAGTGGTATCGGAACGCCGTGAATTTGGAGGCCTACCTCATACTGCAAACGCCTTCCCCCCCCCCCCCCCCCCCCCCCCCCCCTCGGAAGAAACGAAGCCTCGCTTGAATTATCGTCATCATCCAAGTCAAAAGACTTGGAACTTTGTACATTCTTGTCGCAAATTGTAAAGCTTGGCTATATACTCATATCTACGCTCAGAGCTAGACAATCGGCAGATTCAGTGGTATGCAATAGTATCTGTGACATGAATCATATGTTTCTGCCAGACGCCGGCAATGTCCTAGAGCCTGAGAGGACCACAGTTGGTCTTACAGGTGTACATCATTGTATTGCGTATACCCTTTGGTGATTTCGCAGCCTTGAAAGTGAACCTCGGTGTCCTTGATAGAGTTGATCGAATTGAATCTAGACCGTTCACACATGGACAAGTTAACAAGCCGTTTTCATAATGAACCTCAACGTTGCAGAGGCAAGATATGCAACTACAGGTTCTAGCCGGACCAAAATACTGATTACATCGTTCAAGTGGTAAATCCTGAGCCAAAATCTCTTCAAATACGACATCTCTGAGATCGTGGAGACGATAGGCATACTAACACAAGCTACCATGAAATGTATGCAGACGAAGCAGCGTCGAACTTACTCCACTGTAGTCGTCGCGATTCGTTGAATTCTGAGCAGGAGCTGGGTCAAGGACGTCGGGATTGTCGGCTGCTTTGAGAAGATGATCCAAGGTCGTGGAGGTTGCGACAATGAGAATAAGAATAATTCCATGATCAGGACGAAATCGCCTTTGCCGTGGCCCTGAACTCCTGTACGGGGTTCGGCCTCGACCCTCAAGAAGGCTGTAGTGCTCGCAGACGGTTTGACGAGACGTGTATAGCTATAGCACGATGTGCGAGCATCAAAAACACATGTCGTGCTAGCAAAGATGGAGCCCAAACACTGCTCGGAACAAACAAAACCTGGAGCTTATTTCCAAGGAGGCTGATTCATTTCGACCTCGTCGCCTCCTTGAGCCGCACGTCACCGAGTGACTTGCTGCGCGGCCGCTTCTAGAGAAATGGGTGCGACGCCTGAGTTCAATCGCAATGGCCGGACGACGGTTTTGCTTAACCTTCACAAATGTCTTCACTACCACGAGTGTATCTTGCGTACGAGGCCGGGATCGTCGTCGCCGTGCTTTATCGCTTTGTACAGAATGAGCTCACCGCTTCTTGAGTGAGTATAAAACGTGCCGCCCGTTTGCACGATTCGCCGCGAAAGTGGAATCTCGTCGCACGTTGCTCCTCTTGCAGCCGCTTCTTCCAGCGATTCATCTCCCCGCTCGTAAGCATCTATGGAGCGACTGATTCTGGCGATAAGTGTTCCATCCCATAGGCCCTCTAGTCGGGGATATTTCTCGAATAACTTGATGGCATTCAGACGAATGCGAGCGTCGCGACACCTGAGGCAAACTTGTATCAAGATCATGCACACCCCCATTTCGAAGGTCAGTGAATGGTGGGCACCGTGCCTGGTACTTGGAGCGTGACGATGAAGCACTGTGATAGGACTGCTCGTCGTGGCATCGGACGAGACCGAGCTTGACTTCGCCTCGTTCTCCATAACCGTGCGGCAAAGTTTCACCAGCCGATCAAAAGTTTGTGTATGGTTATCCCACATCAATTCCCTTGGCAGACCTGCCGTGCTGAGAACAATATCAGCGAGTAGGGCATGACTCTCGAGTAACGTGTACACGGATGCATCCCTCGTCGACAGGCTGCCCAGTCGCGCACGTAGATCCTTAACACCTAGGTACCACACTTCGAAATCGTGCCGAAGCCTCCGGCTTCGTTGCTCGAGTTCCTCTGCCAGTGGTGTGTCCGCTCGAGCTTCGAATATGCCACCGTGGTAGTTCTCGCCCACGCTTTTAAGCCAGTCCGCGCGCACGTCATTGACCCAGCGAAAGAGGGAATGCCATCGTACATGAAGGCTGGTCCAGGCCTCATCCAAGTTCGAAAAGCAAGGCACAGGCTGTGGCATCGTGCTTGAATACTCAAAGAACCCTGAAGCTGTTTGCTTAGCAAACAAATCGGCGATGAGGGGAGAGAGATCGCCCGTCAGTTCCTGTTTCTGTCTCTCGAGCCTGGCAAAAGCGGGAACAAACTTCTGCATAGGGATTATGTTGCAACCATCTGTTCGGAATGCATTCTGCTGACACTGCTGAACGATGCGAACGCCACTCCTAACGTGCTCCAGCATGACCCCGTAATTTCGACGTAGACTCTAGTCGAGTGTCAGGAGCTTGGTCGTCCATCAAAGCAAAGGCGCTCACCTCGAAGCCGATAAATAGCAGGCACGCAGAGAGCACAATGTCTGCTGAGATAGACTGGTCGTTATTCCTGGCGGGGGCTAGCATCCGCAACGACTTGGTGTACTGTTTGACAGCATAGGGATCTTCTTCGAGGCCTACAGAAAGGGACTGCCTCGACAGGACTGTACGATGCATGCTACCCATGGCCAAAGCAGCATGATAAATGGCATCGCTGTGTTCTGAAGCTTGCAGAAGGAGCTGTTTCCAATCTTGATCGAGCAGCCCCGTGAGATATTCCACGGTGTGCCGCTGGAAGAAGGCGAAGCAGTCCGCAGCCTGGCCGTCATATCGGGCTGGGCTGGGTCGACGGTCCGGACTGGTCCCAATAGACGAGACAGTTACGACTTCCCAGTCGTCTGAGGGAGCAGCACATCCGTCGCAAATCCGGCCTGCCGACAGACAACGCCGGCAAGAAGGATATGCCTCATCACACTTCACGTGTCGCAACCTTGGGACAACTATATCAGCGTGCACGAACCGCGACCAGGAGAACGGATGGAAAAGCAACGCTCGCACCTACCGACAAGTCCTACAGCCTCTCTTCGACCGTGTCCACGTTCGTCTTTTCCTTCCTGCATCAATCGCCATCATGCACGGTGTTGGTCAATGGTCGCTTTTGGCAAGGGGAGGAAGGCCAGCAAATGCAAAGGAACACATTTTCTTTCCTGAGCTCGGAGAAGAGTAATGCCTACGTTCACACGAGCGTCGATCGGAGTTGGGAGCATGAATACATGGCCACAGGTACTTTGAACCAGGGGTTCATCATAGATCCACACTCGTCCCTTGCATATTTCCCCCCCGATATAGCAAGTTCCACAATGCCGCTATACCTTCTCCGTCCAGTACACGAGCTTGGCATCAACCGACGGGCTCCCAGCGTTCCTTCGAAGTTCCCAATAATACACCACTGACCAGGAAATGCGATCACGGCTGCCGCATCTTCATCTCGGTGCGTAAGAGTTCTGACGCTCTCTCATGCCGTCACCCTTGTCTTTCGCCATCTCGTTGGTCCCCCGTCTCGTCAACGTCGCCACGTCTTTTTTCTGACACCACATCCAGCCTCAGGCGCCGAACGCTTGTGATGATGGTGAGGCAGCGGCACTGATGTCCCTTTGTTCACTAGAAGCACTCGGTTAGCGAGCGGCGATGGTGGCATGTATGCAAGGCCGCATGTACCACCGGTAGCCTGCCTTCACTCGAAGGTCTCTTGCTCCTCATCATCCAGCCGAGGTAGTCGAGGTTCCTCTGACGGACCTGCCTCATGTATTCCACCTGTTCGTTCGAGAAGTTTTGAAACTCAGCCTCTTCGAAGTTGCCCGTCAAGCGTGCCACCGCGTACGAGCACATGACGGCGGCACACGCGCCCAGAATGACGTAAAGAACGATGAGGTTGTAGTTTGTGTCGCTCATTTGTGTCCGTTTCTTACTGTTGTAGATGTATGGATAGGTGCATGCGCTGGTGGGTAGGGGCCCGTTGATGCGTCCTGACTTCCGTCGAGATTGCTGGGGTGCGTTCTGAGAGAGCGATCGTGTATGGCCGTGGCGAGATAGATGAAATACACGGTGGAATGAAAGTAACTTTGATGAGAGCCAGACAGACGACCGCTGGCGTGCTAACTCTGCTACATATACGATTTTGCACAAATGACGCATGGTCTCCTCCAAATATACATCAGCCGTTTGTCTTGATGCGTCCTGGTACAGAGAAGCCCGTGTGGTGTCGTGTACGGTCCCGAAGCGTCAAGTACACGAGACTACCCATGCTTGCCTCCGCTCACGCAAAGGGCAGACGAGCCGATGAGAGCTGCGTATGGCGTACATACACGACAACTTATGGTGGGTCTGCTCGTGAACTCGCCCAAAAGGGCAAAGGGGAAAAGGGAAGGGCGCAAATGAATTACAGGAGCACTGCATCAGGGACCTTTGCGTCGACAAGCCCAGCATGCACAGACAAATGTCTTTCTGGTCAAGGAGTACGACGTTCAATTGTTGAACAACAGTCGGCCATGTAAGCCGACGAAAAGGCGGCATTCTCATCTAGATCTATAATCCCTGGTGCCCCAAAATATATTACTACAACAGATATTTTATACAAGTCAGACATGGCAGAGCCTTTGGGCCCCAGGGTATATCCCCACGCGGAGAAATGATATGCTACAGTGAATGCCAGAGATGCGCCTTTTATGCCCCCTTCTCCCATTTTTGCCTCAAAAGTTTTAGCAGAATTCCAACCTCGATACGCAAAGATGAAGTAATGGTGCGTTCATGCAAAGAAATACGTGCTCTCCCTCACTCTGCGAACGTCGAACTCGCCCTTTTTCGGTACTTCAGGAAACATAAGCGGTGCCCAGACACAGATCTTTCGTTCCGTGCTTTTGCGATTCATTCGTTTCGCAATCTTGGCAAAAATGTTGATGCCCTTTTCTTCACCCTCAATCGCATACGGGTCGTCGTCGTCGTCCACTTCTTGACGCTCCGCGGACTCAACTTCGGACAATCCAGCCTCGATGGCTTGCTCAAGCGCCGCGTCTGGCGAGGTGTTGTCGCTGGGACTTGAACCGGATGACGGCGAAGCTGGTACTTTAAAATCCTCAGGATTATTCACTGCGGCTATGAAGATAGCGCCAGGTGTCATCATAGCTTCACCCTTTGCCCTTTCTTCTGGATCAGAGGACTGCAAGAGATTTTGCCTTTCCCACTCTTCAAGCAATTCGTTCTGAAGCGTCCTTGTCTTAAGCGTACTGCCTTTCCATTCGCGGCCGTCACCTCGTGTGACATTCGCCACCTTTCTTCGATGCTCCAAGATTCGTTGGCCCACAGGAGAGCGTGCATAGACTGTGGCCAAGTGAAGAGAGTTCTTATAACGAGCTTTGAACTCTGATGCGAGGCGACCTATAATGTCGTCGCTGTGCATGGTGACAAACGCATCCCGCAAGATGGCCCCCATCGTTCCTACATCTGCAGCATGAGTCCAAAACGAGTCATGTACTGCTGCGAACGTAAGACCGGCTTCGTCGCATTGAAGAGCTGAAAGTAGCATATGCGTCGCATCGAGCGAATGAACGAAGTTTGGCGGGAAAGCCTGCAACTGCCTTCGTCGATTGACAGGATCGTACGCACGTGGCTCTTTGAAGCTGATGTTCTGCAGACTTGTCGTGACATCCCTGCCCTTAGCAGACCGGTACGGCTGCACGACAGGAAGTTTCAACGGCGTCGTCCAAATGACACTTGTGCGGAAATCAACACTCTTCACCTCGCCCGTACGCTTGGCATTCTTGGTGGCCCAGTATTTCCATGCAGCGTCCTTGTACTTCGACGAAATGACTGGGGCTTTACCCGCACGCTGATCAATGATTAATCGGATCTGTTCCGGTGTGATTGCACGTGTGATGCGATCTGCGCACTCAGCCAGCCAATACTGAATGTTGTGCGCGCCTTCGAACATGGTTGCCAGAGCCTTGAAGATCTTTTTGGCGATGTAACTTGCAAGTACGTGATTGTCGATGCCGCATTCCGCTTTACCATCCATAATCGCGTCCAATTGCCGTTGTACCTGTGCTCTTGCACCCACAAACGTTACACCGTACACGTTGGTCATGACTGTCTGCTTGACCACTTTCCGCGAGATCTTACCCAGCAGAGCCTTTGCCATGGGTTCGCCGTTCTCAGCGTCTTTGGCAATCGCTTCCTTCACTAGATTAGCCACGCCGCTGTAAACATCTGCTGGCCGATCGCTAGGCTCGAGATTCACCTGGGCGGCGCCAAAACTGTCACCACCAAGTGCAGCGTAGTGCTGCAGGCCATTGCAGCTGCCGTCCTGAGCAACAGGAATGTGGGAGACATATTCAGTAGGGTCGGGTAGCTCCATCGCAGCCTTGAGCTCGAAGCATGCAGCCAAGCACTGCCACGGATCCTCGGCTTCAAGCCACCATCTCCGCCCGTTCAGAGCATTCGTGGCCGAGTCCATGATGTCGTCCATATGCTGTTCTGCAAACTGCACTCTCTCGTCTAGGCTTGCCTTGTCAAATCCAGCAAGATTCGAGAGATGAATCTTCAGCCATCGCAGACCCTGCTCGCCGAGCGGCTTACCCTTGTCGAACATGAGTAAGCCTCTTGCCGAATCCGCACCCATATGGTTCAAAAAGGGAGGGACGGGATATGCTCGACCTCGAAAGTCGATATTGTGCGGATAGTAGAATGTCTTGTCTGCGTACGCCTTGGCCACCTCAAGCTGTAGATTCGAAAAACATCGCTGCGAGTGAAGGCCACTTATTTCGTTTTCGATCTTGTGGCAAGCAGCGCGCCAGGCTCTGCGAACCTCCTTGCTAGCCGAAGCGTCCGGTTCTGGTGGAAACTCTTTGTTGTGATGTTCTGGTGCGAGATCTGCGATGGCCTCGCCTGAGTTCCATGCTTCAAGCATGACTTTCAACACATTTTTGTTTATGCGCCATGCTGTCTTGCCCAGCACATCGAGTCCTGCGTATAGTTGCTTCAAGTCGCCCTTCTCGCTTGCTGCCTTTGCGTACATAAGTTGCACATCGTCTTCGTCTTTATGACGAACAAGCAGCGGTGAGTACCTATAATACGGTCCGTCTTTGAGGCCTTTCCACGCCTTTGGCTGCACTAGCATAGGCATGTGTCCGTTCATCCCAACTGTAGACCGAAGGGGGGTCTTCACAAGCTTGGCGAGAAGTTGCTCCTGAGGTCGGATCTTTCCTATTTTCTTGCCCTTTTCAAATTCGAGAGTGTGCTTAAATGCCGGTTCCATGGCGATGGGAGAGTCTCCAGTGTTTGGAACGGGAACCATTGCGGTGTCGATAAGTTTAGAGAGGAGAAGTGCACCTATGTGAAGCTGCACGTGTGTTGGCCAAGGACCAATGTCACTTCGCGCAGAAGCGACTGGTTCAGGAAGCTCGACACGTTTCGCATTCGTAGGACGGCCGAGTCGCTTCAGAAGAGCCTTTCGCTTCTCCAAGTCCTCTTTGCGCATAGCCGAGCGAACATTTGTTGAGTTTCCCATGAAAGTAACCTCTCGTTCTAATTGAGACCCGATTTTCTTCGCCAGATATGCGAGTTTGGTTCCTTCAGCAGCGTCCTTGATCGAGTGCTGTAGCGTCAACAAAATCGTAATGCCCGCCATTTTTTCTGGCTTGACGGCTTCGAAGTAAGGTCCATACTCTGCTCTCTTCGGGTCCTTTTCCCCATCTTCGGACAGTGCCTTCTGCACATCAGCTAGCTCCTCCTTTATTCCGGCCTCGAGCGAATTTTGCCATTGCCATAGCAATGCTTCCATCGGCCGACCAGTTAGCTGAGTGTTGATACCCATCTTCAGCATATGCTCATGTTCTTCCTTCCAGCGCGAGAGAGCCACGTCAACTACATCTTCCTCGAGCTTGATCTGACGCATCTCTGCCCACGCACGATCCTTCTCTTCCTTCGTGCCTGGCATGTCATGTGGATACGGGACGCTATCGACATTATAGATGGAGATGAGACTGTCCTTGAGAGATTGGAGTCCAAGACCTTTCTGATTGACAGGTTTCACATGGAGCCAATCCGGACTATCCTGCTTTTTCTCTGGCGAAACGTCCAATGCAGCCGTGTCTGAAGATGAAGAAATGGTTTCATCCGCACCAGTCACGTCAGCACGAAGATGTTCTGGGAATACTTCATGCTGCAAGCTGGAAAGAAGTTGCCATTCTTGTTCGCTGAGCTCTGCTGACTCAATCACATCCTCCAAAACGCCGTCCTGATCGGCAAAATGCAAATACCGCCGGATCGTTCTGATCATCACATCACGTGGGAGAGCTAGCATGGCAGCTTTGCAGATGATGGCGTATGTGGTGCCATTCACTACGACGCCCTTTCCGCGCATCTCCACTTCAAACCAAAAGCGTAATTTTTTCATGACCCAGGCGGGTTCGGCACGGCCCACGGCAAGCGCGTGTGTGAGACCACGGAGGTAGACATTGTGGGCTTCAATGAGTTCAGGCGTCGTTGGGTTGAACAAATCGGCAAGGCGGCGAACGATGGCTGCTGCTCTGTCGAAGCGTCCTACTGAAAGACAAGCATGTAGGTTCTGATGCAGTTCCGTGGTGTCTCCTCCAATGCCATTTCTCTTGGTCATGCTCGGCGTAGGCGCCGTTGCTGAATGTGTCAGAATAAGGATGCCTGTCTCGTCATGTGGTCTAAGCTCCGTGAATCGTAACGCTGGTGTCGAGGATGACGACGATGGAGATGACGACGATGACGACGACGAAGCATTGGGCATGTAGATGGGCGATTCCTGTCGTGATGTGATTTGAACTGTAGCTAGACTTCTCGACACGCTACGACCAGCGCTGGTGCGAGCACTGGAAGGGTGCCGGATCAGGTCCAGGGGTTGCGACGGTGACGAGAGCGAGCTCGAGGCCAGCCACCGCGATTGAGGCAGACACAGCCATGACGGATGAATCCGGTGGCATGCAGCAGCGGATATCTGCTTGTTCTGATGATGGCGAGTCCGGAGCCTTCTCTGCGCTGCTCGCGCGAGCATTGCTACTGCGCCTGACCAACGGGACGTCGGAACGCTACCTGTTGACTCTGTCGAACATGAAATGTGAGGAATATGTAGTCGAGAAGGACAAGAAGCAAGGCGAGGCGAAGGCGACGATGGGTATGATGAAAAGGCACAATCAGACAATGGAGAAGAAACTTTCCAACAGATTTTCAGCTCAATCCGGTCGAGGACACGCGAGACGATCCTGAGCCCCTGTCGCCTTCTGGAAAAAGCTCATGCGCCACACGCGGACCGAGTGGGGCTTGTCCGGGATCAAGCCACATTCACGTGATCCCACTTCTCGCACAGTTGTCAACCTTTAAGTTCAACTGGACTTGCTGAAACTCAGTGTGAAGAAAAGTGCGACATCGAGCAAATACCGAAGCAATTCCGCTTTCCTGTACATGTCCGGACAGGTCCACGGGCGGATCTGGCATCTTCGTTGATGCATCAGTGACCAACTGAGCTCGTCAGCTGAGTTAACTGACCACGAGTTCGGTTCGGCATATAGCACGTGACTATAAAACGGACTCGAGCTCGCGCTTCTACTGGAATCCGCTCGTCGACTTCAAAAAGCCACACAAGAATAAAAGAGCGTGCCAGGCGACGGCGGTGTTACGTCGTGGGTCAATGCTCATCATCACAAAGAGGGTTCAAAGTGCAGTACAGCGCTTGGTGGGCGGATCAAAAAGGGCAAATTTGCTGTCTCCGTCCTCTTCCTGCGGTTTCTTTGTCACCCTTGGCTGCGCTCCTGCGAGTATCAAGGCTCACGGCGCCTCAAGAACTCAAGGACCGGAGCCAAGGCGCTGCCCAAGCATATATTCGCACCAGGAAAGCTGCTGGCCGTTGTTGGCGTCTTACTCTAGCGCGCGTGCGTGCCAGAACTCCAGTTGTCAAGAAATGGCCGATCATGAGGTGGCCGGCAAAATTATTCTGGACGAGGTCGAGGAGACACTCAAGAAGCTCTTGCTAGATGTTGCCGAGTTCATCGAGAAAAACCCACTGCCCTCCGAGGCTGAGACGTCCGCAGTGCTTTTGCCGGACGAGCTCAAAAAGGCACCGTTGGAGCTTCGTTTTGCAGGCGGTTGGGTACGCGACAAACTTCTCGGTACGCCCAGCCACGACATCGATGTAGCCATCAACAAAATGACCGGTGAGCAGTTCGGGGAACGTCTGAAGGAGTACCTCGACGTGCCGGGAAATGCTGAAAGATACGGCCTTGGGGATGCAAAAAAGAAAGCCGGCAGCCTGACCAAGATCGAGAAGAACCCGGAGGCCTCCAAGAACCTTGAGACTGTGACAACCAAGATCCTAGGTCTTGATGTCGATTTCGTCAATCTTCGAAAGGAGACGTATACGGAAGAAAGCAGAAATCCCGTGGTCGAGTTCGGCACGCCTGAGGAGGATGCCCTACGCCGTGACGCAACTATTAACGCGTTATTCTACAACATCACCACAGGACAGCTGGAGGATTTAACGGGAAGAGGCCTCAGCGACATGAAGAACAAAATTATTCGCACACCCCTAGAGCCATACACCACGTTCAAAGACGATCCCCTTCGCGTGCTTAGACTGATCCGGTTTGCAAGCCGGCTCGGGTACGAAATCGACGCCGAGACGAAGAAATTCATGGGCAACGAGGACATAAGGAAATTCTTCCTTGCCAAGATTACCAAGGAGCGCGTATGGACCGAATTTGAAAAGATGCTCAAGGGCCCCGATCCAAGGAGAGCGCTGTCCATTATCCACGAACTTGATCTGTATCGCACAATTTTTATTGACCCCGCGAATCCAAAGCTCTATGAACCCGACACGAAGAACTGGGCGGAAGCATACAATACATGGCATGACCTCCTAGACGATGGCAATGAGCTTGCCTCAACCCTTGTGAAAAGCAAAGACGAGTGCTTCTTATCTTGGTTTCTTGCTTCCATGATTCCCTGGGCTGATGCGCCAGAGCCGACCCCTCTAAAATCCGGCAAAATCCCACCTCCTCTAGCTACCCAGGTCGCGGTCGCCGCATTCAAGCCGCCAAACCATGTTCTGAACGTGCTGACACCAAGCATAGCGCATCTGCTCGCGATCCGTGAGATCAAAGATCGACGAGAAAAGGCACGGGATTCGCTGGGCATGGCAATCAGACGCTGGGGTGCTAGCTGGCGATCGCAGGTCATATTTGCAATGCTTTATGAGATCTACACGGAGCCTGGCAAGAAGGCAGGTATGTTTCAACCCGCGATCTCATCATGTCTACTGGGTTTTCTAACGGTGGTCGATGACAGACATTCTCGCACATTACTCTGAATTCATGGCACATATCACATCCCTTGGCATACTAGATGCCCACCTTTTCAAGCCCCTCGTTGATGGAACTGCCCTTGCTAAGGCTCTGAACGCCAAACCAGGACCCTGGATGAAGGCCGCGCTTGACGTCGTCATGGCCTGGCAGCTCCGTAATCCAGACATCACCGACCCGGCCGCGGCTATCGAAGAAGTAAAGTTGTCCGATGTCGTAGACACTTCGACGTTGGCCCCGCCGGCCAAGAAGCAAAAGAAGGGTGAGCTGACCTCCGCCCTTGTGTCACATCTGTTGCGGGAGACGCTAAAACCTCTTTTCTCTCACAAGGCCAATCCTGAACTCACTTCAACGGGACGCAGACGCATCGGGAACACCGCAAAGGCGGTTCGCAATTACGAAGTGGAATTTGGAGATGACGCGAAATCGCCGTGGAAGGTCACCCACAATTCGTGGGCGTTGGATATCCTATTGTGGTGTTGCCGTGCTGTAGATGCGAAGACGCTGGAGTCCGAATGGGGCTTCATCATTCCGCCGCTGCTGGCAATTCTAGATGACATAGATGCGAGGGCAAGGGCTCGTGGCTGTGAGATGCTCACTGCTCTGCTGGCTAACTGTCCTCCTGAGCTTCTAAAGCGTACGGGACTTGCGCCATTATTCGAAGAGTCGCTATATGCATCCGTCACCTTTCTGCCATCGTTAACTCCTGAAGAAGAGTCGGTTGTGCTGCTTGATAAAGCGTTACCCGCCCTGTTAGTTTTGGCGGAGAAATCAAATTCATCATATGACACAAGTAAGCCAGCACAGGGTTCAGCGCGACAGAAGAGTCTCGACGGCGTGCTTCGTAAGGGGATCCTTCAGCCGTACTCGCATGCTGGTGAACATGTTCGCATCGCCGAAATTCTGCTCCGACAGCTTCCACCAATTCTGCAGGCCTTGGGGATAGACTCCGTCAAACACCTCAAGGATCTTGTTCCGCTACTCTCGTCCATCATGTCGGATCCGCTCGGTCTGGCCTACCCGTCGCTGCTCCATGAAGGCGCAAAAGCGATGCAAACGACGATTGCCAACGCCTGGCCTAGAATTACGGAATGGAGAGGGGATGTGCTGAAGGGTATTTGCCTGTTGTGGATCAGGCTAGAGGAGGAAGGTCAAGACATCGATCAGAGCATCGCTGCAGACATACGCAAGGAGCTTCGGGCTGTGGCGGACATGCTGGCGAAGGTGATGGATACAAGGGACGCTGCGAGAGAGACGTGGACGCGAGAAAGAGACGAGCTCGTCGCTGCCGACGGACGCCTGCAGGAATTGCTTGTCTAAGGCGCGCTCGACATCTATGATGGACTACCTTTTTGACTTTTTACTTTGGATATGAACACGCCGCTTCTACCTCTTTTTATCTCGTCCCGTTTGCTTTCTTTCTGTTTTCTTTTTTTTTTCATTTTTTTCTAATTTTGCCTAATCTCTGCTTTTGGAGCCCCCCGCTCCAGCTCCAGAAAGCGGGCTTGAGGACGTCACTTTAAATAAACTACAGGCAATCGAATGGGGAACGCGGAGAAAGCCGTTTCCAGAAATTTCAAATGCAGATGTCTTCTTCTTCTTCTTCTTCTTCTTCTTCTTCTTCTTCTTCTTCTTCTTCTTCTTCTTCTTCTTCTTCTTCTTCTTCTTCTTCTTCTTCTTCTTTTTTTTTTTTTTTCTTTCTTTTTGGAGGCGACTGCGCACAGCGTCGAATTTGGAATTCAGAACACGCTTCCGAGGAACGACCATGCCGCTGGCATGCTGGACATTTTGAACAGTCGCGGCCGGATCGTTCTCACGGTTCTCTGGGGCTAATGGAAAGGCGGGATTTTGTCTTCGGGTTTCAGGGAACGAACTGACGGGTAACGGAACCGCGGAAGCTGGCAGGGTCTGGTTATTTTCCCCTTTTCCCTTCCTTTTCTCTTTTCTCTCTTTTTTACTTATTTTTGGCTCACGCCTATCTCACTGTGAAACGGGTCAGTCGGGGGGTTTTGGCTCCGTAACGCAAAGTGGACAACAGAAAAGGGAAAAGGGAGGAATAAGCAGGAAAGTGGTCGCCTGCTTTGGACGAAGATCAACGTCACAAAGAACCGCGTAATGCAGTCAGCGTGTCGGGGGTGCCAATATTGCTATTGAGGAATGGGATTCTGTGGTCGGTGCATGCAAGTCTCTGAGAAGCGTCATTTTCTACAGCGCCGTCTTTGACCGTCTTCGATTGTCCGTAGGACGGACGCTAAATAACGTGCTTATTTCATCTCCATTGCTTCTACAGAGTGCATAAAGCTTGGGTTCCATCGTCGACTGCGTTTGCTTGGCTCTCCATGACGCTGAGACGAACATGGTCGGACAATGGATGAGCAAGCGAAAGCTGGCCTCAGCCATCCTCTTTCGCAAATGCCAGGCTGCGCTCAGGTCCTTTTGGCTTTCACTTCTTACAAGTTTGGCCCAAACTCACATATGGATTGAGCTTCAGCGCTCTGATTTTGCCGACGTTACCAGTAAACTGCGTGTATTTGTGCTTTCGGTGTCCGTCAAAACTCTTTGCCTCCACTGACCATCGATCGCCACTGATCTCGTAGACACGATCGCTTTCTGGTGCATCTGAACGATCTCGCTGTCCCTGACGCCAACGAGCTGAACGTTTCAACCAAAGCTTTGGATACTTCATGAGGTGCCTCGTAGGAAGCGCTGAAACTTTCCCAGATGCAGATACTCTTCATAAACCCAATTTCAAAACCCTACTTGACTGTGTAGTTCGACGGCGCAAACGACAACAAAACGCTTCATCACCTCGTAGCGAACCCGGAGACTAGAGTTGCAAAGATTTCTGACCGGAACAAAGTCTGTGGGACGAACGATGCAAGACCCAAAGCTGACCTTGAAGAGGTCTTCATATATTTTATCACGTAATTCTCGTGGCAAATGCCACAGAATGAGGGGCTCTGCGCGCATGTTGATGGTTTTCGTCCTAAGTGATGGTGTTCGTACAAGTCGTGGCTTTTTGTAAATACCAGAAGGCGTCAAGCAGACGGTGATTTTGAGACGACCGACAGTATTAAAGTTTCACGCAATGACCGGTCATAAGTCCATAGGGCGAGGAATCAAGACTGTTGTTGGCTGAGAGTTGTGTACGCATCAAGTCTTGCGAGCCCTTCCGTAAAGGAATGGCTCCGTTGTAACCGACGTCCCGTTTGCAAAACGGAGTATACAGCTGCTCTCTGACGAGGGTTAACAATGACAAAAGCTTCAGCATCGTCTCAGAATCCTTTGGTTGTTTGCGTGACACAGGCTGTCTCACGTAACAGTCACTTTAGCCCATTCAGGAAGACGTATTCATCTGCATTTATACATCGAGCGGAAGGAGACAGCACTTGAACAATAAGTTATCAAAACACTAACGCACAGGCCCTTTGCTGTTTGTCAGGTCCACTTGACGACTGATTGATCAGTCGTCCTTACCCATGGTGGCCTGCTGGATAATGTCTTCAGAATTGCGGGCATCAAGTTCGTACGATCGGCGACTGCAAAACAAACGGTTAAGCACAGCGTGGCTGTCATCCATCGGGCTCGATCAAATGGCAGACAGACCAGCAGCGTATTCTTTGCGCTCAGTATAGGTCATCCAGCAAGTGGAAAGGAGGTCCGTCATAGCTATGCGTTCTCAACAGGCTGGACACAGGCTCGACAGCCTTGTCTCGTCCATATGACCAGCGTCTGGAAGATGGCCGAAGCAAGGCAAAGACAAAGCGTGCCGTGCCGTGCCGTGGCTACGTCGCTACAGTTTGTGTGCAAGAAAGCCCATGATCACCCTGTTGAGGCTTCCGTCGTCCTAGAGCGAAGTTGCGCACGTCCAGCGCATTGGCGCGCATGAATCAAGGTATGTTCACACACGACAGCGGAGGGATCTTCAGCCTAAAGAGCTTAACATGGCTTAGCTCTGGATTGACGCTGCGTCGCTTGTTGTGGACTGTTCCAGTGGGGCCAGGGCACGGAGCGCGCACGTACGCGGCGACGGCTAGCAGCCAAAGACATTTATTTCCACTTTTCCTTCCCCGCCAGCTCTCCAGACCGGCTCCGTTTCGAAACAAGGCTCGTCGATGCGGCGATCCTCGATTGCGGTCCCCGCCAGGTGATGTTCTCGTTCAACTCCAGCGCGAGGTGATGGCGCAATGGCGGACCAACGTCGCGATGCTCCCAACCGGGAATGCGCGCTATCTGCCAGCCATGCCAAGCGCTCCTTCCAATTTAGCGGCCTGCACGCAAATGAAACCCAGTACTGCCGACCCTAAACCGTCTGCGGCGCATGGAGATGTAGATACCAGTCCCAACTCTCACCATCACGTCACCTGAGTCTCTTTCCTCCTCCCGCTCCGTTTCCCTTTCCCTTGCCTTTCCTCTCCTTTTTTCCTCTGACCGTCGTCACTCGCTGTCGGTGTCGCTGCGGAACCCTCTTGCCATCGCTTCTCACAATCCTAATCCCTGGCGGGTGGTATCAGCGCGACTTCCCTTCGTTTCGTGTCAGCTTTCTGCGTCGTGCCTGCCGGAATCGCTCGGATTGTCTGTTGCGCAGGGTCGCGCTCTCCAGTTTCAGTGGTTGTCGGTGACGCGACGCGCTTTCCGTTTTGATCCAGTAGAAGCTTGGAATTGTCGTGAAATTGGGAAGGAGCGATAGATTCTAGGCATACACCATGGTAAATGTGCGTGAAGCAACAGAGTGGCGGCGAAAGACGAAGAAGAAGAAAACGCTCTGCCATGCATGAGGCGATGTTGACCAAATTTCCGCACCAGATCTCCACCGCGCTGCTCGCGCTCTCCACCCTCGCCGGCTGCGCCTATGCTGTCAACCCGGTCGTTATCAAAGGAAAGGAATTCGTGGATACGAAGACGAACAACAGAGTGCAAATCATCGGCGTCGACTATCAGCCCGGCGGACAGGCCGCATACAATCCAGAGGTCAAGGCGGATGCGCTGAGCAACGGCACGGTGTGTTTGAGGGACGCTGCCCTTCTGCAGATGTTAGGTGTACGTGCCCGCTCCAGCTCCTGGAACGTCAAAGGCATATGTCATTGACGGCGCAATCAAACAGGTCAACACGATACGTGTGTACAACGTTAATCCAGACGCCAACCACGACGACTGCGCGAGCATCTTCAACACTGCTGGCATCTATATGATCCTTGACGTGAACTCGCCCGACGCCAGCATAAACCGCGCCGCACCTTGGACTTCGTATACGCTCGATTACTTGACCCGAATCTTCGGCGTTGTCGAGGCTTTCAAGAACTATCCCAATACCATGGCCTTCTTCTCCGCGAACGAGGTTATGAACGATGTTGAGACAGGCAACATCAACCCGCCGTATATCAGAGTATGCAACTCGTTTTTCCTGTCAACACCGCGGCAATTAGCGTAAAGCTGAGTAAAAGGCTGACTAGATTACGTGACAGGCAGTCCAGCGAGATCTCCGTGCGTACATTGCCAAGCAGTCCAGCCGTACTATTCCGGTCGGTTACTCTGCAGCGGACGTCCGTGAAATTCTTCAAGACACATGGAACTACCTGCAATGCGGTGGAAACTCGACACTTACAGACTCAAGCTCCGAAATGTTTGGCTTGAACTCGTACTCGTGGTGCGGTGCCGACGCGACGTACACCTCCTCCGGCTACGACCAGCTCGTTGCCATGTTCAGCAACACGTCGATACCCGTCTTCTTCTCCGAGTACGGCTGCAACAAGCCCTCCGGCGTGCCTCGCGTGTTCAACGAGGTCCAGGCTCTGTACGGAACTCAGATGACCGGCTTGAGTGGTGGCCTTGTTTACGAATATTCAGAGGAGGCAAGCGACTACGGGCTCGTCGTCATCAATGACAATGGCACCGTCACGCTGCGCGCCGACTATAACAACTTGCAGGGCCAGTACAACAAGCTTGACGTCAAGCTGCTGGAAAACAGCGCTGCCACAGACTCTCAGACCACACCTCCGACTTGCGATCCGAGTCTCATCACAACATCTAATTTCAGCACCACATGGGTTCTTCCCGACCAGCCGTCTGGGGCGGCAGACCTGATCAACAACGGCATCCCGAATCCGAACCAGGGCAAGATCGTCGACGTGACCAACCTCGATGTTAGCATACCCGTGTACAACGCCAACGGTGTCAGACTGGGTGGAATCAAAGTCACGGCCCGGTCTGACGCGAATACACCTTCAGGAACAAACACGAGTGCGAACACGGCAACGGGCACAGATAGCAGCGGAACCGCCAGCCCGAGTGCGACAAAGAAGGCTGCAGCAGTCAGAGTAGGTGCAAATCTTCTGAGCGTCGTCGTGTTGGTGGTTGCTGCAGTTGCCGTGCTGTAAATTCAGATTTTGTTTTCCCTTGGGTGCTAATGTGTAGTTGATTCGAATGTATATATTGATGTGCATGGGAATACGCCCCAGCTATTCGTTGAGCTGGCGCCCTGCATAGACGCCCTTTTTTCCATTCTCTTTGAAAAGTCTTGCAGTGAGCATGTACGCTAGAGTTGACAATGTCCATGTCCTTATCTTCTACCAACCTTCCAGCAATATCTCTTTTGGCGGGTGCGCCCTTGCAGCAGATCAGGGCAGCTGCTGTATCCGCTGTTCGACCCAGTCGAAGCCTTTGCGCTGAATCTCCCACGTCCGGCTACCCTTGACCATTTTTCCGGCAAAGGTGTGCTCCTCGCCGGGGACCTCGATGAGGACGCAGTCGACACCGGCTGCGCGCAGCTTGTCGTACAGCATCTTGCTCAGCCTCATCGGCACCATGGTGTCCGCGTCGCCGTGCACGATGCACGTAGGCGGGAAATCGGGGCTCACGCGCGCGGCCGCGTCGATCTTCTCGAACGCCTTCGACGGAAAGCAGACGTCCCAGACCTTCCCGTTCGCGATGTGGGCGAAGGCGAATGCCACGCGCGGGTCGGCGAAGTCGGGTCCACCTTGGGTCTGTTGACCTTCGAGCGAAACGCCGCCACGCGTGCAGGTCGAGTGCTCGTCGTAGACCTGGCGGAGAAACGCAGCATCGAATGCCGGCAGCTTTGCGGCCATCGGCAGCTTCTCCTCCCAGAATCCATCGTGGAAGTGGCTGGGCCCGTAGAAGTCAAGGATGGCCGCAGGCCGATAAGGATGATCGAAGCCCTAAGCGAAAGAAAATAAAATGTTTTGGTTATTGCTGAGATCTTTACGTGTGCATCTTTTCAACTCTTTTGCTTTTGGGTCCGCTTACAAGACACATGGCAAGATGGCCGCCTGCGCTAGTTCCAAACGCAATCACCCGGTTCAAATCGCACCGAAGCAGTGAGCCGAGCTTTTCGAGTTCTTTGTCCAGAAACCCATCGTGCAGCCAGGTGGAAAGATCTCGAATGTCGCACACCGGCCCGTCAAGTATGTCGACTTGAGGACACAGCCTGTGGTTGGGAACGACCACGATCCAGCCACGCTCCAAGCAATCTATCACCTGATCGTTGTTGACCATGGACGACGCTCCAAGCATGTAGGCGCCGCCATGGATGTTGATGACTGCAGCAGCATCACGTTAACTTCACGCAAGACATGGCTTCATGTGAGCTGACGCACTGACGGGGCGATTGCGGCTGTCGCTGCGGAACTCGGATGGTTGAGGCACGTAGACATCGGTATCGATCGCGCATGTGTCAACCGTCTTGTATGTGACGGTTAGATCTGGCTTTCTGGCCATCGTTCCCGTTCTTTTTTGAATTGTGGTGGCGCGGATTGCGCTGCTGGCCTCCTTATCGTGTCAATCGCTTCTGCTGCGGCCAGCTGTGGGGATGCTTCCGTATTCAAGGCGGTCATCGTTGCTCGCTACAATCGTTCTCCGTGCGACTGAGCCCACCAGCATCCGGGGCATGGAACGGGTTCACGAGCCCCGGAACTTCCGAAGGATTTGAAGTGCGTAGCGCTGCTAATATATGGTTCGAGTGGGCACTCGTCGGGAAGTGGAGGTGATTTCTTGCGGGGTCCCCCTGTTCCCCGCGTGGCCTTTTGGAGCCGCCCTCTCGCCTCAGCGAGTAAAGTATAAAGTCGAATGGTGGTTTGGGAGGAATGATATATCCTTCAGGTCCAGACGACGTGCGTTCGGCCGTGATCTGGTTGACCATCGCTTCTCCCTCCGAAGTCTGTTCGTCTCTACAAAGTGGCATTGATGCAACGAATTCAGGAATGAGCATATATTGAACAAAGTCATCTGTACGAGGCCAGAAGGGGGAAAACAAGCAAGCAAAGTTCAAATGGGTCTCCGCGACTTCTTTGGGAGTTCAAAACCTGCAAAGACTATGCAGACCGGCTTGCCACCGTTGACCCAGCCGCCGCCCAAGGCGGAGCCGTATCTGATCTCACAGCTGGAAGGAGAGAAAATCACGATCCCCGGAAGCAAAGGCGTCTTCCGCATTCTTGCCTCTTCGAAGCAGACGCAGAACAAGATAGCCGTCTTCACGTCCGGAGCTGTCCTGTCGGACGCGCCCGGGTTTCACTACCACAAGGAAGCACACGACGTCTTTCTCGTCACGAAGGGATATCTGAAGCTATGGAACGGCGACAAGTGCAGGATCATGGGCCCCGGAGATTTTGCGTACATACCGCCCACAGTGATCCATAATCCGGAGATGCTGGGCCCGCACACTGAGTTGTTGGGTTTGATTGCTCCTGGCGACTGGGTTGACTTCTTCCGCTACGTCGCCGAAGCGGACAATTCGATCATCGTGCCCGAGTTCGACGAGCGAGATCTGAAGGGCCACATCATCCCCAAGGTCATGGCCGCCAAGGATCGATTCGACGTGCACTTTGTGCGGGATTATCAGCCTCCAGAAGTGTCCGAGTGGAGAGACGATGAGAACAAGCTGCCGGACGGCCAAGAAGGGTATTTCTTGCGCTTTATGACCGGGCCGCGGTGGATGGCTGGAGGGTGGATGAGCCGACCGTTCGTGACGACGAAGCAGAACGGCGGGCGCTTCGCCATCTCAAGCATTGAGAGCTCGAACCTGTATCCGCATCCAGAGCTGTTCTCCAAGCCGCTAGTGTTTGAGAAGGTGGACCATTGTTTCTGCGTTCAAGAGGGTTGTTTGGCTGTCACTCTTGGCGGCCAGCAGACCTTGGTGCGAGAAGGGGAAACGCTAGTGATTCCGTCCGGGCAAGCTTTTGCCCTGCAAGCTTGGTCAAAGTACGTCAGAGTGTACTCCTTCACAAGCGGCGATGGGATTGAAGCCGTGATACACGCAGCGGGAGAACAACAGAAGGGATACGTGCTGCCCGATCAATCGCCCCCCTTGGACGCATCGCTGTTCTCCAAAGCGTTGAGAGAGCTCTGCATAAGGCGTGTGCAATAGAACTCAGTACGTAGAGAATCGAACTTTCTGGCAGTGTCTTCAACGCGTGTTCGGATCACTCGTGCTCTCGTGCTGGGTGTGGTAGCATCTGCAAAAGCATCTCTTGCCGGCCCCCGCTGAATCATAAGGCTCTGAAGCTTCGATGATGCTTAGCACTTCCCACTCTACATCGCAAGCCTCTGATGCGCCGGCAGAAACGAAGCCGCATCTCCTTCTCGCAATTTAACATCACAAAGGAGCTCTGCATGTCTACGGGATGCCGTCTCCGCATGACGCTCTTCGTTCTGGGCACTTGGCAAAGAAGCGCACTGGGTTGCTTTTTTGTGCGAGCGACAGAGCCTTCCGGTCGTTCTTGGGGCGACATGCTGTCTGGCCGACAAGCGGACGAACGATACCTGGCAGCATGTTGCGAAGCTCCCGAATAGGAACTTTGTCCTCAAACTGTTTTGTCGTGAGACCGTTTGAGGTGCTGGATTGTTTCGGCGCTGAGACTCTGCATCCTCCACCCCGGCTTGGGGACTTTTGAGCCACCTCCGCTTTTCGCATCTCGCACCCACTGCCGGAGGTTGATCCCTCAGAAAAAGATTCTTGCATGGAAAGAATTGCCCGATCGCAAGCACCTGGAAGCATGCAGACAACAGGTTCCTCGTCGACGGCACGAGCGTGTCGTTCCCGGTTGCTCGCCAGCGGCATCTCCTCCACGCCCAGTATTCACGCTCCGTCAGGCTTGCCGCAAGCGTTGAGGCTCAAAAGAATTCTGTCATAGAAAACATCTTCCGTCAAACAACTCGAAACATCTGGGAGCTCACCCTCCAAGGTTGTGTACGGCCAAGCTCTGCTGCCAAGTCAGGTAACACAGTTTCTCGTGCGAGCTCGTCAATGCGCCCACGTCTTCGAACAAGCTTCACACACACCACGGCCGTTTGCAATGCATGGTCGAGCCAGCCAATTGCCGTTCGCTTCAAGCAGATGTCCCAACTCAAGCCATCGCCTGACCATCATCGTGCCACTGCCTCAAAGATCCGGATGTCTTTCTCGCCGAAGATAACCCTCCTATTCCTCAGCATCGATCCGGATGCTCTGTTTCCCTGAATCTCCATGGACCGCACTCCTGATTGACGGATACGGTAATAAGCCAGTTGTTGATGGTTTGCATCTAAACATGCACTATGAATATGTACGGGAGCTCCCCCGTTCTCCGTCTAGTTTGTCAAGTCCTGAACATCACCACCCCAGAGTCCCATCATCGGCAGGGCCGCTGTGTTCCTTTCTTTGCAATTCTGTCCATTCTCTTCTACACTCTTTGTGCTGGGCGCATTTCGTAGTATCAATTTATTAGTCGCTCCTTGGCGCCTTTCCTATTATCTAGTAACGATCGCTGAGAGCCCTAGTGGCTGCTTGCTACGGTTATAATGACTTTACGATTCTCATGCGCTCTGGCTCTGTTGAGCCAAGGGCTCAGCGTTCTTGGGCAAACCACCCAAGCCCAGTTCAATCAGGTCATCAACCTGAACGGTGATGTAAGTCTCAAGAGCCATGCAAGCCGACGTCGCTGACCACAAATAGATGAACCTGAACTCGGTGCAGTTCCCGGACGGCAGTCGGATCGAGACGTTCTCCCAGACGCAGCGCCAGCTGCTTGTCAACCAAAATACAGCGCCTCTTCCGGGCAACCAGGTGACGGGAACAACCGGTAATCCTTTCGTGCAATTAACTCCGAACTCGTTGGTCATCCAAACCAATGGAGCAACCGATCTCGTTGGTGGCCAGATTGAGCTACCCATCAACACCCAGACCCTACAGCAGATGGGAGTCACCCCGGACAATACCTTCGTGGCCAAATTGTCCGCTGATCGCCAGTCGTGGATGGTCATGGACACCATCAAGACGGTGAACAAGTACGTCAAAGTTCACGCAAGAACTCGGCACCGAGACTGATGATATGTAGCACTGACAGCACCGTGCGCATTGTGAAGTTGAACAACATCGACGGAGAGTACATCGCTCTCGGCCGACAGACTGCCGTCACAGGCGTTGCGTTGACCCAATTTGGCACTGGACCGACTAACCAAGTCAACATCACTGGCTCTGGCATCCAGGAGAATGAATTCACTGACGGCTTCCGAATGTCTATAAGAGCCTCGCAGCCGATGATCGCCACGCTGAACGTCAAGAACGGTATTTCGACTACCATGCTTACTGCCTTGGGTACAGGCACTCAATCAGTTAGTACGTCGTTCAACATTCTCACTTCACAAGGTCTTGACTAATTACGCTAGACAACTTCCGTTACCTCGTGACAACAAACCTGGGCGGCGTCGTGACTAACCTGAACCGCATGGCCGCTGTTGTACAACTCCCAAGTATGTTGGACTATCTATATCATCGACAACACGTATAGCTAATGTTCCCAGTCAATGCCGTCCGTCTCCAGACGGTTGCAACGGCAATGGGTGCTACAGCACAGTCAAACGTTCGCTTGAGCGTTGCACAGCGTGGTATTCTTGCCAACCCTGGTGGCGCTACCGCCCTCCAACCAGCATCGCCTCTGCAACGAAAGCGACAAGAGCCTTCCTCTGTCCAGCCGGGTACCAGCGCTGAGACCAATGGTGCTAGCCAGAACAATACTTCGAATGGTCAACTCACCACTGGAAGTTCAACCACAGGCCAGACAAACGGCAACACGGGAAATGCTGGAACGGGCACGCTGAACCCTGCTGCTGCCACTCTGCTGCTCTCGCCAACATTTACCCCGATCCAGAACAATGCCGTTCTTGATACGATGAATGCTCGCCTCGCTATTCCTGTTACTCAAATCGATGGCGAGTACATCCTCACCGTCAACATGGCCAGTGGCCAAGCTGCCCCCGCGGCCCCTCAGGCCGGATCAAGCACACAGCTTACCGTGCCCCAGGCCGGGACAAGCACACAACTCACTGTGCCTCAAGCATCTACGGCACTCTCCTCAGCATCCTCGGAATCCTCGAGTTCGTCGACTACGTCGGCGGGCGAGACGTCGACGTCATTGACAGCAGCTGCGGCTGCTAGCACATCTCTGAAACCAACTGGAGAGAGTTCGACTTCCTCTGAATCTAAGACGTCGACTTCAGCGGCGGCAGCGGCCGAGACTAGTGCAACATCTCAGAAGGCCGCAACGACAGGCTCTGGATTTGTCTTCAGGAGACAGTTGCCACCTCTGCCACAGTCTCAAGCGGATGGAAGCGTGATCGTATCGATGGAATGGATCAATTACATGGCGGATATTCAACAAAAGGGCGGTGCAGTCGACGTGGGAGCCATGATGCAACAGGTATCACCAGGCATTGCGTCGGCCACCTCACCGGCACCTGCGAGTGCTAGCAGCGGTACTAGCGTATCAGGGCTCATTGCTGGCCTCAAGGCTAGGAGATTTCAAGCATGAGGCGATCTTCTTTTGTTGTCATCTATAAATGTAGTTCAGCTGCTACTTCTGACGCTGTGTCTTGTGCCGGCGGCAAAATGCCATCAGGCCGCGGCCATTCACTGGCTCTGGCCTAGGAGTACCTTCAGCTAAGAGAGTAGCAGCACCCATAAAACAGTTAAAGATGGCCTTTGATATGAGCCGTGCACATGTGGTGATAATATGGGATGTCCGAAGTGTAAGCGTCAATGATAGGAAGTTCCTCATTTTTTCCCCTCTTTTGAGAACAAATTTTGGCTCTCTCGAACCATCGAAAGCCAGCAAGACTTGTGCACCGCAAGCAGTCCTTCGCTGATGTGCAACATGCAAGTGTCGTGATCACACCGATGCAGAGATATTACTTGCGCATGCCTGCATACCGCAATTCAAGCTTTCCCCTACTACATGTGTAAGGGTATATATATTATACCACCCAGCTATACTAGCTAATTGAGCTAGTATAGCCTGTCTTTTTGAGCGATCCTCATGCGCAAAGGGTGGTTGCGTGACAACATGTCTGGCAATGAGTTCTGCAAATGAATAGGAACACTTGCTGTTGCTCCTCTTCGTGCGGGCGCTTACGTCTCTGATGTCTAGACGACAAAACTTAGCTGCGCATGATCCCGCCACCCCTGTGCATCCTCATGCCCGGCGGCTTGGCTGCAGCGGGATGCACATGGTCGACGTTGCCGCCGGATGGTCCTCGAGGCTGACAGGCCTTGCGGACAAGGCTGGAGGCCTTGGTCTACTAGAATCTGGATGGATGTTGACAACGATGAGACCAAGCGCAGACGGCACGCTCGTCCATGGTCCAGCGTGAGGAAGATCGCACAGCACGTGACTGTATTCCAAGACGGCGTCCAACGTCGTCGTCGCTGGCAAGGGAGATTCCAACGGATGCAAAGCTTGATTTCCTGCTCGCTCTGGTTCGTACGATGCCGGTCGTCTCCTACAAACGAGATTGAAAACCCCGCGCCAAAACAATTCGGCATAGCGCGCTTCACGGACAGCCAGTTCGAAGTCGCTCGTTTGTGGCTGCGTCATTTCTCTCGTCCGCGGGGCTTGGAACCATCGAAGCTTCACAATGCACCATTTGAGCGTTTGAACGCATCCCATTGTCCTTCCCCAATCGCTTCTGCCCTTTCTCGCACGCAGCCAACTGATCGCCATGGCGCCCGCGGGTCTCATCAACTCGTTCCTGGCCGCAGTTCAGGCCTCGCTCTCCGTTCTCCTCGTCATCTTCTACGGAGGCGTCGTAGCTCACTTCAAGCTGCTGGAGTCGCCCACGGCGAGCAAAATGTCGAAACTGTGCGTCAAAGTCTTTCTTCCGGCCTTGCTGTTTGTCCAAATCGGATCCGAGCTTCATGTCGAATCCGCGCAGCGCTATCTGACCGTGTTGCTGTGGGCGTTCGCCTGTCACTTCCTCTCTTTCGTCATCGGTATCCTGGCTCATCTGGGCTTCGGCATGCCGGATTGGATCACCGCCGCGATCATGTTCAACAATACAACCAGCTACCCTTTGCTGCTCATCCAGAGTCTGCAGGAAACGGGAATCCTGGCTACCCTTCTCACCAAGGACGAAACAATCGAACAGGCCATCGGGAGGGCCAAGTCGTACTTCTTGGTCTTCGCGACAATCTCGTCTTGCCTTACCTTCTCCGTGGGGCCGCGTCTGATCGACGCCGAACACGCGCCCGAAGAGCAAGGCAAGGAGGGTGAGAGCGATGACTACGAAGACCAAGACGATGTTGTCGACGAGAATACCGGACTGCTGTCCGTCGCCAGTCTTGAGGAGCAGTATCGCCGTTCTTCTGTATCATTTTTGTTCTCCAAAGCCCAGCGCGACAATGACGCTCCGGTCAAGACATTTGACCGGCGGCCGTCTGTCGTCCCGAGGAAGAAGTGGCTCGAATTGCATCCGCGAACAAAGTGGTGGCTTCTCTTTCTCTGGGACTTCTTCAACGCCCCGCTTCTAGGCGCCGTCGCCGGCGCCATTGTTGGTCTCGCCCCTCCTCTGCACAAGGCGTTCTTCTACGACACTTCGGACGGTGGCATCTTCACCGCTTGGCTGACAGCGTCGTTCAAGACCATTGGCCAGCTGTTCGTTCCCTTGCCCGTCATCATTGCTGGTGTCTCATTGTACACGTCGGTTCGAACATCGGGCGACTCTGACCAGCCCAGAGAGCGTTCCACGCCGTGGCTTACCACCGCCTTCGTCCTGCTCGTAAGATTTGTTCTGTGGCCAGCAATCTCCATTGCTGTCATCTATGCGCTCGCCAAGCGAACGAACGTCTTGGGCGATGACCCCATGCTCTGGTTCACTCTAATGCTGATGCCCACAGGGGCACCGGCCATGAAATTGATCACCATGGTGCAAGTAAGCGGAGCTGCAGAGAATGAAGAACATAAGATTGCCTGGTTGCTAACTGTAAATGGATTTGCCTCGTCCATATCTTTCGAACCCATCATTGACCAGTTGCACAGATCTCCTACGCGCTTTCGCCGGTCCTCGCCTTCGCCGTCGTTGGTGCACTGCACGCAAGCCAAGCTGCAGTCTAGTGTGACCAATCTATCTATCTATCTTCACGGGATGTCCTGCTGCGACCGTCCCACGTCATCTTGAGGCGAGGATACGCTGAGAGCGTTTTCTTTCCCAGCCATTTGCCTTTGCTATGTTCATAACTAGCCTTTGAAGAGCACATAGGACATGCTCTTTATACGAAATTCACCGACAGCCTAGAGATAGACAATTTTTTTTCATTTTCCTCGATGTGACTATGATGCTAACCACTTTGTCGATTTTGGTCCATCTTAGATTAACATTTGGACAGCAGACTGGCGTGCTGAGTCCGTTTTGCTGAATCCGGGCATGAGTTGAGTTTATTGTAGCAAACCTTGGCCCCCGTTGTCTGTGCTCCCAAAAAAATGTTCCAATTCGGCTGCATCATCATCATCACCATCATCATCGCGCGTCTAGCCAGATACCTACCTCCTTCGACTGTGCCTCATTGCCCTCTGCAATTCCGCCTGCCCCATCTCCAATTTCTCCTTTCCGGACTCTACCCCATCTTTTGAGGGCCAACAATCATTTAAAGCTGCCCTTACACTTGCATATCACCTCAAAAACGCAGCCTCGCCCAACTGCCCGTCCGACATGTCCTCATTAGGAACTGAAGCGTCGTCCATCCGACCTGCGGCCATCATCTCCATAACGGCCGCGACGTTGATCACCGGTCTGGCAGCATATGCCGTGTACTTTGACTACAAGCGACGCCACGACGTCGAGTTCCGCAGAGCCCTCAAGCGCGACTCCAAGCGATCGCAAAAGCAGGCCAAGGCAGAGGCGGAGGCGTCGACGCGCGCAAGGAGGGAACAGATCCGGGTGCTTGTTGAGCAGGTGAACAGCGAGCACCTTCCTTCAGATGCCGAGGGCCACGAGCAGTTTTTCATGGAGGAGGTGAGCAAGGGTGAGCATCTGCTGCAGGACGAATCCAAGAGCATGGATGCCGCTCTGTGCTTTTTCAGGGCGTTGAAGGTGTATCCTACGCCCGAGGAGTTGATTAATATCTATGATAAGACGGTTCCTAAGGTACGCTTTCATTCAGCAAGATGGTGCCCCCGTGGACTTGGATTTTTTTTGGGGGGGTTGTTGGTCACAGCGCTAACGAATCTTTCCATTAGCATGTACTTGATATCCTTGCCGAAATGATTGCACTTGACCAGAGCGGCTTCAGGTCAGGCCGGAGATCGCAGCCCAGCGTCGCCACCGAATTCGAGGGCGAGGTCTAAACGTCACCATCGCTTTGGGCGCGCGGCGGTCTTGCTTTCAGCTTATGGGTTGAACAGACCAAGGTCTGGGCATGGGATAGAGCGAGAGGCGAAATGTTGCACGGCGCCACACTCGAAGGGGAATGGGATGAAAAAGAGAAGCAATCTCGATTTGTGGTTTGGTGAAATGTTATGGGCGTGAAAGACAGAGCAAAGTACTGGCGAGCATTCACGGCATTTGTTCTTTTGGGGCGTATTGAACTGGGAAAAGAAAACGCCGGTTTTTGAAACGAAGTCTTCGCAGCCGTTGTATTAACATGGGCTCTCTAATACCGCAGCGAATGGCAACGCAGTGCGCGCGTGCGGGTTGTGTATAAATACGATTCGGGTCGGGACGATGTATAGAAAGCATGGAATGCATATTACCTCTCTCCAAACTTTCCATCACCAAGCGGCTTCAGCCCTTTTTCGTCTTCCGCTGAAGGCTTGGCCTATCTAGTTACAAAATTTCCCAGCATAGGCAAGAGTGTACGCTGCTCTGTCTCGACGTGCACAGCATCTGCCCAAGGGGGACGAACCAATCACAAAGCGCTTCTCGTATCCCACCACGGTGCAGCGACGCCAATGCAGCGGGGATGCTCACAATGACTAATTTGACATCGTCCGGCGCTCAAATTTGGTCTCGTATCAATGTGCTCTTCTGAAGAGTCATCTAACCTTGGCAAACAAGGCAGTAGAGCCAGCCAAGTAGAATCCGTCCGAGTTGGAAGGTCCCGTATAAGAGCTGACATGGCTTGAGAATTCACGCCTCCGATCCAAAACTCCCTCTGCGATATTGTCTGCTTTTTGTCCAAGCGAACGACTTGCTTTCGTTGCATCTCCTGTGGGCCCCTTCGAGGATAGCCTACGATCCTAAGACGCATACTCTGCCGATCCTGCCACCTTTCTTGGGGCGAAGCTCCCGAAACTTTAACCTCAGACTACGGATTTCCGAACCACCAAGTCCGGCTCGATGTTCCGTGCGAAGCAACGTCCCGTTTGCTGCCGAAATCGAGGGCACGGAACGATCTTGTCAGAGCCGCGTTCCGCGTTGTTGACGGCAGGTCTTTAAACGAGCTTGACGGTTCGCAAGAATGGCTTCATCCGCGGCCCCGTGGGGCTTGCGCTGGAGGTCCAGCACCTTCTTCATCGTGTTCGTCGTCGGCGTCGGCATTTTCACGGATCTCGTCACCTATTCCATCGTCGTTCCCGTCTTGCCTTTCGTGCTGCGCGACCGCGTCGGAGTGCCGGATCACCGGCTGCAGATCTATGTTTCCGTCCTCATCGGTGTCATGGCCGCCGCCAGCTTCGTTTTCAGCCCTGTTGCCGGCGTCATTGCAGACAGGACGGGCAACCGGCAGCGGCCATTCCTTGCCGGTCTGTTTGCTCTGCTCTTCTCGACCATATTGCTTGCCACAGGCGAGACGGTCGGCCTGATCGCGCTCGCTAGAGTGTTGCAGGGAATGAGCAGCGCCGTCGTCTGGGTCGTCGGATTGGCAATCTGTCTCGAGACCGTCGGGCCCAACAGGCTAGGGACCACCATCGGAACCATCTTCAGCTTTGTCAACCTGGGTACGCAGGCTGCGCCCGTGTTGGGTGGCGTTCTGTATTCAAAAACGGGCTACGCGAGCGTCTTCGCGCTCTGCCTAGGGCTGGTCTGCATCGACATCGTCTTGCGCTTGTTGATGATCGAGAAAAAGACGGCCGCTCGGTACAGGGCAGAGCTACCGGATCATGCGTGCCCTAGTCCAGTTGACGGACAGGTGGAAGAGCAAACGCCTCTTCTGGAAGATTCAACGGCACAACCTGATCTGGAGGCGTATCGGCTGCCTGCACCCTCCAACTGGCTGACGAGGAAGAATCCAATATTTCTGATGCTCGGGAACTCTGCACTTATTACCTCGTTTTACATTGGCTTCGTGCAGGCTTTCCTCATTGGTTCGTACGATTCCACCATTCCACTGATCGCGCTGGAGTACTACAATTTCGACTCTCTCAAGACCGGCATTTTGTTCCTCGCCCTCGGTTTGCCAGGTATGGTGTCAGGGCCCCTTGCAGGATGGGCAGTCGACAAGTACAGCCCTCGCATCGTTGCGATATTAGGCTACGGATATCTGGTCCCGATGCACATTTTATTTCGCGTACCGAGACCTGGAGGTCCTGTGCAAGTTGCGATATTTGCTGTTATTCTTGCGCTCTCGTCGATAGGCAACGCGGCGATCGACTCCCCGTCTATGGTAGAAGCGGGAATCATTGTTGAGAAGTATCACAAGGCGAACCCTGCTTTGTTTGGCGACGTCGGGCCGTACGCGCAACTGTACGGCATGAACAGCATGGTGTTCTCGCTGGGTGTCACCGTCGGTCCTGTTGTCGCTGGGGCACTGAAGGATACGATTGGATACGGAAACATGAACGCAGTTATGGCCGCTGTTTGCGGCAGCGCTGCAATATTGAGCTGGCGTTATCTGGGCACAGAACCGTCGTTGATATCGTCGAAAGGTGGCGACGAAATTGACGGGGTAGACTGCGATTGATTTAATCGACGGAATACGGAGAAGAGTAACCATCACATTTGTCATTAGGCGGCGGCGTTAGGTCCCATAGATTATAAGATTGCATTTAGGAAGAAAAAAAATCCGCTTGCTCGTTTGCAAGCGCTGGTAATACATCCCCGTGTAAGGAACGGACTTAGGGCGATACCAAACATCGACTACACCCGTCTCCGGCTCTCCTTTCAACCTTACTTTATGAAATTAGAATTAGAAGCTTCAGCTTGGACAGTATACTTAACAGCATTTTCAAAGCTAATCTTGTAGAAAAACGGATTGAGGAAGCTCGAAACCAAAGTGTGAATGTCACCACCACAAGCTTGGTTGTATCCGCCCTGCGAATGAACGATTAAAGGGCGCATAGCGAATATGAGGAATGTTTACAAAGAGGCGGGAGAGATGGCGCATTTGAAGTTTGACGTTGATCTTTTTTTTTTTTTTTTTTTTACATAGTCTTTCCCACGACACATTGTCCGGAATCCGGTTGGGTGTTTTTAAACTTTCTACGTCTCTCTTCTTTCTTTTCGGATCACCAGCTTGTTAGGACTGCGCTATGTTCAACGAAGCGGTAACTTTTCTGCTTATACCGTGTGTGTGGCATCCCCAGTACGAAGTAAATGGTAGATGTGCAAAGTATTGACATGCCTTGGCCGCTACTAATTGCTTCCAGACATCATTGTACAAAACAATAAGGAACCAATGCCCACGCTACTATGTGATGGGCACCATAACTGGGACGAAAGGTTGACTGCTCTTACGTTCAGTTTAGTCCTGCAGACTCGTCTTCACGTGCTTGACAGGAAACAAGCCGCCTTGACTTGACGGAGCTCTGCTCAATATTAGCAGGTGTCATTGCCTATTCAATCCCTCGACGCAACTCTCCATATATCAATATTTGATTACAATATATACATCGCGCCACCGTATCCCGTTACATCGCTGACGGATTTGAGAGTGAAAGAGATTACTTTACGGTTGATTACATTACACAGTTAGGACCGTCGTCTCCGCCGACGTCTTCGCCATTATATCAAGAGCAAATATCAGCTTATCGATCTGAACAAAAAAGTAAAAAAACCTAGGAGATCAAGTAGAATGCTTATGCGCCGTCATACAAAGATAATACTATAGGACGTGTCACGAACAATGGGTAGGTCTCAAACTGAAAGAAAGTCAGAAGCTTCAACGGCTCTGCAGAAACGACGACGAGGGTTTTTTTTTCTTCCTGAATTTTCCCCAGATCTGGCCTGACCTGCATGTTTTCGGTACTACATCGAAGATCATGGGAGTTCGTGAAGCGTCGCCCCTCCATTCTCACTACTGAGCTTTTCGTGAGCAGAGCTTCTATCGCTCGGAAGTTCCCTGCCGTCGAGCTCGCTTCGCAACGCCCACGGTGTCGCAGGCCGGCCTTCAAGCTCTGACACCGGCGCTCCATCGACTTCCGGTACTGGAGGCATGTTTGGTCGAACATATTCGCCCAGACCACCAGGCTTCATCGGCGAGGTAGAAGCAGCGGCAGGCAGGCCTGATGGCGGTGTCTTGTGGGCTTCGAACTGGGATCTCCGGCGCCTGCGGCGGAAGAGAAGGAACACGCCGAGGGACGTCAACAGGATTGCTACGGCAGCGCCAATCACGATCCCAACGATCGCCCCTGTGCCGATGGTGGACTTGGATGCGTCGCTAGGAGATGACAGAGACGACACAGGACCGCTCCCGCCGGACAGAGTTGCGCTTGTGGAGTTCTCTGCTGTTGTTGTTGTTGGTGAATGGGGGCTTTCCGATCCAGGCGATGAGCCGTCTGACCCCGATGTGCTTGTCGCCGCAGAGTTTGTTCCTATTGTACTGCCGGTTGTGGTGGAGACCGAGGATCCAGCGCTGGTTGAGCCTGCTGCCGTCGAACCTTCTGCTGTTGGAGAACCGGTTGGACTGTGACCCGCGAAAAAGGAGATGGTCTCGCCTGTGCTCTTTGGCAAAGACGCATAGTTGGCAAGAACGGTGGCATCTTTGAAAGCGATCGTCGCCGAAGCCGAGTTTGTACAGCTGCAGTACGAGCCCGGCTGTAGCGTTGTAGGATTGCCTATCTGCGAGCAGATGGCCCACGCGCCGCCGCTGTTGTCGCATAATGTGAGGGCGACCCATGGCTGATCTAGCACGCGTAAGCCAGAAGGGCTCTATCACACTCGTCCATACCATCGCTCACCGACGTCTTTCTTCGGGCAGCTGGCATCTTCGTAATTTGGGTCCGTACATCCGGCCATGTATGTCAGATAGCTGCCGTAGCCAGTTCCATGGATGCCAAAGCAGGCCAAGTCGGCCAAACAGTTATCTCCTGCTCCACAACATGTCTGATAACCAAAGGCGGTGTTGCCACATGGGATGAAGCTGCTGTCTAACTTCTGACCTGCTGCTGAGTAGCACGTGCCATTGCTAATATTAATGTTGCTCATTTTATCAGTTGCGTCGAAAGACGATCGTCTACATTGACGTGCAATTCGACGAGAGTCTTGCGGTGCATATCATCACGAAAAAAAAGGAAGCACGAGGACACAAGTACGCGCTTACAGAATTTTTTTTTTCTTTTCGCTTCGGTTGTTACTATGTTCACACAATGACGTCGATTTTGTTAGTCCATCTCGCACACCAATTACAGGCCTGTTTGTTGTTGACGAGAGAGGAGCGAGCCGATAGCCCTTGTCGATCTTTTTCTTGCCCGTTCCGTTCTCAAGTGGCAAACACGACAAAATTCGCTGTAATAGAAAATGAGATTTTTTGCAAAAAACCTCCGGGTATTCCAGTCGCGGTTGCGTTCCAGCGCAAGCCCAAGGCGAAGTTGTAGACCTGGCACAATGTCGTCAGCATCGTGGATATTGCGTGCATGTTCTGACGCGGAATATATGTAGAGTTTTCTACTGGCCAAGACTCGCAAATCAAACTCCTCACGTGTTAACAAAAAATCCCTCTGCTTTGTAGAATGATGCACCAGGTGAAGCGTAGGCGCATGCCTGTGTAAGCAGAATAGTCCTCATTGTACGTGCTCTTTCTCTTCTGCCTTCGGTATGCGGACCATCGTGCCAGTAAGCAGAGCTCCTGTCAGTGCAGCTGAAAGTCCAAACCACCAAATGACTTTGATTCCGTGCAATCCGACCTCTCCAGTCGGGAGCTCGTCAACTTGGACACCGATGGAATCGCAGACGGACGTCATGACGGCCATGGCCAAATTTTGCACGGTGACGAGCAAACTCCCCGCGGAGCCCTGGTACGATCTCGGCACGCTCGAGGTGATGAAGATCGACGCTGCAGCAAAGCTCATGTCCGGACCAAAGGTCGCGAGCGCGACGCCGGGCATGGACAGCGCCCAGTAGCTGGACTCTGGAGTTTGAGGAAGGAAAAAGACGGGGCCCATCCCGAAGCACACCATGCTTGCGATCAGGATGTAATGGCCGGGAACGACGTGCAGTGTCCGAGACACGATCCAAGCCGCAAGCAGACCGACGATGCCGTTCGGAAGCACGTACAGCGCAACGGTGAGGGGGCTTGCCCCCTGATAGCGCTGCCAGAACTGAATGGCGTAGAACTGCCACGCACCAGCTGTACGAGAAAGCGTTAACGGAGCGATGTCAACAGGAAAGACGTAAAGGACGAGATAAGCTCACAGTATGCGCCGAAACCAAGGAAGTACGAGATCAGGAGAGCAGTGAAGCCTGGCGTATGCCAGAGTCCGTTGGGAATCAGAGGTCGGGCGACCCGTTGCTCCACGAGGTAGAAAACACCGAGCATCACCGTTCCGAGGATCACGCTGCAGTACGTGTACGGGTTCCAGCGAGCAGAGGATCCTTGGGCAAGTCCAAAGAGGATCAAGCTGCAGCCTAGGGACGACAAGAACGCTCCGACGTAGTCGAACTGCCGTAATGAGGGCGCGTCAGCCGTGCGGCTGTCACTCGCCGGCTGCAGGTTCGGGACGGTCGTGTAGGCTGCCAGGGCGCACAAAGCGAGGAAGACAGCGGAGGTACCGAAGATCCAAGGGAGATGGGCGCTCAAGGCTCCACCCTGCACGCATCCGACCCAGAAGCCAAACGGCGAGCCGGCGGCCATGAGCGAGAACACGCGCGTTTTTCGGATACCGGGATAATAGACGCGCCCGAGGATGCTCATCGAGGCGGAGACCAGGACGCCGACGGCGAGCCCCTTCATGGCCTGGGCTACGAAGAAGAGCACTTTCAGGCGCGGGCCGACGGCGACGGCAGTGACGGCAGTCCAGACGGCCTCCCACAGGAAGGCGCCGACAACCAGGGGCTTGGGTGGGGCGAGATCGGCCAGCGACCCCGAGACGATCACGGACAGACCGCTAGCCAGCATGAGAGAGCCTATGAGCCAAGGGGTCTGGGTGGGCGGGATGCCGAGCGCCTTGCGGAACTGCGTCTGCGCGACGGTGATGTGGCCCAGCATCAACGAGAAGATGAACTGAGACGCCGTGCAGGTGAGGACGAAGATGACCTCCGCGAGGAGGTTGCCCAGCTCGGAGGGGACGCCTTGCGACGGCGGCAGACCCGCGTCGCCGGAAGCATGGGGGATGTCAAGTTCGGACGAGCTGTGAACGGAGAGGATGTCGCAGAATCGACTTCGCACGCGGCCGAGCTCGATGGCCACGTCCACGGCGCTCTCCTTGGCTGCAACGGACTCCGCCGCATGGCTCGGCATTGGTACGATCGGCTCCTGATGGACGAGAGTCTCACTCGCAAGTCGTCCAGGCGACAACTGAGGTGACAAGTGAGCATCCGCTCGGTATGGATACTCGGACAACGAACTTGGACGACTTACGTTGGCGTTCGAATCGACTTGGCTTACTACGAAAGCAACGTGGTGTTCTGTAGCACCGATTTCACGCCGCCCACTCGACAAACTGGTGGTTATTTCCAGTCGCGGGAAACCCACGTCGCCTTCCACGAAGGCCGAAGGACTGGAGCTTAACGCTTGTGGGCCGATCGGCAATCTCATGGCAACATTCAGCTCGTGCACGATAAGACGATGAAAGATGTCCAGCCTGAGCCACAAATGGACAGCTACTCGAAGATGTGTCGACCCTTGCGCCGTGCAATAATCGAGTTGAGGGTCGCCCGGACGAAGCACAGGAGAGATTGTTCGAAGCAAGAACGTGCTTGAAGCAGCGCGTAATTCAAGTTGTAGGCAAATGTGCGCCGCAACTCCACTTTATGTGGAAGATTTGTGGGGCAGCGTGTCATGCGTGCTGCTCAGCTAGCATAAGTTGTTGCGGCTGCGAAGCGTCGTGAGCCTGCAGTGGAGCGATAGTCCGAGGACAACGTGCACTTGAAGTGATTGATAATGAACAGAAGAACAGCGCATAAGTGATGTCGGCCAAGACATCTTCCAGAGAAAACAAGATGCGAGGCTGGAATTTGGCAGGACGAAGTAGACAATTCTGGAAAGCTTCGACTGTTACCCGTGCTGGAGAGTTTTTCTTCGGACAATCCGTCGTTAGATCCAGCTCGAGGAGCTCGAGGCTGTATGTGAACCACGCAAACGACTCTTCATGCGCCGTGACGTGAGCAGATGCAGGAGACCACATCTGGAACAGTAACTGCAGAGGTCTTGCACGGGGCGAAAACCGAAAAGCCTCTAAATGTTCAGGACGTGAGCAATCTGGCGAACGTAAGGAGCTTAGAGCAAAGCGTTCTTCTGCGTTTCAAGGCGCAAAATGCGCAATCACTAATTAAAACGGGTGTCCGCGTGAGACTATCCGATACTACAAACACATAAAGACATTCGAATGTTTGGTGGTTGCTGTTGCAGAGGCCACTTCCTCTCGTGCTCTTCAGTCCCCAATCCCGCGCACACAAGCCGCATTTGAGCTTACATCCGTAGAGGGGGCAACACGTATGAAACCGCTCCGGAAGAGGAGTCGAGAAGAGACGAGCTGGACCAGGCGAGCCAATCACGATGTAATCCCCATACCCCAATCCCATATGTAACGTGGTGAACAAAGCTAGCGTGCAATGTGAGACAGGCTCAGCCATGGCGGTTTTCTCTTGAATACACGCCTGTACATGTGTGTGGATGCGTGTGAGTGTGTGCGAACAAAAGTGGTGGTGATACAAGGCTCTCGCCACGTCGGCAAGCAGCCGAATTGGGTTTTATTGTGTTTGCCTGTATAGAAATGTCGAGGTACGCGGAAATATCAACATTTGCGGGGATGACACTGAGTGGCGCATCCGCCGAATAAAGTTTCAGACAGTGGCAATCCAGGTAGTGAGTGTCTAAGTAGTCATGTCATCTTGATGGTCGCCGAAGCATGGGTCAAATTGCAGCTTAGTTGCTGGTACCCCCGCCACGACCATTCTTCGAGCCCCAGTGCGCACCACCGCGAGGCTTGGGCGACGAACTGGACGAATTTGAAGCACCGGTGGTAGCGTCGCCTTTCTTTGCACCTCTGCCGGCACTCTCGTGTTTGTTGCCGCCCCTTGAGCCGTGACCACCAGCGCCACGACGGCTGCCGCCTTCCGAGGGACCGCTACGAGAAGAGCCACCACGGCCACCACGGCCACTGCTTGCGCCACCCTCGCGCGGAGTGTTATCGGAGCGACCGCCGCGGCGAGAAAGGCGTACGTCGACATACTTGGCAGTCTTCATGGCTGGCAGCTTGATCGTGACCTTGCTTCCGAACTTGTCGCCCTTCTCTGTGGGGAAAAGCTGCACTTCGCTCACAGTTTGAGTTTCTAGAACGTGAAATTTCATATGTCGAGGCAGCGGCGCCGACATGGCTCCTTCGTGCTGGTAACCGAACTGGTGATTTTGGTGCGGCACTTTTGGAACTCGCACGGTGGGCTTGGAGCCAAAGTCCGGAAAGTCGAAACAGTCATCCTCGGCTAGGGGTTGGGACTGAGGCGAGGAGGAATAGTTGACCGCAAAAAGTTGGTGCTTGGTTACAGACGTCGGACTGGAGCGCGGCTGTTGGTTTTGGAGGGCACCGTTGGGTCGAGTGGTTGCAGCAGTGACATCGAAGGCAGGCTTGGTGTTGGCGAAGATGCCACCAGGCTGCGTGTTTCCGAACTTTGCTTTTAGATCATCGACGCGCATCGTGTGTGGGAGAGTGCGCGGTCCGGACGGACCTGATGACGTGCCAGGAGCTTGGCCTGAGAAGGATTTGTCGACACCGGGAGACCGAGGCGGAAGAGAAACCGACGGCGAGGCCTTCATACCAGGAAGGTTGACCTTGGCGATGACAGGGAATTTGACCTTGACCGGCTGCGAAGAATCGTGGTCGAAAAGGTCTTGCTCTGCCGGCGGAGGCGTCTCATCCTGCGTGATGGCAATCTGAGGCTGCGTGGGTGTGCCCTCTGATTGCGGCTGAGTGGAAATGACCGGCGCGGCACCCTTGGGGAAGAAGCGAGACGACGAGGTGGTAGAGGCTGATTGGGCCACGCCATTGACAGGCTGCTCCGACTTTGGCGGATGATCCTCTGGATGCAGTGCTTCTGACTCCCGGACCTTGGCAGCGTTGTTTGGACTCATCGGAAATGTTCCGCCACGACGAGTCGTCTTCTGACCATCTGGCTGGACAGCGACGTGGAATACCTCGACTGTGTTGCCTCCCGGACCCTCGCGGTATACGTCGTAGGTTACGATACCGCCCGACTTGGGCTGCGGTTTCGACGTGGCCATTTCCCGCTGGTACTTCGCGACCTCGGCTTCGCGCTTGCGCTGCTCATCGGCACCAAAGCTTTGCCAACTCTTCTGGGTGGCGCGACCACCACCAAGATGCCAGTCACGCGCGCGGTCCTGCGAGCCAAGCGATGCTTTGCCAGAGCCGATTGGAGCGGTTGGCGGAAGCGCAACTTGAGCGGACATATTGTTACCGCTGCTTGCAGAGTAAGACGGCTGCGATGTGGTCTGAGGATGCAGTGAAGAGCTCTGCGCAATGCTCTGTTGGAGTGACGAGTCGAGGTGTGCAGAGACGAAGGCCTGGTCGTCGACGGACGGAGAATGCGACGTTGGCGGCTGTTCTTGCTGCTCGTTCGTCGCAGCTGCAGAAGCGGCAGACGTCGAGTTCGCCGAGTGCTCTGAAGACAGGCTTTGAAACGTGTGCGTGAACTGAGATTGCCGTTGTGGCGGGGTCGCAGCACCTTTGATGCCGGAGCCCACGGGCCCATGCATTGGAGGCCCTTGCGCCGGGAGTCCACTCGCTCTGCCGTTGTCGAAGCGATTGTTGACGAAATTTGGATGACTGAACTTCGACTCGAATGTACCGTTGCCCAGCGACTTCTCGTTGCTGCTCAAGCTAAGCGGGCCCCATACGCTGCCTCCGACCGCGGATCGGGCGCTCATAGAATTAGGTCCCCAGTTGTAGTCATTCGATGACGGCGACGACGTCCACGAGCTGCCAAGCTTTTCGAGAGGACCTCCAGAGGCATTGGGCGGCGCATTGGGTAGTCCTTTTTGCTGCTGTGCCTTTTCGGATGCAGAGTTCGCGTGATGCTGTTGCTGGCCTCCAGACGGTCGGGCGACGGTCTTGCTCGGTGACGTAGAGCCTCTGAATCTGTGGCTGTAGTCCGAGCCGGAGTCCTGGTTGGACCGGGACGTGAGAGAAGCCTCCGAGACAAAGTTCTTCTTCACGGGATGCGGCTGGTGCAACTTCATCATGCCGTACTGCGCAACCTCACCTTCAGATGTGGGCACGGGCGGCTTCGGCGGCGAGACGGTGTTGCTCTTGGGTGGCTGGACGGCGGCGTTCTGCGAGCCGGTACCTTTGGCTGCGCCATCGTGAACATCGGGAGAGGGACTCGCGGACGCAAGTTGGGCCATCTTTAATTTGAGCCGCTCTTGACGAGCGGCCGCTTCGGCCGCCTCTTCCTCCAACCGCTTCTGCTTCGCGATTCGAGCCTGCTCTATCTTTTCTTTCATCATACGCTGTTGCTTGGCTATAGGATCTTCAATTGGCTGCTGAGATCCATCGGAAGGTTGCCCGGATCCTGCGACTGGAGGTTCCATGTGCGAATGGCCAGGACGGCTCCATAGTCCGGGTCGATCCAAAATGGCATGCCCGGCTCTTGGGGATTCAGCAGCAGTCTCAGGATGAGGATGCTGCGCGTGGTCTTGCGAAAGCGCTAGTGAAGGCCTGCGACCGCCAGCGCTCAGGCTAGATGATGCACGGCGTCGCGACCACGGCCCGACGCTGTCCGCGCTGGACCTGGACGTTTGGAACGCAGGCGAAGGCTCGGCTGGGCCCATGTGCGTCCCGCCTTGCGAAGGACGTTGAAGAACAGCGGGTTGGCGATGGCCATGCTCGTTCCGAGAGCCTCGACGCGTGTCGTTGGCCGGCTCGTACCTTCCAGACTGCGCGTTGAACAGCTCCCTCGGCGCGCGGTCGCCGCCGTAGTTCCTGCTGAAGTCATCGGCTGCGATCTCTTGAGCCGGCGCCGGAGCCGGCGGATGTGCGTCATAACCCTGCGAGTCGCGTGCAAAGGGCCGCTGCGTCTGCTGTACGGGAGGATTGATTGGGGGAATCTTCTCGACGGGCGGTAGGACTGCCCACGGAGATTTGGCTGGAGGCTGCGATGGTTTGGTCCCGCCGGATGGAGACTTGTCGGCACCGGCTTTTTGGGCGGCGCCCGGTTTTGGTGACGCGTTCAGCTGAGAACCCGGCCGTAGAATCGTCTTGTTCGACTGCGTCGCAGCGGACTTGTTCATGGATGTGAGAACGGGCTTGACGGGTTCCGCGGTCGGCTCCTTTTTGCTTGGACTGGACGCTCTATCTTCCTGTCGCGGAGGAGGCGGTGGTGGCTGTGGCTCTGCGCCCACGCTAGACTTTGTACCGTCCATCCATTCCACCGTCTCGGGGGCCCAATCTTCCTCGTCGTCGTCAATGTCTGCCCATTTCGAGTCCTTTCCAGACTCGTCAGATTGCAGCCGTGCGGTCATGTGGATGCCATAGCGTGTCTGCAACTCCTCGTCGGTAAACTGGCGTGGCGGTGGTGGAGCCGCAGCTACTAAGGGTCAGCCATTTTCAAGTCGCTAGCCAAATAGAAAAAAATCGAAGCGAAAGAGAACGCTCCGTAGTGAGCGAGCGACAAGATAGCACTTACGTCGGTTCTTATTCCAGACCTTGCTCGCATCGGGACTTGCTGTACCATTCAATGTTGTCATCCCTCTGGTGCTGCCGCCAAGCACAGACTTGGCCACCAGACGTGGCTTGGCCGACTGCAGGGCAGAGGTCGGGCTCGGAGAGTTCGACGGGCCTACTTCAACAAAGTCAGCCGTGGGCTCTGATCGTACATGGCAATCGAGAATCGTCCTGGTTCAATTTGAAAAATCGGGCATCACGAACCTTTGTCACCTGCTCTGGGCACCGGGGATGCGGACAAGCTCTTCGCCAGGAAGCTCTTGGTTACCGACACGGGTTTGAACGTTGTCGGCTTCTTCAGCGAGCCCGTACGAGAATGACCCTTTCCGTCTTCCTTGCCCGTGTCAGCTCTGCTCGTGTCCGTGTCGGAGCCTCCGCTCGCGTCTGCGAGTCCTTGCGCTACACCGTCGGAAAGATTTGACGCGGATGCGGAGCCGCCCTTCTTGTCTGATCCATCTGCCTCAGCACTGCCTTTTGCCGCTGGCTGGTCTGCGGCGCTGCCACCCTCGGCCGTTGCGGCTGCTGATTCGGCCACGTGCGCGTCCCGATTGCTGTCATGGGCGTTGTTGGGTGAATGCTCGGAAGAGGCGGCGGATTCTGGCGTGGTAGTGGTGGTCGTAGTCGCGTTGGTCGTGATCGTGCTCGTCGTCGCCTGGCCGTTGCCGGCGGAAAGCTCGTTGGAGGTGTTCGCAAGATCGTCGGAGGGCTGATGGTGGGGGCCCACCGACTGTGCTTCCTTTACCACATCGTGGGCAACCGACTCTGCCATAACAATCGAGGGATCTGCGTCGCGCGTGCTTTATGTTAGAGACGAGTTCACAGTTGGGTGGGGGGCGGAGGAGAAGGATGTGGTGGTGAATGGTTGGCGTTGAGGTTTGAAGAGAAAGCAGGGATCCTTGGTGCTGGGAAGGACGGCAAAAGTAGTGATGACAAGCTAGCTGACATTGACACTGTCGTCACCGTTGTTGTCTACGAAGACACCGTCACCACGGCAGGCTCAGCTGCAGGTGACGAGTACGGTCGTGGCGTTTCGGCATGTCGCACGACCGCCGCGGAGGGCGGGTGTTCGATGCTGGACAGGCACGAGGCAAGACGCAGGTCTGGGGCGCAAGCAACGGCGGAAGCAAGGGAAGAAGCGTTAGAAACAATGGGTGAATACCTGTATCAAGAGCAGTTGGATGCGGTCGCCAGAGAGGATGAGAGGATCTGCCGGAGACAGCCCAGCAGAGAGCGACGGGGTTTGATGATACTTTTTGGTTACGGGAGGTGCAAGCGGCTGGCTCAGCAGGTGTGCGACTCTCTTTGGGAGGGGACGGGGGGGTGGTTGAATATGCGCCTCAGTCAAGCTGGGGATAAGATCACGAAGGAGTCTGCGGAAAGAGCGGACTCGATGGAAGGAAAGGGAGGAGGCCGAGGAGGAGGCCGAGAGGAGATGGCGGATAATGGAGTGTCGAAGTTGGCACTTTTGTTAAGGGAAACGCGACGTAACTTGAGGAGGCCGGAGGAAGCGTATCACGCAGCGGCGGCCTGAGGCACTGACGCCTGCGTGCTCAGCCCCGTCAGGCATCCCGTCACAAACGCATAACCGCACACTCCGGCCTGGCGCTGGATACACAGTCCGAGGCTTCCCGCATCAAAGACAGCAGAACAGCCCAATGTTGCTTGCTGATCCTCGGGCGGCACGCCTGGTGGTAGCTTCGTGCACACTCCTCCAGCATGGCGCCGCCAAGGCCCGTCCATCTCTCTGTCCCGTCATCCGAAGGGTGCGGAGAGTCAGCGTCGAATCGACTTCAAAATCACGTAGCAAGGGCGCAAGGGTCACGGTCGTCACTTTAAAAGGATTGCAATCAAGGTGCAGGCGAATGTGCGTGGTCGGTTTGCAGCGTCTATCAGAGTATTTGTACACACCACCACTTTGCCGTCATGCATTCCTTCCCTCCATCACTCGCTCGTCCCGTTCTGCCGTGCATTCTTTGTACAAACGGAATTTGATTCACCCCTGCATGCTCTACTCTAGTGAGCGTTGTTCTTGTGGTGCCCTACGGTGACCCGGTCAGCTCACTGTCCTTCTCCATCCCTTGCCCCGTCGAGGGTGGACATCGTTACGGGAACATGGATACATTGGTACATTTTTGGTTTGGATACAGGGGAATGTGAAGGGACGGAACAAGGGAGAAAGCCTAGAAAGAAGGACTGGAAACATACGCAGGTGGAAGTAGTAGTTCTGGCCGTAACCGAGCAGCGTGAAGAAGATGATCAGATGCGCCAGTGCTATTGATTCGCGTTCACACGTCAGTGTCTTTGTCCAACGCAATGCATTCTCTTTTGCCAGCCCGCCGCGGAACGGTAGGTAGGCGAGGTCTCGACGTACGTGCTGCAGATTCATTGCCGCGCTTGAAGTACTTGTTCTTGTACCACGAGAACAAGCCCGTCGACTTCTCCGCTGGGGCGGGCCCGCGCGGCAGCTTCTCGTAGAACGAGACGACCTTCTGCATGCGCACCGCGTCCGAAGCGGCGCCGATGCCCTGTGTTTTGCCCGTCAGCATGCCACCTCCTTCCTCGGCCTGTCCACACGCCGTCCGCTGCCGACCTTGCGGCGTATGCTCCGTCGCAGAGGCCGTCGGGGGGACGCGATGCGGCATAATCGAATCGAATGCATGGAGCAGCTTACAGAGGGAGAGGCAATCTAATGGCCGGAGTCAGCGTTGGCGTCCAATTGATGACGGCGAGACACGGCTCGCCCAGCTTGGACGTACCTTGGGAGGGATGAGCGTGGACAGCGCACGACGGGTGATGTAGCTCATCTTGGCAGATCTGCACGCGGTCAGCATCTCAATTGGGCCCAAGACGGGAGCGTCCACACGTACCGAGCACGTTGTGCGGTGTTATGGGCGGGTAGATGTGGATGGTTGTTCAGGTGGTGGGAGAGTCTTCGTTTTTGGCGAAGATCGGGGACGCAAAGGCAGGAGCTTCGACCCTGCGCCAGCCGAGCCTTGGCATCGACCTTTGCCTGGCTTCCTCAACACCACACCTCATCCTCCAGCAGCAGCACCACCACCACCACCAGCCTGCACCCTCCCAGGCGACGACGGACACAGCACACGCTCGCAGTCATGTCGCTTCTACACAAGTCAATTGGCTCTCGCCTGCTCGCGTCGAGCGTTCGGCGGGCTTCCGTCAGGGCCTTCTCCACGTCTTCGTCCAGGATGGCGGATCCGGCCGCAGAACCTCCCGCTGAGCGACCGGACTCCACGCAGATGGTCTCCAAGGAGTCGGCAGGTCAAGCGCAGCCAAGGCATCAGCCCGACTACGACGTCGCTGTCGACTACAGGACCTCGTACGTGTCTTGGCAGCAGCGGCTACCGCGGATCAACACGACGGCTAACGAGTAGCGACAGAGCATATTCCCCCATCCCAAAGCGCGTCATGGACGGCTCCGAGCCGGGTGAGACTCTACCTGCAGCAGTCCTCTCGGGCGCGCCCGTTGATCTTCAGGCACGCACCGTCCGGTACGTTCTCATCCTCTACCTTATCCTCACCCTGTTTTTCTCTCACTCATGCACCATGCAATACGCATACAAGAGACGTGGCGATCCAGACCAGTCATTTGCAAACTTGCTGACCCGAATTTTTTTTCTCTACAGCATCTACCGACCAACGAAGCCCGCCACGCAGTCCGGCACCTGGCACTCGGCCCACTGGCTCATGGATTGGGACCCGCTCCCCAAGGGTCACCGGTGGGAGAACCCGCTCATGGGCTGGCAGTCGAGTGGCGACTTCATGAACGGCGAACGCATCAGCTTCAAGACCAAGGAGGACGCCATCGCGTTTGCCAACAAGCAGGGCTACGAGTACTACGTCCAAGAGCCCAACGAGAGGCGTTTCGTGCCCAAGGCGTACGCGAACAACTTCGTGCACAGCCCGAAGAAGCTGAAGATCATTCGGACAAAGTAGAGTGGGATGCGTGCGTGCGGGTGAAGAATAAGAAGAATGGACGGAGAGGCGGAGAGAGGTGGGGGAAAAAGGGCAATAAAGTCACCGGATAAGGACTGGCATCATCTGTATATATAAACCCGTAGCCAGGGACGTCGCCTATGTTGCATGCTCAAAATAGATTCATACGCAATCCCGTCACCGCAAAACTTTGACAATTACATTACTGCCCGGCACCCGCTCTTCTCCAAGAAAGACAAACCCCGGCACCGCTGCCATTTTCCGTGCAACAAAATCAACCCAAATGCGCCCTTCTAGTAGATCCCATTTCTGGCAAAAAAAAAAAAAAAATTCTCCCCCGTGCCAGCGTGCCAACCCCCGTCAGTCTTCCTTGGTCGCAGCGCCGTTGGCGCCCACCTTGCCGTTCCGACCGCCGCTGTCCTTCGCCTCGCCCAGCCCGCCCAGCGCGAGCTTTGCAGGCCACGCGAAGCTGGACGCGGCGCCGTCGGCGCTGGTCGTCAGGAACTCGATCTCGGCCATGAAGCAGTAGGCCGAGATGGCGGTCAGCAGGTGCCAGTAGCCGTGCAGCTCGAGGAGGATGCCCCAGGGCATGCCGAGGGCGTGCTTCCAGCGCGTCAGCGTGGCGCAGAAGTGCACGTCGACGTTCCAGATGAGCCAGGCGATGAGGGCGTTGCCTGCGCGTGGTCAGCGGCGTCCATATACAGGAAGGCCAGGGCTGCGAAAAAGGGAAGGAAAGGAGAAGAAGAAGAAGAGGAAGAAAATGAGAAATAAGAGAGAGGGATTATGTTTGGGGGGGGGGGAGAGAAGAGGCGGACGCGGAGGTCCGTCTCCAAGGTGTGTTCCGTACATGTGGCAAAGGTGGTCAGCCTGTGCAGCCGCTTCCGCACGGCGCGGTCGCGAATGGTCTCCTTGATGATGCGGCTCGTCTTCAGGCTGACGGTGACGCTGGTGCCGAAGAAGACGACGACGTGCATGACGAACTCGTCCGTGACGCAGTGGTAGACGACGAAGGCGGTCAGGCCGACGACGATGAGGACGATGTTGCGCCTCTGCTCGTGCGCCGGCTTGCGGAAGGTGAACACCTGGATGAACACCGTGCCCGTGGCCAGGTGCATGGACATCTCGTCGCCCATCTGGGTGTGGTACTTCAGACTGGCGTGGTACAGGGCCGAGAAGAGCCCGACGCCGACGAGGGCCCAGTAGGTCCAGTTGACGGGCGAGAAGAGGCCGAGGTTCTGGCGCCTGCAGCGCCGGATGCCATGGTAGCCGTAGAGGACTGCGACGTGGTGAGCAACATGCGTCGCGCGGACGACACAGGTGAAGACGTGCCGTCTTCTGAGCGAGCAGGATGGGAGCCCGTACCGTAGAACAAGCTCGTGAGCGTGTTGATGAACTCGCCGACGTAGCGCGTGATTATGTAGTCCTCCTCGCAGAAACTAGAACGTGCCCCGTCAGCCCGTCTCGACGTCCAGTCCGACGCGTGGTGTCCGCGTTGCGAAGGCCATCGTACTTGACCGCGCTCGTTTGTTTGCCCCAGAACGGCTTCGGCTTCGGCGGGCCGTACTGGATCGACCACATTGTCCCTTTCGTCGCTGAGAAGGAAAAAAAAAAGAAAAAAAAAATATAATTCTCACACGCAGACGCACGCACAAAAAGATCAAACAGGCTCCAGGCTCCTTCTATCCCAACAAGCGAGCGACGGTGCGATACATCGTTTCAGTCCAGAGATCACGTCTTGTGAGGAGAAAAAACCTTGGGCGGCGGATCGGAGCGGCGATAACCATGCAAATGCTGAAGGCGACGGGGTGGGGGCTTTTTGGCTGTTTTCGCTCTCACAGGCCGGCACGATCCAAGGCTGATGATGCGACAGCATTCCGAGCGTGCCGGCTCCGCCAATCGGTGCAGGCCTGTCATAAGCGGTCGCAGATCAAGAGCTGGGTGCTGCGAAGGCAGGATGCCCGAACGTGTCTTTTCCATGCTCGAAAAAGATGCATATCATCAAACGCGGTGCAGCGTCCGACCAGACGGGTCCGCATCCAGGCCAGTACGGCCGTGGTTCTACCTGTGCCTAAAACCCGTCCGGCCGTCACGTCCTGCTTTGGTGTTACGTTGTCGCCGAGCAGTCTGCGTCGACCCGGAACAGGTCATTGCTGGAACAGCCTTCTTTTCCCCAGATCCGTGTTGCTTTGTTTTGCGTTCTGCGAGCAGAACCGACCAGCAGAGACACTGCCCGTTTGCAGCAGAGCGCATTGTCTTTTCGAGCTCGGATGGTTTCTGAAACAGTGACACACAACTCGCCAGAGTGGCCGCAAGCCGCACACCGCACACGTCGGCTGAGAGCGAGGCGTGCTCGTGAAGACCCAAGGCACGATCATGTTCGCTTTGTTAGTAACTGAAGTCGTCGCGCAGGACCGGAACGGTCGGTGCTCTTGCGCCCGCGCTATGTGTTACCCGCCCTTGCTCCCTTGCCTCTTCTTCTGTTGTGCTGAGGCTCAACGGAGCCGCGTCCGTCGACCTCCGCCAAGGTCGTTGGCTCGAATTTTTTTTTTTTTTTTTTTTTTTTTTTTTGATGACAAATGGCCTCTCGCCACGGTCTGTTTGGTGTGTTGGGCGGCTAGAATAGTTCGATCCGACTCACTTTTTTTTCTCCATCTTATGACTCGACGTCTGGGCGTCCCACGTCACCTTCTTATACTCAAGCCCCCTCCTTTCGAGAACGTGATAAACAGGAAGGACTTCTCGATAACTATTGCGTGGGTCTTGCATCCGATTCGACCTGTTTCCAAAGTCAAAATCGTATCCCTCCCTGAGCGCATATTTGCTTAAGTCGCTCTGCAATGTGACTCGTGGCGTGGACGCATTGGATTCATCGTCACGCTGTGTTTGAAATAAGGTCGAAGCGCGACTCGTGAATTGTCGCGAAACCCCTCAGCAGCCATGGATCCCATCCCTCCTTTCTGTCCGCGCGAGTTCAGTGGCCAGGTTACTGAACAATTGATGTCGGCAAGTCAAAGCACAACCGGGCTCCATTCCCAGCGTTGATGGCCGACAAGACGCGAGATATCACTCTCACGGCTTTGACAGTGCTTCGGACTGCTTTCCATCACCCAAGACTACATACTAGCCAAAATCTGATTTCGTTATCCATGACACTTATGCTCTTGCCATAGCGCCGTCGAACCGTTACTCTCGAGACCAATTTTGTTCGCTTGACGAAGGAGCGATCCGTCCCGCTCGTGGTCAGCACGTTGGGAGGCAAGCCAAGCTGATTCAAGGTCGAGACATCCAGGCGATAGCTCAGGGCTTGCAAATGCATAACGCCGCCAGCAAGTTTGTTCCGTCCACGCTTGTCGACCTTCAAACAAAAGGGCCTCACTCAATCAAATGCCTAAGGTCCAGATTAAGCACCATAGGCTTTGTGATAACGCCGTGCCGGTTTAGACACAGTCCTTAAAGATCGTCAAACACCTGGGATGACACCATGCTCAAATCGATTAGTCCGGGGGGGAAAGATGCCCGCAGATATGGAATGGCCACAAAGCGGGAAACCTTTCAGCATTTGGCAAAAGTGGAGAGGAGCGCGGCAGACACGACGTTCGGATTTATTCACGTAGTTTGTCCCACATCTCGCCACGGCGCTGGCTCAACCTATCCAGAAGCACGGCAGACTTGCTCAGCGTGAGTAAGAAACGAAGGCATGGTCCCAACTAGGGCTAAATCAAGGACAGAGCTTGTGATTAGCTCAGGCGATGCAAAAGGGCATAACTGGCATCCGCACGGACAAGATTTGTACTTTGAACGACACCCTGGTGTCGTCAGCTTCTCCGCATAGACCCAACTACTGGGCTTTTAAAGAAAAAAAAAAATCTGCTCTATATCCACAGCTAGTTTGGCAAAAGACGAAGCGGAATTCACATAACAATGAAACGGAGCCGTAAAGAAATCCGACGGCCGATGTTAAAATTTTTCCATCTCCCTCTACAATTTGCTGAAAGAAAAAAAAAGGCAAAATGGCTCATTGCTATAGTCGTAAATGGCTCTTGTGCGTGCACGCTACAGCAATAGCATGAGTACGCCCAGGAAAGAGAGCAGCGTCGAGCCCAGATATGGTCTGACAGTAAAGCGGCCCGTGGCCGCCGAAGCGACTGACTTCTTCTCCTGGCCGCCGTTGGCTTGTTCCCCGACGGACTGCGTGGTGGGCGAGACAAGAAGGACGTACTCTCCATCCAACGACGTGGTCTGCTGAAGCTGAACCTTGTCGACTGCACCGGATAGCTTCGTCGTCTGCTTGGAGACGGCGGCGAACTTGGCGTTCGTCGCGCCGCTGTCGCGCCTGGCGATCATGACCTCGGCCCTTTCGACGTCGGCTCGCTGGGTCCGCGCAGTGCCGTTTCCGGCTTGTCCGCTGCCCAGCGCTCGGCTGAGCAGCGCAGGATTGATGGGGAAGTCGATCTTGGCGCTTCGAAGAGCCGATTGATTCGTGGCCGTCGGGGTCGACGTGTTCACGACGTACGAAAAGCTGTCTGGTTGGAATGTCAGTCGTGCATCCGTGACCGGTTGGACTGCCGGAACGTACTTAGCAGACGCATTCCTGCGGGGATCTGACTGGTGTTCACAGGACTCCTGATCTCGACGTTCATGCGTATCGGGCTGTTGGCTTCCACGGTGAAGCGCAAGCCGTCGATGAATTCGGACTGCTGGACTCCTGGCCCACCGGTGAAGTTGGCCGTGCGGGTTTCCCCTTGGCCGTATTGAACGAAAATGTTTGCCGTGTCAGTAGACTTGCGCCCGAGCAAGAGGTATTCGCCATCCATGCTCGTCATCTTGATTATCCTCGTCTTGTTCTCCGTCACGTGAACGTTGCGCTGATTCTCCATAATGTCCCACGACTTGCCATCAGGAGCCAACCTTCCCACGTACGTGTTGGCCGGGTTGAATCCAGTAGCAGCCAGCTGCGCTGGATCGTACGGCAGCTCTACCTTACCGATCAAATCTTGGGCGGTCTCATTGAGCTTTATGACGTAGGAGTACGGAAGCAAGGCGGTGAAGTTCTCGCCGGTCGAGTTGGTGACGAACTGGGCGCCCAGGGGATTCTTGTTCTGCGTCACGACAAATGTACGATTCTTGGGAGACAGCACGTCAATGGCCAAGCCATCGGCAAAGTCGATGTCCGTTCGATCCATCTAGAGCATTTAGGGACTACGTCATCACTTTTATACCTGTCGACTTCTTACATTTCCCAAGATCTGCTGGACGGTTCCAAATTGAGCAGTGTCATCGGGCGTGGCCGCAGACGACGCCGAAGCCGCGGCTGGGGCTGACGTCGAAGTTCTTGAAGAAGTGGCCGAGGAGGACGAAGAAGTGGAGGAAGCAGCAAGGACCACCGTGGTAAAGCAGAAGCCCAGAGCAAAGCGGAATAAGCTGGCCATGTCGGTCGTCGCATGAACTAGGAGAGACTGGGTGGACTCGATTCGCGATTCCTGAAGCTCATCTCAAGGCGCCGAGACGTTCCAAAAGATATATGAGATATGTTGGCATCCACATCAAGCTCATGCCATGACTCTTGTTTTTTTTTTATTTCCCTGCATCCTAGCCTGAGCACAGCGGATACAGATTTTCCCAGTTTGCATCGAGCGGATCTGAAACGAGTGGGATCGCGCTCCAAAGATCTGTTCGGCATCGTCTGGTTTGAAACTCCGATTGAGTCCTAGATCCTAGCACAACGAAACAAAGGAAAAGAAACCTTCCACTGGCTCCGAAGCGTTCAAAAGGCACCCTTTTGTTTGGCCAATGCTAGATCGAGTCCAACAGGCAAACCTTAACGCAGCCTGCTCGGTGATCGAATGTAAAACCGAGAGACGGAGTTTCATGTGGTTGAATCCGAGCCGGACTCTGCAGCGCACAGCTATATATGATCCCTGACGCCAAGATCAACGCGACAAAGTTATTTTGCGCTGCTTGTGCCAGATACCAGTCTATTCGCAGGAGCCCGTACCAGCCGTGTCTGCTTGACGGCCTGATGTGGTCGTAGATGTGACACAGTCAAAGTCGAACCGTTTCGCGCCTGCCGTCTCCTGTCAAGGAAAGCCTACGAGACACCACGCCGACATGAAGAGTACGAGAGACTCGACTCCGGCTGCGCATTAGTGTTTGATGCATGCTCGAACGTAGGACGCCAAGAGTGTCCCGCATTTTAGGTGATGTGCTAAAAGGCACGCGTAGAATACACCACGAAAAGGACATGCGTTGGATGCTGCCACGAAAAGGCGCGGAGAACATATATTTATCTGCTGGTTGGGTCTTAACAGTCAATGTGCTTTGGAACATGTCGTCATGCGACATCGAGTTCGTGAACTTGCTGGGAAAGAGAAAAGGTCCCACGTGATTGCTTCGAAGCTGACCCGAGACACATCGCTTGAGGAGCAACCCTGGGATGACGATGATAAGAGAGAGAGAGAGAGAGAGAGAGAGCGTCCATAGACTAGGTGGGCAATGTAGACCCGATGAGCTACACCGGGCGAACTGTGGAGTGTAGCTAACCACGGATTGGCGTGCGCGAGAGCGCACGATAACCGTGTTCATGACGAGTATGCAGACGAGCAATTCTTACATGAGAGATGTCAAACTCATCAAGCCTGCTTTCTACGCACGATTCTCGACTCGCAGCAAATTCGAACGGAACTTTCGTCGAGGTGCTGCGTGGAAGGACTTTGTCTGCATCACATGTAGATCATGCCTGGACCTACTTTGTACGGCAGACCGTCCGCAGCGTCTTGATCACCATGATCTTTGAATCCGGCACCGGTGGCACTCTGTATGCAGGGCCGCACCGATCTTGGACCGGTTCGACCTTGCTGAATGTACGTTCTACCTAGTTATAGTTCGCTAATCTGACCATGGGCACGTCGTGTACATTCAACAGCAAGGCTTATCCCGCGCCAGCGTGGTGAGCGCTGGACGTGCCCACACATCATCCAGCACTTACACTGTGCAGCGCATACGACCAGAGACGTAGACGGAATCCCGTTTCGTCAAGCGAGCCGGTTGAACTGAGAGCTGGCGACTTTCAATCTGATAGTGCGGAGGGCATTCCGCGGGGCCTCAGGGACGACAAAGAACGCGGAACGCACCGCAGGGGCAGCGTGTCCCATCCCGTGCTCTCGACGACGGCGGACACGCGAAGATGAGGGGAAAGGGGCTGCGTGGATGAGGGGCCGTCTGGGGAAGAAGACAAGTCGATCGCTGGTGGAGGGCAAGTCACAGGCGATTTCTAGTTCGGCGAGATTCTGGCTCGGAACCGGCAAAGGCGATGGTTCGGAGCATATGCATGATAATCGCGCACGGAAACGAAGATCCGGCCGAAGCTGCTCGCATGTGCGCGCGGAAAATAAAGATGGCAAACTGCGGCGTGTTGCTGCTTCGGTGTAGCGTCGACGCGGACGGCACGCGGCACTGACTTGTGTGCTCTGAAGGCGGTGAAAATTACTCAAAAAAAAAAAAAAAATAGGGGCGGGGGTGGGCGTGTAGATTGGGATGATGGATGATGTTGCTCTGCTTTGACGTGAACGAGGTCCACGGTTCGGCCCTAGCACAGACGAGGCTGCCAAAATATCGGACACGGGGTGAGGACTCGACCCTCTTAGTAAGGATGATTGTCGATGGATTGGGCAGGTGATAGCATGGCAAAGGCGCTGGTCGTCCAAGGCTGTGCTGGTGGACAAGCGGTCCTCTGGCAAAGCGAGCGGTGCCGTGGCCGCGAGGGGCTCCGGGTGGTCCGGCCGGCGACCGGAGTCCATTTGCGGGCGATGGACGACGGCGAAGGAGAGCTGAGCGCCAGTGCCAGAATCGGCGCCTGTATCAGCGGCCGGCATGGCGAGATGCGACACAAGGAGAAGCTCGACGGTGGTGAAGATGGACTGCGGCCATGCTCGGTTGGAACTGGGCACCAAGCGCCCGGCTCGCTGCTGGAAATGCGCGGCACCGACGCCCTCGTCAGCTTCGATGGCTCTCGTCAGCGACGACCGCGCGTCGCTCTGGTCTGGCGCGTCCCTGATCTTTCACGAGCGGGTTGGGCCAGCGCGCTCACGTCCTTGTCCGCCTGGGCGCTGGGCATGCCGTGAATGGTGGCCAGAGAGTGCCGACGTCGTAGCGACAGACGGCGCTGCATCTGGCCGTCTCGTTGCCGGCGCGTCGTCCCCACGCCTGCGGACCGGAGTGGCAAACTCAGGTCAACTGGACGCGATCGTTTCCGTTTCTGGCTCCGTCCGCAAAAGAGGACCGCCCGAAAACACGCCGACAAGCGGGCGCCCGCCGTCTGCGTCCTTGCGCAGACGGGAGGGAACAAGGGCGGCGAGACGTGTATATTTGCGCTGCCTGCTCCGAGCCCACTGCGCGCGCGTCAGCTGCTGCTGTCAACCCGGCTGATCATCGTGGTTTGGCCGTCCGCGTCTCATACCAGCGTCCCGGCTCGTCGTGCGTGCGAGTGCTTGCTTCTCTTCTCTTCGGCGGCGGCTGCGTCTCTTCCACAGCCGAGCGCGCCCAAAAAGGGCCCGGCCACGTTTGCTCGCGCGTCCTCTCTCTGTCGCTCGCTCTCTCTTTTGCTCGCTCAAGCGGCGCTCTCGTCTTGCTCCAGAGCTCGCGTCTGATCGGGTCCGTCCCCCTCGCCCCCCCCGTCTTAGTCAGGCTCGCACGGAACCTGGACATCGGACTCGCCTACAGCTGACTACGCCTACATCGGAAGTCCTTGTCCTTCGACCTCGCGTCTGCCTTTTTTTGGATTCCAGCGACGGTGGCCTCACGCCTTCGACCTGTTCCTGCTCCCTTCTCGTCTATCTTTTTATTTCGTGTTGCGACCTGTACGTCTCTCCTGTTCCATTCCCGACCTTCCCCCCCCCCCTCCCCACAACCTCCCCACACACGCACACAGCACGCACACAGCGCTCGAGTTTCGTCCTCCCAACACGCTTATCGGCACAGCAGCCGAGATCCGATCGCGCCATGGCTCAACTCGACACCCTCGACTACGCCGTGCTCATAGCACTCCTGGTCGGCACCGCTGCGTACTTCACAAAGGGCTCGTACTGGGCCGTCGCAAATGATCCGTATGGCAACTCGCTGGCGCACGCAAATGGCTCGCTCAAGGCCGGCAAGTCGAGAAACATCATCGAGAAGATGGAGGAGTCGGACAAGAACTGCGTCGTCTTCTACGGCTCCCAGACCGGCACCGCCGAGGACTACGCGTCCCGCTTAGCGAAGGAAGGTGCCGCGCGCTTCGGTCTCAAGACAATGGTCGCCGATCTCGAGGACTACGACTACGACAACCTCGACCAGTTCCCCGAGGACAAGGTGGCCTTCTTCATCCTGGCCACCTACGGCGAGGGCGAACCCACCGACAACGCCGTCGAGTTCTACGAGTTCATCCACGGCGACGAGCCGTCCTTTAGCGAGGGCGCGTCTGTCGAGGACAAGCCTCTGTCCAAGCTCCGCTTCGTCGCCTTCGGTCTCGGCAACAACACGTACGAGCACTACAATTCCATGGTCCGCAACGTCACCAAGTCTCTCGAGAGGCTCGGTGCCAAGCGCATCGGCGAAGCTGGCGAGGGTGACGACGGGGCCGGCACCATGGAGGAGGACTTCCTCGCCTGGAAGGAGCCCATGTGGAAGGCGTTGACGGAGGCCATGGGCCTGGAGGAGCGCGAGGCCGTCTACGAACCGGGCTTCGCCATCACCGAGCGCGAGGATCTCGACCCGTCTGCGGATCAGGTCTATCTTGGCGAGCCGAACAAGATGCATCTCGAGGGCAATCAGCGCGGACCGTACAACGCCAACAACCCGTACATTGCGCCCATCGTGGAATCCAAGGAGCTGTTCACGTCCAAGGACCGCAACTGTCTGCACATGGAGATCGACGTCAGCGGCTCCAACATCAGCTACACGACCGGTGATCACATCGCCATCTGGCCTACAAACGCGGGCAAGGAGGTCGACCGTTTCCTCAAGGTCAACGGTCTTCTGGACAAGCGCGACACTGTCATTGCCGTCAAGGGAGTTGATCCCACGGCCAAGGTCCCCTTCCCGTCACCCACCACGTACGATGCCGTCGTTCGCTACCACATGGAAATTTGTGCCCCCGTCTCGCGTCAATTCGTCTCTACGCTCGCTCAATTCGCGCCCTCCGAGGATATCAAGGCAGAGATGACCAAGCTAGGCGGTGACAAGGACTACTTCCACACAAAGGTCAGCGACCTCAACCTCAACATCGCGCAGCTTCTCGAGATCCTCGGCGGCGGCGAGACTTGGACAAAGATCCCTTTCTCACTGTGGATTGAGGGCCTGCACAAGATCCAGCCGCGCTACTACTCCATCTCGTCGTCCTCCATGACCCAGAAGAAGAAGATCTCCATCACCGCTGTCGTCGAGTCCATCGAGAAGGAAGGCGCACCGCACATCGTCAAGGGCGTGACCACAAACTATCTCCTGGCCCTGAAGCAGAAGCAGCACGGCGACCCGAACCCAGATCCTCACGGCCTGAATTACGCGCTCAATGGGCCACGCAACAAGTACGACGGCATCCACGTCCCGGTTCATGTCAGACACTCCAACTTCAAGCTGCCCTCGGACCCTTCGAAACCAATCATCATGGTCGGTCCCGGAACGGGCGTTGCTCCATTCCGCGGCTTCGTGCAGGAGCGAGCGCAGCAGGCCAAAGACGGCGAAAAGGTTGGAAAGACGCTGCTCTTTTTCGGATGCCGCAGACGGGACGAAGATTTCCTATACAAAGACGAGTGGGAGGTAAGTGGTGACTATCTATCCTTCTCTCAGTCACTTTCACGAGAAACGGAAAATTTTTTTTTTCTCTTTTCCGGCATTTGCAACCAAACGAACCGGTCCGTATTTCAGAGCTTGAAAACTAATTACGTGCCGTGCAGGAATATAAGAAAGTTCTCGGCGACTCCTTCGAGCTGCACACCGCCTTCTCGCGGGAAGGGCCCAACAAGGTGTACGTGCAACACAAGCTCAAGGAGGCGGCTGCAGAGGTGAACAAGCTTCTCGAAGAGAAGGCTTACTTTTATGTGTGCGGCGATGCCGCGAATATGGCACGTGAGGTCAACACGCTGCTGGGTCAAATTATCGCCGAGCAACGGGGCATCCCAGAGAAGAAGGCCGAGGACATTGTCAAGGCGATGAGATCAAGCAATCAGTATCAGGAAGATGTGTGGTCATAGACGTTGACATGTTTTACGAAGCAAGAGGAGCCCGGGCCTGGCCTTACCTTGACGATGCATTAGCCGGTGTGAGAGCGCGCGTTCAAATCTGTTGCTGAAATCCGGTTAGAATAGTTTCTGGCGTAGTCTGCTTGTCTCTCCTCATCCATCGAGTTTTTGATTGGCCATTGGATCGTCCATGGTAGATAGCATTTTGGCGTTGGAGTCTGTGAATTCAAATCCAAACCCTCCAAACCTCTACACAGCCCGATGCCGACCAATGTGTACCCGTTTTGTTCGCATTTTCGACGCAGCGTCGGGAGGAAGCCTTAATTTTTTTATTTTCTTCCCAGCTCACGCACACCTCTCGGCCCCTCACACCCGCGCGAGGCTCAGTTCGCCTTTTTGACTGCACATTTTTCCTGCTTTGTCGTTTGCGCGAAATGAAGATTGCGACTGGTCGCAGGGCGCTTTGTTCGACGTGCCAGCTCCAAATCTCACCTGTGCTTGGCGCGTCAGTGCAAGGAGGGTTAAGTACGTTTACGCCGTGTCATCTCGCTGAGCCGACCACCAGGTTCGAGGTTGACGTGCCAGTCGGCCGCCAGATTGAACGACCTTTCGATGCCGACACCACTGGTGGCACCGAGGATTACTGTGCAAGGGGGAGACAGAACCACGCTTGGGTCGAGCCAAACGGGCAAGATGCATGAGCGATTGCGTTGCACGGTTTCGACCCCCAAGCCAGGCGAACGCGTGTGCCGAAATTGGAGTTGAGAGCGGTACGCTGGTGTTTTTGCCATCGGCCCGTGTAATGAAATTTGACGATGCGTTCGCATCGCGATGGCAGGGAAGCGCTCTTTTTTCGCTATGCATCGAACGTGCACCGAAACGCAGTGGGCGGGCAAAGACTTTGTTTCAGCGCGGGCGATCAGGCCAGAGTCCAGTTAAGTCGGACCTGTCTCCGTGATCTTCCACCAGGAAAAAGCTAATTCACTCAACCTCCCCCAAGACTGGAACAAACCCCCCCTTCTCCTTTGGATATCAGCCGTGATAAGCCTCTGCAACTCGTTGAACCTCTGCGCGACTGTTGTAAACTCTTTGTAGGCTCGCGATACAGGCCATTGTCGCACGGTGTGTGCCTTATTTGGTGATGCGCGTTTCCCGCGAAGTGAATCTGCGCAACGGACGTGGAACATGCGAGTTTTTTATGACCGTTTGGAGGCCACCTCTTCACCTTAGTCTCGACGATCTGGATTGGGAGCTGTCGAATAGGTACGAGTGTACTGGTGAACATATCGCGTTTAGGCTGAAGAAGGGACGAAACAAGCGATCGTTCGTTTTAGTTTGAGCGACAGGTGGTCGCTCGACCAGTGCGTTATCGTTCTGTTCGCTTATGAACAAACAATGGCGAGCTCCAAAGGCGTAGGCTTTTGGTGGCCCGACACTAGGAAGGTCTTTGTTTGAAGATGGAGACTGGACGACGTATTTGCGTTACAAACGGCCGTTCCTTTAGTGGATATGATCGGATCTCTGATGGCATCACACGGCTATGCTGCTGCCCAGGCCAGATGTGCTTCGCTGGTAATGTCTACGTCGCGTCGGGAATATGCATGGCTCCCTGCTGCCACACGCGGTTTGCGACTCCAACTGGCTATTTGCGAGAACTAGACACGGGCGCCTTCGACAGAATGCGACCAGGTTAGCATCAAAGTGCCATATACCACAGCTGTGGTCGGGGCCTCAGCACGACCACCAGGCGAGTCGGATCCGTTTTGTGTTTGAGATGACGATCTGTGAGGACGCTGATGAAGAATCGCCAGCGCCAGAGCAGTCTGGTCTTTGCGAAAATAAGAGCCAGGTCATAAACAAATGCAGCGACTCGACACAGCCAAAACGGTGCGTCAAGAGCGAACGTCTGCTCATTTCGAGATGGAAGCGGTCTGACCGCTTTCCCGGAAATGCTCCTCTCCAACCTACACCTGTCCTTATACAGGAAACCCATGGCATATCCTGTGTTGTGCAGGGAGGGCATGTGTGCCTCAGAGATGACTTGCGCGTGTCTTACTTGCTCGCTGCAGATTGTGGACCCAAACTGATCGCCGTCCCTTTCTTTTATTGCCCCCCGGACTGGTCGTGGCCAGGAAGTACAGGCCAACATTGTCGAGTTCTCAAGCGGGATTCAGCGTCAGAGCTGGAGACACCGGCTCTTTGCTTATAAGGCGGCCTCGCCTCCTCCCTTCCGGCAGAAGATCCTGGCCAGAGAAAGCTGCTGCTTGTTCTCGATCGTCGAGCCTGCTCGTTCCCAGTATCCTTGATTGCTTGCATCTTACTCGAAGCAGTTCTTCAACAGACCATTTTTCATCCTTTATCTTCTCCACCACCACCGTCGTTGCCATCGTGGCCATTGTCGCCATCAGCCCTTCGTTCAGGCCTCAAATCGTACCACGTGTCTTTTCTCGCGGCAGTGACGGCGTGGACTTGGATCTGAATCGACCTGCCGCTTTCCCCGGGGCAATTGCAACAACAAGGACCGTCCCTGACGTGGGAGCAAGTACATCTGAAGCCGGTGCCGCTCGTCGTCGCCGTCTCCGACCGCGGGGTTGACCTCACGTGAGTATCTTTCCACCCGGGGCTGCGACCATCGAGCCTGCCATCCTCGGGGCTTGTCTGCGGAGAGAAACGGCAGGCGCGGGCTGGCGGAGAGCTGGTCGACGAGGACGGGCTGTTCCTTCCCCCGCGGGCGTGCACGGGATCTTGTGTGCGAGTCACCGAGCGTGCTGGGCAGGAGCGAGCGGACCAGACGTGCCTGCCTGCGAGCCGACTGACGACGCTCCGACTGGGCGGCCAGCCGAGTCACTGACTGATGGACTGACTTGACCTTCCAGAACTGCGTCCGGGCAGTCGTCACCGCCCTCTTGGACGTCAACAAATAAATTCTTGGCTCGACCTCTGCTGCCTTGCTTTCCTCTCTTCCACTCTCGCTCAACAACATCCCTCACCTTCAGCGACATTCCTTTGTAGCTGTTCAATACAAAAGCACGTAAGTCCCTGATGCGTCTCGTCTCGTCCATTGCCACAGAAAACCACCGTTCTCGCCCCTCCTACCCTTCTTACCCCGTCGCCTTTGCAGCCGTCTATCACCAGACCCATGATCGCTGTGGCCTTGCAAGCAGCGTTAGCAGCACCAGCACCACCAGCATCTGCGCTAACAGCACGGATGACCTAGTCCAGCCTCCTTCGCTCCCAGTCGCTGGTCCTTTCCTTGCATCCTTCGCCGGCTTCGTCAGTCCTTTCAAGGTACGGAACCCTCCCAAAAACTGCAGTTCTGTTCCGCTAGTCCGCTTTGATCAAAGACTACTTGCTTCTACTGCTATCACTTCGTTGGTGGCGTAGTATGGACGCTCGTGGAGAGCATTTTGGGGCCTTTTAAGTTCGTCGTCGAGGCCGTTCAGTACACGCTGACCTGCTCATATGCAGTGCTCTTGTCCTGAACTCACTAGACTCCATATAATCTCATTACCCGCATCAGGTAAGCAGTCGACCCTGTAAATACTCTCATTTAAGAAGAACTTTCACTTTGACTTCACTGAAGAGTCAGTTGTTCTTCACTCCTCCCATTGATCCCTGAACTCCCAGTTCCGCCATAAAGCACACCGACTTCTGACCATTTCACTTCAAATTCTTTTTCTTTAACAAAGGCTTTAGACCATGAAGATGGCGAGTATCAACGTTTCAGACTACAGCGGTAATCGCAAACATGCCTTCAACATCCCAGGCGCGGGTTACACCCTGCCAGGAGGTTACGGGCAGCATGCTGCTTCTCAAGCTTCAGCTCTGCGTGCTGCTCCTTACCTTTCAGCGGGCAATCCTCTCGTCCAGACTGGACACACAGACCCCGCGAGCATTGCCGCTCTTGCACAAGGTTTCGGTGCGATGAATCTGACTGGCAACTTTGCAGCTAGCAGAGGGTCTGGCTCACACATGTCCCCCACAGGCACTGATTACTCCGTCAATGGATACGCGAATCAGCCAGGTATGTTTATGGCCCAACAGCCCTTCCTTTTCATGCCAAGCACTTCTGGAAACTCCGCCTCGGCCAACATGTACACCTCTGTTCCATCCCACATGCACTCTTCTGGCTTCAGCAACAGCACGGACAACAGCCCCCATGGACAGTCTTGGACCCCTCGTATCCCGTCAGACGGCTCTTCTGGACCAGGAATGCCGGCTCTAATTACGCCTCGTCGGGGTTCTATCTCATCCAACGAGGAACATGTTCCAGCTACTCCCTTTACTGTGCAAGGTAATTACAACAACGGCGTAGCCGTGTTAGACCGCTCGCCAACGGCGATGTACGGTCAGTCTGGCACTCCTTCACCCCTCCAGTTCATTCAGCCGTTCTCGCCCATGCACCAGAAGTTTCCTTTGACGGTAACAACTCCCGTTCACATACAAATGCTCGTCGCCCAGGATCCTCCGATCCCCAGGGCCATACCAGCTCCCAGCTCACCGATCAAGCCACTTGACCGCTGCCTCGAGAACAAGAACGGAGAGACCAATGTCTATATTAGGGGACTGCTTCCAGAGACGACCGATGAGATGTTACACGTTTGGGGCCTTCGTTTTGGTGATATCCAGAGTTCGAAGTCCATCATCGATCTGAAGACTGGCCTTTGTAAAGGGTACGTGATAAATCAATGGCAAATTAGCACTGATTACTGATGCACAGCAGTTTTGGCTTCATCAAGTACCACAACTTTGACGATGCTGAGTCGTGTATTCGTGGCTTCCATTTCCTAGGGTATGAAGTCAGCTTCGCGCGAGTATGTGTCTACACGGAGATCGGTGAAGTTACCCATCTTGACAAATGTTTAGGAATCATTTTATGCAAAGCTTAAGAAATTTTCCGACGAGAGCAACACCAACCTCTACGTGTCCAACATTCCTCGCAATATGAACGAGCATGTGAGTCGTGCGCCAGGTTCAAAACGATAGCAAATGTCTAATCCTGCATAGGAACTTTCTCAATGCTTTGCACCTTACAAGGTTTTGTCATCTCGTATCCTTCGCGATGATAGTGGTAATGGTCGTGGCGTTGGTTTTGCTCGGTATTTGCTCTGAAAAAAATGAACGATAATCATGGCAGTATGGCTAACGAAAACTGAAGCTTCGAGAGTCGTGAAATTTGCGAGGAAGTGATGAAGAAGTTCAACAACACACCGGTTTCGAAGAATGGCGGCGAGGAACATGTTATTCAGATCCGATACTCCGACACGCACGAACAGAAAATGCTCAAACAACAGACTGCTGCAGCTCGCCAATTCCGTGCCGCTGAATTTGAGTATGGCTGCCTTCAAACTGGTCGACATGGCCCAGGCTTGCTCTCCATGCCTGATCGAGTTTCAAGCACAAGCCCAGCTCACACGACGAGTCCGTCTGCGTCAGATGCTGCACCTACTTTTGAGCAGTATCTTCATCGAGCTGCCGCGTAAGTCATGGTCGTGCCAAAAAAAAGTCACAGACACTGACAAATCTTCAGTCCCTACGTTGCTCCCGCTCTCAATGGCCGCCAAGCTGCGAACTTCCCAAATAGCCGTTCTCCCCTGTCCGCTATCCCACCTGAAGCTGCTAGCGGCCGCCAAACTCCTCGCGTCAGCCTTCCAGCGTCTGAAGTGAAAAATGAAGGCGGTGTTGCACTTGATGGCGAAGAAAGCAAGCCTCGTCCTGCTTCTGTGCATTCCACACGTAGCAGCCAGACTGGAAATGCTGACGTTGCTGCTACCAATGCTGCCGACCACAAATAGATGTACAACATCGCCACTCACGCACTGTTTTCCACGATCGGATTGAACCAGACCTCTGTCACATTTACCACGTTTCGATACTTGGCTGTCGTTAATCCCTCAAAACTTCGCCACGAAACACTATTCGCAGCGTTGGACACATCGATCGACGAAACTGGGGGCAAGGAGAATATTAGCACCGGATATTCTTCATGCCTGTTACTTAACATAATCAATGGGCGATATGCTTCATGGAGAATTTTTGATGGTTGCACTAAAATGAATGCCGAAAAAAAAAGCGATTTTCATCTCCTTTGGTGTCTTGCTGCACACATACACGGCTCTAGCAAGTGCAGATTTGACAGCATGGAATAATATGAAGACATATGTTCCGTCATGACATGTCACTGTCCACGCAGAGAAGGATGATAAAACAATTAACGGGCCACACCCGTCTGCGTTTGTTGCTTTTTTTTATTCCTGGCGCTGTGGGAGTTGTTTTTTTTTCACTTCTTTTTTTCCTATTATGGGGGAGTGATGTGGATGTAATAATCTGCGAGAACTGAGAGCATGGCTTTCACGCATGACACTCATGATACATATGACACGCATGCACTTTCTTTTCGTCGTAGTATAATAATATGGCGGCCTCTACGGCCATCAGTAATACTTGCAAAAATCTGGGCACAAAGTTCAGCGGCGCGCAACTATAGGAAGAAAAACTCGGCTGACAATGTGCCTTGGGTGGGTTAGGTACTTGATAGTTCAATGCAAGTCTTGTCAAATCTCAAAGCATAAAAGTTTTTGCCATCTGCACGAATATATTATGGGTATCATGTTGTTCATAAATTCTCTGCTTACGTCCACATTTATCGCATCTTATATTGCCCAGCCTTTTGCCTTTTTGGCGGCCGTGATGCGCTGCTTATTTGCCGCTGACGCAACGCCTGTGCCCGCTATGGATACGGTGTCAAAGGAAGGCTCTGGGGGCAAAGGCTCCTCGTCTAGACGTAATATGGTCATGCCATCCACGACAGACTGGCCTTCGTCCGATTGCTTGACCGAAAAGTCGTTGCCTTCCGCTGTGGAAGCTTCGATCTTATCTGTCGCCGGGCTGGAGCCATCTCCGTCGTGTTTCTCTTCAGGATCCTCGTCGTCTTCGTCGTCCGGCGCCTCCCCGCGGTCCCCGTCCACACCATGCTCCTCCATGTACTTCTCGAGGTCCTTGGCCATCTTCTTGCTGAACCCACTCGCCTCAACTTCGACGTCCAATCTCCGCACGCCATCGGCGATGCCGGCACCTTTGATGGCATCGGCGAAAAAAGGTCCTGGCTCGTCGGACACGAAGTGGAATCTTCGTTCGAAGAAGGTCTTTATACAATTCACGTCACGGCTGAAGTAGTATTCGGCGTTTGGATGGGAGATGGACAAGGTTTGGGGAAAATCAATGAGGACCGGGGTGAGTTTGAGCTCGGGCAGCTGGCCGTCTTCCTGCACGCCCGTGCCCGGAATCTCTTCCTCCTGGACGAGCAGGTTGAACTCGTTGAAGTCGGCGTGTATGAGGCCGTGCTGCGCGAGTCGGATAATGATCTCCAGCAGCCGAGCATACAGCTCCTCGGGCTTGGGCACCGTCGATATCTGGCGCAGGGGAAAGGCGTCGATGAGCTCCATGACGACCGTGTGCCTGTTCCAAGCGACGGGCTCGGGCACAGCGAACCCGCTTTCTCGAAGGGCGCGCATGAACGTCCACTCCTTGCGCGCGGCGAGCGTCGACATGTACATCCACGAGCCACTGCCGCCCTTGCGAAGGTAGTCGCGGTTGTTCTTCACCGTGCGGAACGAGACTCGGCCCAGCCTGTGGATCTTGAGCACCATCCTCCTGCCGCTGGACGACGCGACGACGTATATGTCGCTCTCCTTGCCGACGCCGATCTGGTTGCCTATGCTGAATATCGTGCCGGCCTTCAGATGCGCGTGCAGGGCCAGGTAGTCCAGTCCGCCGTACGTGAGACGGTAGCCATCGTAGGAGGCGTTCTTGACCCTGGAGATGAGATTTGTCTTTGCGAGGCTGGAAATGGACTTGCTGATCTGGGAGCCGCCGCGGGCGTTGGTGAGGGTCACGATGAGGGACGTGGGGACGACGAGGTGGTTGCGGGAGCCTTGCTCGACCGCGGTGAGGACACGCCAGTCCTCGGGGGTGAGGTATCGTATTTGCTTGGGATCCAGCTTCATCGTGAGCCGTCGAGCACGAAGCCGGGACCTACTTGTTCGGGGGAGCGCTTTGCCTGCGCATGAGACGTGTACAGTGATTTTTTTTTTTTTCTGCACGACAGCGACGGCGTTGCCCACCAACGACTATGTGAACGGACCCTGGATTGCGGCGACGGCGGACTTTTCGGACAAGGATGCTCAAGAGCTCAGACGCTTGGACCGCCGACGTAGACCGTCCACGACGGGCGACATGCTGAGCCCAAAGACTGCGCGCCTCATCAGAGCCAACGCAAACCCATCACCCACGTACCACCGCTCCGCTTGTCCTGCTCCGACTAGCCTCGCCTGTTTCGTTGTCTTGTCGTCTGGGACAGCTCTTCGATTCGTTCCGTCCTTCGCACCGCCGCCCTCGGATCATCTCCTCGTTCCTCACGGTACACAACAAACATCTCTGACCAGTGCGCCCAGCATGGCTGGCAAACAGGATGGCCCGTCCAAGCCTAACGGGGCTGCAAAGGCCGAAGAAAAGGGCAAGGGAAAGGTAGACCACGGCAAGGACCAGAAGAATGAAGCCGAGAAGAAGGACGAGGCGACAGCCGCCAAGGATGACAAACTGCTACCTCCAGGTATGGGCGCATGTCTTTGCAGAGCCTGATCGCCGCAGCGACTAACTCTGTTGCCGTAGAAGAATTGAGCGAGGAGGACCAGAAGCTAAAGGATGACCTGGATATGCTGGTCGAGCGGTTATTGGTAAGGCCTCGCTGGCTTGCAATGCAACGTAGACCGGGACGGGATGCTGATGAAGAGCCACGCAGGAGTCGGACAAGAGCCTCTACAAGCCCACGCTCGAGCAGATCAAGGATGCGATCAAGACATCAACTTCGTCCATGACTGCGGTGCCAAAACCTCTCAAGTTCCTGCGGCCGCACTACGAGAAGCTGGAGGAGGCGTACCGATCTTGGCCCGCCGGCGAGGACAAGGTAACTCTTGCCCTTTTTCCGTTCCCAAGATCAGCTTTCAAGCCAACTATGTGCTGACTGTGTTCAACAGACTTCCTTCGCCGACATGCTCTCGGTGCTGGGCATGACATATTCTGACCAGGACCGCAGAGACACGCTCAAATACCGCCTTCTCGCGCCGTCGAAAGACATCGGCTCGTGGGGTCACGAGTACATGCGGCATCTCGCCCTAGAGATCGGCGAGGAACAGCAGCACAGACTGAATCAAGAGGCCAACGGGATGGAGCCGGATCTGGACGACATCAAGCAACTAGCGCTTGACTTGGTGCCGTACTTCCTCAAACACAACGCTGAGGCGGATGCCGTCGACTTGCTCAGCGAGCTGGAGATGATCACCGACATTCCTACCTACCTGGACGAGAATACGTATTCGAGAGTGTGCTTGTACATGGTCAGGTCCGTTCGCCTGTCTGCTTCTTGAGGCGTGAACACTGCTAACTAACGCTTCTAGCATGGTCCCTCTCCTTCCATATCCCGACAACCACGAGTTCCTCAAGACAGCCTACAAGATCTACCGCCAGTACGACCAGCCCACACAAGCACTTTTGCTTGCCATCCGACTCAACGAGCAGGACCTCATCGAAGAAGTGTTCAACTCAACAAGCGACAAGTCGACCAGGAGACAGCTCGCGTTCTTGCTGGGTCGCCAACGTATCACCCTGTGTTTGAGTGAGGAGGATTATGAGGAGGATCCACAACTGGCAGAGTGTTTGAACAACACGCTGTTACCGGCGCACTTCAAGTACCTTGCGAAGGAGCTCAACATCATGGATCCGAAGACGCCAGAGGACATCTACAAGTCGCATTTGGAAAGCTCGCGGACGGCTGGTATGACGAACACGGACTCGGCGAGGCACAACTTGTCGAGTGCGTTCGTAAACGCCTTTGTCAACGCAGGCTTCGGGCAGGACAAGCTCATGCTTCTAGAGGAGAACAAGTCCAGCTGGGTATGGAAGACGAAGGATGAGGGTATGCTATCTACAACGGCTTCCGTAGGCATGTTGATGCAGTGGGACAACGACAATGGCTTTGACAAGACTGATCAGTACACCTACGTCGACGAAGAGTACGTCAAAGCTGGCGCTAAGCTTGCGATTGGTATCATCAGCTCTGGTATCCGCAACGAGTCCGACCCAGCCTTGGCTCTGCTCGGCGATTCGGATTCTCTGCATGACAAGAGCGTTATCTCAAGGATGACCTCGATAATGGGTCTTGGTCTGGCCTATGCCGGCTCCAACAAGGACGAGTTGTTGGAGGTCCTTCTGCCGATTGTGGCCGACTCGAGCCTGGACATGCAGCTCTCGAGTATGGCAGCTCTGTCGCTGGGTTTGATCTTCGTGGGCTCCGCAAACAGTGACGTCAGCGAGGCCATCGTCCAGACGCTCATGGAGTCGGACGAGAAGCGATTAAGGGACAAGTGGTCCCGCTTCATGTCCTTGGGTCTCGCGCTCCTCTTCCTTGGCCAGCAAGAAGAAGTTGACGTCCTGATTGAGCTGCTCAAGGCTGTTGACCACCCAATGTCAAATGCAACGCAGGTCCTGGCCGAGGCTTGCGCCTGGGCGGGCACGGGTGCCGTGCTGAACCTGCAGAACTTCTTGCACATCTGCAACGAGCACATTGACGAAAAGGACGACGAGGACAAGAAGGAGGGCGAGGTTGCAGAAAAGCCGAAGGGAACCGAGCTGCTGCAAGCCTACGCCGTCCTTGGCCTTTCACTGGTGGCCATGGGCGAGGAGATTGGACAGGATATGATTCTGCGCACGTTTGGACACCTGATGCACTACGGCGAGGCAAACATCCGCAAGGCTGTGCCTCTCGCTCTTGGCCTCGTCTCGCCGTCCAACCCGCAGATGAAGGTTTACGACACCCTCTCTAGATACAGCCACGACAACGACATTGACGTTGCGATCAACGCCATTTTCGCCATGGGACTGCTGGGCGCGGGAACCAACAACGCACGTCTGGCGCAGCTGTTGCGGCAACTGGCCAGCTACTACTACCGTGACGGAAACGCGCTCTTCATGGTCCGCATCGCGCAAGGTCTTGTGCACATGGGCAAAGGCACGCTGACGCTGAACCCCTTCCACACAGACCGCCAGGTGCTGTCTCGCGTTGCTACGGCGGGCCTCCTGACCACTCTGATCACGCTGATCGACGCAAAGGACTTTGTCCTCAAGGATTCTCATTACCTGCTGTACTTCCTGGTCACGGCCATGTACCCACGCTTCCTGATCACGCTTGACGAGGACCTGCAGCCCGTGACCGTCAACGTGAGGGTCGGTCAGGCCGTGGATGTCGTAGGCCAAGCTGGCAGGCCGAAGACGATCACGGGCTGGCAGACGCAGAGCACCCCGGTGCTTTTGAGCGTTGGTGAGCGCGCCGAGCTTGAAGACGAGCAATACATTGCACTTACGCATGCGTTGGAGGGTGTCGTGATCTTAAGAAAGGTACGTATGCATCTTGCAGCCAACAAACTTTATCATTTGACCCTCCCGTCTCCTCTTATGAATTCAGCGCTAACGATCTTATCCAGAACCCCGATTGGGCGTCGTGAACACACAAGCGGAGAGTCTCAGTACGGATTTAGAACGAGCTCGCATTAGTTAGGGCATTTGACTTTCGTTTTCGGGAAGGGCGCTTTATAAAGCTAAGAACGCCGAACAGGTGGATTCGGCTCGCTTCTGAGGCATTGCATGTAGACGCTGTATGTACAACTAGCAGCTTTTGGACGCAACTACAGCAAAAAGTTGGTAATACGACTGCTTCCCTGGTAAACTCGTACGACGCGGAGAAGAGACGGTCCACGTTGGAAAATTCTAAATTGAGTAGCGAAATGAGACCCTGTCCCTGTGCGTATGTGCTTCCCCCTACTGGACTAGGAGGCAACAGCGATGGTGCTCTCGTTTGAATGGGAACTGCGGACGTGCTTGTCGTCGTGTGCCTTTATCGTTGGACGCTTAAATCCTGCAGTTGTGTTACGTCCCGTTCCCCTAGCACTATGAGCGAGAGAGCGAGAGAGAGATAGAGAAAGAGAGAGAGAGAGAGAGAGGCGCGTATTGCTGTGTTTTCAAACCTCCCAAATAAGGACGGAGATGCCGCCGTGGGTGGGTTCAGGCATTCAGAGGTAAGCAGGGCCGTATTTCATACGAAATACCCGAGGGAGGCTCGCCCATGGCAAGGTTTTTCTCAGGTACCGCTCCCTTCCCTTGCCCGCGAACGGAGCGAAAAGAAACCCTTGGCGGCGATCAACGCGGATCATGAGTCGCCTTAGCACCTTTTATCTGTGAATCCGTGTTTGCGAAGGCACGCGCGCGGGGGCGACGGCTGTCATTGGACGGCTGGGACGAAGAGAAGGTAAAAATGAAATTGAATGGATGAATGAAACTAGAGAAAAGGTGTTCACGGGATGAGTGCGGCGGCGGCGGTGCCGGAGGAGGAGGAGGGTGGCCTGATTCTCTCTCTCTCTCTTTCCTCTCTCTTTCCTCTCCCTTTCCACTCGCTCGTCGGCTCTCTGGGCTCCATGCAACGTCGGAAAAGCCAGAGTATACATCGGTGCCGAAGTGTACAGTAGCAGCAGTAGCAGCAGTATCAGCGGAAGCAGCAGCAGAGGCTGAACTCGTCGCCGCTTTTCGTGGGCTTGGACGAAACGGTGCTCCGTTGTCTCTCTCCGCTTGAAGTCACATGATCATTTGCTTTCGGGGATTTGGCACAGATATATGGCCAGCCAGGATTCTGGGCCAGCCATGTGCCCTGCGGAGAGGATGGTTATAAAAGGAGCCTTGCTCGTATACGGAGGTTACAGAGTTGACAGACAGTCTCGTTATCCTTGCGAGCAACCGTCAAGACGGGCCAGGACGTATCACGCACCTCGAACGACCGACACCGATCACGAATTGGTCGCCAAGATAAGACCCCCATGGCGACGTCCGGCAGCGACTTCGTGTGTTCAAACGCCGAGCAAAAGGATCCTGGCTCTGTGAGAACAATGCGCGATAACGAGGCCAGGGACGAACGAAAGGGGTTCTGTTTTTGGTGCTTTTTGGTGGTCCGACACAGGCTTTCAGAACACGGCCACGCGAGTTTGCTGGCTCCATTCTCGAGCGCGCCGATGCCTGGGATGGGCGATCGCAGGGTCGAGGTCATCTGCTGTAAGATGTAGATGTACAGAAAGGTTACTGTGCGCACAGGAATGTGGGAGATGACCACTGATCGCCGCTTGGGGAGCCCGATGGCGATCTCTAATCTACGTCGACGATCCTCGAGATAACCAAATCGACAAACTCGCTCGACGCGTTCGGCTCTTTTTTTTTTTCCCTCCATTGTTGCGCGTCTGGCCGTCACATGGAAGCGCGGACGTCCGGGGGCGCTCTCGGCTCCACGAGGCAGCGTAGCCAGACGGCGGCAAAGACACACTGCTGCCGGCCAGCGAAATGAAAGCACACACGGCGGGAGCTGACTCGGCGGTCTGGTAGGCAAGCAGGAAAAAGGCCAGAAATAGCGACGGCGGACAGGCTCAGGGGATTGCGCGGGCGCGCTTTGCTCGAAGAGGCCAAGTGCTGGCGAGCGCCATGCAGGTTTTCCCCTGCGGCGGCAGATCGACTACGGGTTATCTCTGGCGGCGCCTGGTCGAGGCCATCGAGTAGCAGCAGCAGCAGCAGCAGCAGCAGCAGCAGAAGCAGACGCAGCAGCGTGGGTGCGTATCCCGTGTAGGACGGAGGTAGCAAGTGAGCCATAGTTGACTGCGTGATTGTTGCAAGAGTGAGCGTATAGCGGCACACGTGTCGTTCTCGCTTGTTCACTCCACGACCGGTCGATTAGTTCGTGTCCGCGTCTGCGTCTCCTGCAGCTTTTTTTTTTTCCTTTCTTCCCCTTGTTAAGACGTAGTAAGCTAGCTGTAGTCGTCGTTGCGCTCGCTCATTTGCTCTCGTGCGGCTGAGAAAGTGGTTCGCTGCACCGCGGTACTCCACCCCCTACTTTGTCGGATCCTTATATTATCCTAATTTATGCCCGTTTTTTTATCCACCCCCCATTCTTGGTCATTGTTCGTATCACGGTGCTCGGTGTCCCCGTTCCTGGCTCCGCTCCTCGTTCGCTCTAGCTTCTTCTTTCTCTTTGGCCTTTCCTGCGCTGCCCACCCTTTCGCTTGTCGCCTCTTTTCGCTGTATACATCTTCCCCACTTCTACGTCTCCTCTCTTTCTCACTGTCTCTCACCGTCGCTCACTCACTCACACACTCTCTCCTCCTGTTCTTCTCCTGTCCCTCCGGATTCCCAAGCACTCACTGGACCGTTTGCTTGACGTTGGCTCGTTCAACCTCAGTCACTCGCTCTCTTCTGCTTCCGCCACCCGCCCCCGCGACACTCGTTACCTCCCTTGTGGACTCTTCGTGTCCCTTGCATTCGTCGCTTGAGCCAGTATTGCATGTGCATCTTCGCTGTGCGACGCGAGAAAGAACGAGTATGCATGGTTGAGTAGGACGACTTCAGGACGACAAAACCACCGCCAAATCCCTTGCAAGGTCGACACTGCGTCGACTCTGCCGTCTCTTTCAGCTTCGCTTCTCGCCCTTGCCGCAGAGCAGACCACTCTGCGCTTCCGTGTATTCGCAATGGTCGACGTCGAGAAGATGGCGTTCCTGGACGAGTATCGCCGCGGCGAACGCCAGTCGATACGGGCGCGAGTGGAGTCGGTCACCCGCCAACATCGACCCTTCGTCGTCTTTTTACTCTTTGCATCCTTCGTGCTCATGTGCATGCACATTCCCAACGGATCGAGAGCAGTGCAACAAGCGCCTGAGCCCGTGGCGCCGGCGCCGGTCATGGATCCCGCGTACAACAAGACGATGGCACCCGGCAACGGCACACTCCAGATCCTGCCTGACGAGGCGCAGATCACAAGGACTCCGAGGTTCGCGAAGATTGCTGTCGCCAGCGGCTTCGAGGACATCCTGTACGAGAGGGCGCTAGACACGCATGTCCAGCACGCAAAGAAGCACGGCTACCCGATGTACATGGCGCGCGAAAACGCGGCGGACGGCATGTTCAACAAGATCGCGTACATCATGGACGTTCTGCTGAACGAACTGTACAAGCCCGCCGAGGAGCGCGTCGAGTGGCTTTTCTACTTCGACGCCGACTCCATCATCATGAACCAGGAGGTTCCGCTGGAGATTTTCGAGCCACCCTCGGACTTCAACCACATCAACTGGATGGCGGGCAAGGACTACAACGGTCTCAATGCCGGCGTCTTCCTCCTCCGCGTCAACACCTGGTCGCTGAACCTGCTCACCCGCGTCATGACGTACAAGCACTACCATCCCGACGAGGAGTACGTCTTCGAGGAGCAGACCATCCTTGCCCGTCTCACGGAGAACGACGACGAGTTCAAAGACCAGTCCATCTACGTGCCCAAAGCCTGGTTCAACGCCTATTTCTACTCGCTGCAGGAGGTCAAGCCGGGTCTGCTCCTCTCGCACTTTCCGCACCCGGACTACAAGTGGCACATCTACGAGTGGCTCCGCGTTCTCGAGTCGGACAAGGACGTCAACTACAAGCCCGTGTACAACATTCCCGTGCAGCAGACCACCTACCCGAAGGAGATCAAGGAGTTCTGGAACGCGAAGCGGAGGGCCGACAAGGTGCTGAAAGGCTTCGAGCGGAACGTCCAGCGCGGCGCGGATCCCATCCAGTTCGGCTTACAGCACGACGAGACGAGAAGCCTGGCAGAGAGGTTCAGGGACAAGTTCGACGAGCTGAAGAAGGCCGCCGATCAGAAGACGGACGAGTACGAATATCTGGAACGGCTGACGAATGAAGCCGAGGAGGTGAGCACGCCCTCCTTTCCCCCCTCCCCCCTCGTTTTCTCTTCACACAAATTCTCCCATTTCCTCCCCTCAAGCTCGCCCTTCCCCATTTCCACGTGCTCAAGGCTAATTTGCTGCACAGATCAACGCCCAGCTCATTCAGAATCTCATGGCGTACTTTGAGACGCACGACAATCCGCCGCCCGTTGCTGGCTTCTAAACCCAGCCCTCGTCTCTTTTTTTTTTTTTTTTTTTTTTTTTTTAACACATCTCCACGTCGTGTCTCGAATAACTCTTTCTGGATCTTTATTTTTCCTCGCCTTGTTCTTCACTTCTCTGTACATATACGGCATTTTTTTTTACCTGGCATTGTTTATACCTCTTCCCTCATCCCCTTACGTGGGCAGGAGAGCATATAGGCGTACGGCGGGGGGGATTTTTATATCACGGATGACGACACATCGACAGAATCTCGCTTTCTCCAGTTATATTTCTCCAAGATCGGCCGAACAGCGATGGAAAGGGGCCCCTTTTTTGTTTTCTTTTTTGCCGCGCCGCAACAACTACGACTGTAGCACTTAAGAAAGTTATAGACAAGAACGAGTTGTCTCATAGACAGTGCACAAAATGCTCGAGGTTTGAGAGCGAGCGTGCCAGAAGAAAGGATAGATCAATGAGAAAGATTTTTGACAGCTCTTGTTCGACATTCTCGGAGGGTTTCTGCGTGAGTGTTTCTGTAAACCCAGACGACATCGTGAACAGGCTTTTTTTTTTTTTTACTTTATTAGCTTCTCTCCTTTGACTTTTAGCTCAATAAATGGCACAGCAAGGCTTGGAACCAGGCGGAGGCCAGATCCAGCCTCGAAGCGCCATCCCGCAATAGTGGTAGGGCAACTCTTCCCCCTTGTTCCGCTCAGACTCTCCCATTTGCTTGGCCACCCTGGTTGCAGACGATCCCGCTTTCACATGGGCCAGGCTTTCCTCGATCATAAGGTTTAAGCTGCTTCCCTTCGAGTGCCAACCGGCTGCAAGATTCTGAAATCTACGTCTCAAGACGACACTCGTCTACGTCGTGCGAGGGCCAGTGCTGCTCCGAGACCTCGACTGCTCTAGCAGCCGACGTGCGACGTTTCCACGCTCCTTCTTACTCCACCTCGTGCCGACCGAAGTTTGTCGCTCGAAAACTACCGATATTCAGGCGCGGACTTTTAATCCCATAGGCCCACGACGACGCCAGTCGTAGCCTCGAGGATCGCGAGTCGAGGAGGTTGTAAAGACCAAATGTCACCCTTCGGCAGACGGTGATCGCACCAATGGTCCGAGGGGGCGCAGGCGGCTTCAACGCCCACAGGCTCTTCGCCGACTTCGACGAGGACCTGCAAGCGGTCGGCAAGAAGGACGATGATCGAAAGGTGCCATCCGGTGCAGGCGGCGGCCCCGCTGCGGCGTGGGTCGGCAGCGTGGGCATGGGCCGGCTGAGGAGTAGGAGAAGGATCGCCTTGATAGCGTGTGCCGTGCTGGCAGTCTGGCTGTTCCTTCGAAACATCCCCGCCGAATTCTGGGAGCCGAACGAGACGGGCGCGATGAGGATAGCCAAGTTCCACTCGGGCACAGATCACGCCGGCTTCCGGCCGGTCGAAAACACCCAGCCCAAGGCCGATGCGGCGCTCGCTGAGGGACGGACGTCGCCCGGTCAAGCGGCCAGCGGGTTGCAACCGCCGCCGAGATCGAAGGGCAAGAAAGCGAAGGAGGACACGTACTACTACGACGGCCCGATCGTGTTCCCCAACTTGAAGGAGACGCTGCGCGGCATCCAGCGCACAATGGGTTTCAGACGGGTCAACCAGAACGTTCTCTTTGTGGCCAGCAGCCTCAAGAGCCTGAGTACGATCATCCCCTTGGCATGCGAGATGACGAGACACAAGGACAACTTCGTGCACGTGGCCGTCCTTGGCCGCTCTGACTTGGACGTGGAGGAGATTGTGCGCATCAACGGCGTCGACGCAGACGAGTGCAAGGTCTTCTGGCACGACGCCAGGCCAAACTACGCCAGCTACAGCTCCGAGGTCAGGGCCGAGGCCAGCGTGGCGAGCGCCATGGAGCACATCCAAGAGTACATGCATCCTCAGGTCGTCATCATGGACGACTCCAGCCTTGAGGATCCCTGGCTCACGAGGCAGGTCAGGACCAAGTCCGCCAAGCACGGCTGGCCCGTCATCGAACTGCCGGCCGGCGCGAGCGAGCGGTTGCACTGGCTGGCGAGGCTGGATGCGCAAGCCCTCCGCGCATTTCACAAAACGAGGGTGGACATCGTCGTTCAGGCGCCACAAAAGGAGACGGGCGGCCTGCTCAGACTCTTGAGAAGCCTGAGCCAAGCGGACTATCGCGGTTTGCCCGTCCCAAAACTCACCATAGAGCTGCCACCGGAGGTGGACGACGTGCTTCGCTGGTACGTCTCGGACTACAAGTGGCCCCCCTCCACTTCGCCGCTGCAGCCCGTGCTGAGCAGTCAATTGAACCTGCGCCATCGTATACCTGGCCAACGCCTGAAGCCCGAAGAGGCCTCGATCCGCTTTCTGGAGTCCTTCTATCCGACGAGTGCGGAACACTCGCATGTCCTAGTTCTGAACAATAACGTCGAACTCTCGCCTTTGTTCTATCACTGGCTCATGTATTACATCCTACATTACAAGTTCTCACGCCTGGGCTCGTCCTTTTCCTCAAACCTTGTCGGTCTCAGCCTCGAGATTCCAAATACGCATCTCAACGGGACCTCCCACTTTGATCCGCCCAATCTGAAGTCCAACGTGCTGTCAACCCTCTGGCCTGGACGTACAAACCCCAGGTCGCCGGACACAAGTCCTCCCTTCCTTTGGCAGTCTCCCGGCTCGAACGCGGCGCTCTACTTCGGGGACAGATGGGTCGAGATTCACGACTTCCTGAAGCATCGCCTTCCCAGCGTCGACAGGACCCAAAAAATCATTGGCGAGCATCTGCCGGCCTGGACCGAGTACGTGCTCGAGATTATGAGGGCGCGTGGCTGGGAAATGCTGTATCCTCCGACGATCCAGGGGGAGAGCACCATGGCCACGCTTCACACGGAGCTGTGGAAGCCTCCGGAGGAATTTGCTCTAGACTACAAAAGAGCCTTGGCGAAGGAAAAGTCGAAGGAAAATGGCGGCGACGGCGACGGCGAAGACGTGGTGGTGGAGGAGGAGCCGTCTAGTTTGGGCGACAAGGGGTCTCTGTCGGCACATCCGGCCCACTGGGAGCAATCTGAAGGCTCCGTCATCCAAACGCAGCAGCCGCTTCACTCCGTCCTTCCGTTCAGAGGAGAGGAGCCCCTTCTCAGATCACTGCCTCATCTCCTCTACGACGGCGAATCTGTGCAATGGTCTGAGATGCCCGCGATCGCAGAGGAATACGCCGAGTCCTTCCGCAAAACCTTGGGAGGCTGTTCGGACGAGACGCGCAAAGCCAGTTCGAAAATCGTACCACACAAGGCTGGCGATCTCTTTTGCCAGGGAGATGAGGGCGAAGATGGTAGAGAGAAGCCCGCGAAGCCCGGAAAGCCCGAGACGCCGGCGAAGGTTCATCACAGCATGGACGATGTAAAATAGCTTTAGTTGTGTCCTCTCTGTCACTCTCTCCTTTTGTCCAACCTTGGACAAGCGGGAGTCGCTAGTCCAACGAAGACTTCAAGATCCGACAGAGCTCTATCCATCTGTCATTCTATATACCACTAAGGCTTGAGCCAGTGCCTTCTCCCACTTCCTGTAGATCGAAGCGGCTTCTTTTCGCAGTCTCAGCAACCGTATGTGGGAGGGATTCTTTCGGGGAAAGGAGGCCCAACCGGCGATCAACAACCGCATGATCCTGGTCCGGATATACGTTGTACACTGCTAAATCCGACTTCGTAGGCCCAGCCTTTTGCAACCGCCTTTCGACCGACCCACCAGCAGGCCAGGGCTGTGCGCAGTCGTCACGATTAAAAATCTATGGCTCTAACCGTCCCTCGCTGAACCTCGTTTGATAGTTTTGCGAGGTCTTTGCCTAATCGGGAAAATAATGTCCCTTCTGCTGGACGTCATGGTAAAACCCTAGTGTGCTGTTCTGAAGGGTATATGAACGTTGAATGGGTCGCAAAGACATTGGGTTTGTATTCCAAGAAGCATTTTTCAATTCGATACTCAGAGGGGCCGCCTTTCTTGCTCGTGTTTTCCCACCTTTGCTCCCGACTTTGGAACAATGTCTGCATCCATGAACACCATCCTCGTCATCGGAGGCACGTCTGGCATCGGCGAGAACTTTGCCAGGCGCTTCCACAAAATGGGAAAGAGCGTGATCGTCACCGGCAGACGCGAGCAGAAACTTGCCGAGCTGAAGGATTCCATGAGCGGACTGCAGACGTACGTCTTCGACATGACCGACCTGACAGCCATACCGGCCCACGTGGAAGAGCTCTTCACGAGGTTCCCGAGCATCAACACGGTGTGGATCAACGGTGGCATCCAGTACTCGTCCGATGTCAAAGACCTTGCTTCGACCACCGACGCAAAAGTCGTCGCGGAGATCACCACGAACGTGACCGCTCCCATCTTGATTGGACGCCACGTAATCCCCAGGCTCCTGGCCCAGAAGGGGGAGACCGTCTTCATGATCACCTCGTCCGGTCTTGGCTACGTTCCCGTCGGCGCCATGTTCCCCGTGTACTGTCCCACCAAAGCAGCGGTGCATGACTACATGGTAGGCGTCCGGCAAGCCTTGAAGGGCACCAACGTGAACGTCATCGAGATCGTGCCTCCTTACGTGGGCGGCACGCAGCTGGGAGCCGAGCACGAGCACAAGGTCCGGCACTTGAAGCCTTTGCCAATGAACGAGTTCGTCGACGAGATCTTTGGCGTGCTGGATAACAGCGACGCAAAGGACCTGAAGGAAGTTGCTGTCGGCACGGCCGTGCCGCGCGTCAAGGCTTGGAGAGACGGCATCGGCGCCATCCTGGCGCAAGGACTTGGAGGCTGATAGGAACGGTTGGTCTGAACCAAAAAAAAAAAAAAAAAAAAAAAAAAAAAAAAAAAAAACACCTCGGGCGTGTCCTCACTCTCGGGCGAGAAGCTGCAAGATGGATGGTGCTTTTCACGTCTTTCTGTTGTTGTCGAAAGCTTCAGCTCGCGTCCAGGCCTGAGAAACAAAATGGCAGCGCCGTTTTTCAATCCGCACTTTTGTCTTGTCCACGTAAGATCCATTTGAGCCATGTGGCCCGCATCAGCTCGTGTGGCGCTCTTTATGACTTCAACTCGTGAACGGGAAGATCAACTCGGCAGGGGAGCATTGTTCGCAACATCTTTTCTTGACCCCTAAATTCGCCCTCATTTTGCCCCTTTTTTAAGCCTTTCAGAGTGATTTCGCCGTTGTTGATGAACGATGAATACAAATTGCTCGAAGGTCCGGGACCTAGAGAGTTGTCTTTTCTGTTGGAAAGCCTCGGGGCGGTCGAGGCTGTTGTTTGCTTTTTTTAGTTAGCTAAAAGCACGCTGAGCTGTGAACTGAGCACCAGCCTTTAGTATTGACAGTGAAGTGAACAAAATTGAACGTTAGCGCTTTGGTGCTGCGTCTCTTCCGCCCATCCCTCATCATCATCATCATCAGCGCTATTGAGATCTAGTTCTCTCTCTCTCTCTCTCTCTCTCTCTCTCTCTCTCTCTCTCTCTCTCTCAAAGATCGAGAGCGTTGTGATGCCCTCAAAACCAAGACCAGCCTAAAGAACGACAGTATGGAGATCGACGCAAGGATTCTCAACCCCCCAGTCGAATGCCAACAGGCTGCTCGTGACGCTGAGAAAGGTCAAGCGCATGGTTTGTGGCCGCAATCTATGTAAGGGTGACGAGTGAAAGTCAGATGCGCCAATTCATGGAAAGGCTTACAGGAACAACAGGCCGTGCCACCAACGGGGCGTCTTTCTTCGGATGCCGGCGGAGATCCGCAACTTTATCTATCATTGGACCTTGGGAAGTCTAAATGTTCATGTCTACGCTGAGAACAAAGCCTCGAACGCCGTGGCCAGTTCGCGGCGCGGAGTGGATCCAAAGTCCAGGACGAAAGTTCGCCTGTACCTCTGTCGCGTTTGCCTGCGCGACGGGAAGCGTGAATGGCTAGACCAGCACTTGAATTGCTACACAAGCGCGTGCAAAGGTTTTCCGAACCTAGGCATTCTCTTTACATGCCGCCAGATCTACGAAGAGGCTTCGTTGATCCCCTTTACTGCCAATACCTTCATTTTCGTCAGCCCGGCGTCTTTCGAGAGCTTTGCCACGGCAGCTCTTCTCCCACATCAGGCGCAAGCCTTGCGCAGCATCACTCTGTGGTCACCCATCACAGCGTCCCGCTTCACGGACGCGAAAATCTCGTGGAGTAGCTGGTCGATACCGCAGATCGTACGAGAGCGAGAGCTCCTTGTGGGTCTGCAGCACTTAACCGTCCACCTAAGCATCTATCGAGACGACTCCGCCCACGTCCTGGATTCTACCCGTGGTATCTTGAGCCTGGGGCATTGTCACATCAAACGTTTAAAAACAGTGACAATCAGCACGACGTACGACGGCGTGGATGAGGCCCATGGTGCATCAGAAACGCTCCAGAAGGCAATTGAGCAATATACAATGAGACTAAAGCATGTGCTGCTTGGTAGTCTCTCGGTTCCTGGTTTCGACGATGATGTCTCAAGGCATTCTTTAAATGAAAATGTCCATGTCTTCAACACCTCTTGAGCGGCTCGAGTGATGAAAAGGAAGGTCGAGAAAAGTTCAGGTGTAGATCTTAGGAACTTTAACTACTGAGGCGAAAAAAATACCGCGAATGTATCATTATTGCAATGCGCCTGCTTTAAACAAGTCTCCAGTGTTAGATGGATGTGATCAAGTAATGACATGATGAAGCACGTCCCCATAAATACCAAACCACCAAATGAGCTTTCCGAACAGAGGCAAATCTTCATATCCGTAATGCTGGATGTCGTCTTTTGGGTGGGATGGGTCATCACTGCGGACAATCACCCTGACGGATGGCGTTTGATTGTTGGAGTATCGGTATCTACATGCGAGTGGCCAACAGGGTATTTCGTACACCTGAGTAACTTGGCAGTCCGCTCTCCACTGGCCCAAGCATTCTCTTCGATCCTCTTCGAAATATAACATCATGCCGACCGTTGGTTGATCTTCGCGTTCAAAGTCATTACACAGCTGAATTGCTCTGACTCCGTCTAGCGAAGCTGCCGAGTGAAACCAGTCCACATTCTGGTAGCCGAAAAAATCTTCTTGATCGAACGTTGCTAGAGGAGACGCCATGCTCCTGTCAAAGGAGGGACGCGGTATATTTGCTGGAACTGCCGCATCTTGGTTGACGGTGTTCCTTGCGTTACATGGATGCGGTTGGTGACATGGTTGTGCAGAATGTGGCTCACATATGTAGCCTACCTCCCTAACTTCGCCCCCAAAAGGAGAGTCAGTCGTCCAAGTCAAGGCCCGGAGCTTACCACTGGAGTTGGAGAAAACGTGTTCTGGTCGAATGTGTTGCTCTGCCCAGGATTCCAGGTACGGCCCGAATATCATGTCTCGATTACACGACGTTCGTACCTAACTAAATGTAAATCTTCCCAAAAACTTCTGATCATATCATAACCTACCATCAACGAGCCAGGTAGATCCTTCGATCGATTCGCCCTAGAAAGCCAGATGTCTCTGATCTGTTCATTCCTGGCAAGAGGAAAATACTGCAAAGTGAAGCTACGTTCTCCAATAGACTGTTGAATATGAACGGATCCTCCCACTCTCTCTTCAGCCTCACAGAAATGTATTTCAAAGTGGGTATCTCTTTTCGACCATACGATCGCCAGACCTCGCGTATGTCCTGAGAGCTCTGAAGACCTTCTCCACAAGTTTCCAACTCGACCTGGACTATTTGATATCTGCCAGACACGCGAGGACACTACCCAGTCTGGTGGAACAAGAACATCGCTGATTACAGACTGCCCGTTTTCCCGCAGCACGTCAGAACACCAAAAAAGAAGTCCCTATGAGCATTAGCAGAGGTATAAGATGTTTTGTATCATTTTTGTATGATTCATTGACCACTAAAGTATGCCTTTGGAATATGTGGACAATGAAATGTTCGTATGTTGGCTAACTGAAAACATAGGCCATCTACGAGCATGGCAGAGGATATGAATCAGTGCCTGCATACCTTTCGTTCAAAGCTAGTCTGGGAAGACCATAGATTGCATTCGACGTCCGATGCATCAGGATCAAAATTCATAGTATGAAACCATGACGTAAAATTGATGGGAGTACGAATGGGACGAGAGGACATGGTCGCTTCAGGATGATTTATAGCTAAGATCCCAATATCATCAAACTCGAAATGAGCATGCCTAACCATTTTCAAGGGTGATAACCTGGTCGCGCCGTTGAAATGCGAAGTCTCGACCCTGGTAAGATAATCGCGACCAAGCAGTCTGGAAAACTGAACATAAAAATCCTCTTGAAGATCAATAATACTATGCTGTCGAGCACAGAAGAGCGTGTTGACAAGTGGCATGAAATTAGAAATCTGCTGCATCACTACTAGGCTGTCGTGCAAGCCGGAGTTTTCTAAATGGTTGGCGATTCCGAGGCGTAGTTCAACTGGAAAATAGTGCATTGCACCGAATATGTCAGCGATAGATTTGTTTATGCGCACATAGAGGCTGCGTAACAGGGCAAAGTGATTTTCGAGCATGGCGTCCGCAAGGATAGAAAGCCTCCGGGGTTGAATCTGACTAGGTGTCCATAATGGCCGCGTAGATTGTGCGATAAGCCAAGCACCGGTCATTAAGTCAATGCCGTTATTCATCTGATTAAGTATGTGCAAGTAAACCGAGAAGCAATCATCATGGACTAAGAAGGCCTCTCGTTCAAAAACATGTCGATATGGCCATGTCGATTTTGAGACGAAAAGATTGACAACATATTGTTTCGCATCCTGATTTTGTTGATCACACAGTCGTGTAAAACGTTCCAACGTATAGTTACCAGAGCTCGGAATCTGCGTGATAATGCCTGTCGACGTCCCCTGCTCCGTAGATTGTAGCAGAAACTCGGCGCCAGTCACGCCGTGGCACTCTGTGCCTGAGCCGCACAGAGCTCGTGCAAGATGCCCTGTGGACACATGAGCTCGGCGGCAAAATGTCGCGCGGTTGATGTCACGGACCGGTTGTCCTTTTGCTCCAGGTCAAACACAATGGACATCTAGTTCTCTGCAGCACGTATGAGGGCGGAAGTTCACTTTCAGGCCGGCAAAGATCCTTTAAAAAAACATGCACCATCACATCAATCGAAACTCGTGCATGTAAGGAAGCGGTGGATTCTTGATACAAAGGCAGCAATATGTTTGTTAGCTTATAATGGAGATCGGAGTGCATTCCCTCTTTTGTAGCCATGAGTCCATTTAGTCAGAGAATGGTAGTCTCTCTAATATTCGCGCTAAAATCCGGTACCGGCAGGAAATTCGAAGACAAATTTGGACAACGAGTGTGAAACGTTTTTTATATTCAGGTGTCAACACGGCCTCTTGTGCATCCTCGAATAGATCTATCGACCAAGATGGGACGCTCAAAGCGAGATGTACTCGCCACCTTCGACCAGACTCTCAACCCACCTGCGACTTTACCAGACGACCATGCCATCTGTCGAGTGCTTAAAGCTGTGGGCAACAACTTGTTCAATGTCGAGGATGCGACGGGCAAAACATTGTTGGTAGAACTCCCTGCCCAATTCAGGTCCAAGTTTTGGATCAAGCGACGAGGCTATGTTCTTGTAAACCTCGTCGCCTTCTCAGAGCGCGATAACAAGCTCGACGGCGAGATCGTCAACCTCGTTGGCGAGGAGCGCATCTGGAGGAAGATGAACTACTGGCCTAAGGAATTTGAGAAGAAGAATGTTTATAGCGATAGCGATGACGACGACGAGGAAAGGGAAGACTATAATGTCGGCAAAATGCCCTCCAGCAGTGACGAGGACGAGTGTTGAGCCGACCTATTCTACATGTTCGTGCTGCTCATGCTTGACCGCGTCTTGCTCTTCGGTGCGCGTTCCCCACCACAACATTGCCAGACTAAGAGCAAGAGATCCGACGACGACACCGGAAGAAGCATTCGTGCTCGGATACACGTTCCACGCCCACTCCTGCGCCCCCCACAAGACGTATATCGACACCGGGTGCAATCCACTACGCCATAGCATGAACGGTGTCGACCATGCTACCAGAGAGTAGAATTGATAGTGAAGAGAGCGAGCGCACAGCAATCCAATGGCAGTTGATGTTAGAATAGTTGTCAGTATGTAGTCTGGTGTGACTCTGTCGGATATGGCTTCGGCAACGCGCCAGTCCGCCATTTCAGACATGAAGAACTGAATCGTCTCCGGTAAAGACTTCTTTGATGGCTTGACCCAGCGTGTCCACGCAAAGAGTAGTAGGAGGGCTGCATGTGCTGCCAGTAAGCTGATAGAGAACGATCTAGACAGGAAGATGTCCTCTGGGACGAAGCGCCAATTCACTGTCCATTTGTAGAGAAACTGACGGCCAAAGTCGAATGCACGGTAGACATATGCACGCCAATGGGTTCGCACAAATTCATATGCGAACAGACCCTGAACTTGTTTAGTGAGAGCCTTTTCATTATGTTGAAGCAACTTGGCTTACCTGTGTTTGCGCAACCAAAAGCGCCATTGTGATCGAACGCTCAAGCTCGATGGCCTGAAGCAAGACAAAGGATACACCGGGGATGGACAGAAGAATGCTCATTTTGACGCCAACACCGCAGCTGAGGTAGGTTGTTCCCAGGACCCATTGCTTCTTTTGATACGCATAAATCGTGAGCCATAGAAAGAGAACGGCGAAGCAGTCATTGAACAGCCGCAACATGTATATGCTGTGCAAGCGCTTGGATAGCACCAGCAATGGAAACACGTAAGGCGGAACCTGCACCAAGAATGTCAGCAACATCCCTTGTGGCAAGAGATGAATGAAGGCGAACCTTGGCACGACGATAGCAAGCCATAACGACAGCCAGGGTAGCAAGATAGACCAGCGCGAATAGAACCTGTCCAACTACGATGTTCTGACCTCGATTTGTCAATGCATGTAGGATCCTGTATATGTACACGTGCAAGCCTGGGTACACGAGCGGCCCCGTGTCACCCTCGATTTTGTAGTAATTCTTTTCGCCTTTCACGTAGGCGTCAATCTGCTGCATATATGTGACCCAATCAATCTCCGTGTCTTTCCCATGTTAGCGTGATGCACTCGCAGATGACCTTTGTCGTTCAGCGCTTACATGGAATTTTCCATATGATCGCTAGACACAACACTGCATCGCCAGCGATGAGTAGAGGCGAGACCCATCTCGTCTGTTTCGGATCCTTCGCTATCAAGAACAGACTTTTTATCGATTCCATAATTTTCGATAAATGGAAAATACGATGTTGTTGGACGTGGACGTGGACGAGGTATTATAGTTTCTGCGATGTGCCCCTTGTGAGGCGGTTGTAAACCTGTCAACTTCGTAGTGTGTTTCATCCAGGTTGCAAACATCGAAACACCAGTAAGGGTGGCACTACCATTGCTTCTGATATGATTCAAAATTCGATAATCGAATCCTACAGCACGTCTTGCCTACGTAACTCTAATCATTCACGTTATTTCGGTCATTTTGAGTTACCGCTTCCTCATCCTCGACTCTGAGCCAACTCCACACAATGCTAGACGAACTTGCCCGCGGCATCAGCGCAGTTGGCTAACTTTTGAACAAAATTGCATCCTCCTGAAAATTCATCTTTTAATCTCCGTTACATTGTACATCTGCCATCTATCTTCAGATGCGCAATGGGAAAAAGTGAGACTCTTCGCAGCGATATAAAATAGGGTGACCAAATCTTTATCGAGGAATTTGAGAACCCATTCTTAGAAAAGCTACTCGAGTGTACGGAATTATGGTTTTGAAAATGCCGTCCCGTGATAGCTTCTTGCAGCGCTTAATTTCAACGTCTATTTATGCACTCTGTGCTACAACCCCGCGGCAGCATATTTCTACGGAACACAGCTAAATGACCCAGGTCCGGAGAGTCACCTAGGCCCTTCGCGAAAAGTACAGTGCTACAGAGTTACCAGGAAACACAAACTGGGAATGACTAAGCAATTGAGTCTTGAATGCAATACATTAAGGATGGACAAGTTGAGTCATGAAGTGTTGTTTAGTTGAACTGAATCTAAAGTCTAGGCTGTTGTTTTTTTCTGTATATTTACTAGTATCTTGACCTGGGCGCTTTAGAACAAGTTTGAGAATTTGCTAAGGAGACGCATAGTATCGCGTTCGTAGTCAGTTCAAGGTAGAACTCCAAAAGTGTAAATTTTGCAGAATAAACAGAGACCTCGACTTGTACACGCAGAACCAACCAAGAATTTTGGTGGACATGCAGGCAAGCTGATCGATCATGACTTAGTGACTAGCTTCAGGGAAACAATACGTCAAGTTCCAAAGGAAGGATTGTGAATTGTAACTGACTTAGAATACAGAATTGAAATTCTTTAGTGCAATCCAGCCTTGCTATTGAAGTGCTCAGATCCACAGACCTTAAGTAATATATGACCTTTTGACAGACTTGCCAATACGGGACTCTTCAATGGGAAATACCAGGTTGTCGAGACTCTTTGTGGACAGCCGTGAGTCAAACATATGCCGATCCTGATTCTCTTTGGACAGAGCCCAGTTCATCAGCGCTGCTTTTTCTGCCCCTCGTCCCTTCCGAGTACAATCTCATCTCTTTCCCACAGATAGGATAGAGCAGTGCCCATGGGACCTAAGACGCAAATTCTGGTAAGCAGACCAAACATATCGCCTACCGAGAAGCCACTGGGTTCGACTCTTGCATTGAACCTTGCACTTAAGCTGAAGACCAGATAGGAAATGGATGATATGATGTAGTCCCATTGGAGAAAGTTGAGCGCGCCTTGGGCCAAGGAAGTAACAGTTGTGGCAGCATACGCAAAAGGATTTGCAGGGACAAGAGCAGACAGTGGGTGGAATTCGGCTGCTACAGAAGGATTATAAATATGTGGCAGTACAAGTGCCGTGAGAGATAGAGCCCAAATTGCGGCGTGACCTGGCACGGCAAAAGCGAGGCCAAATTTATAGACATTGCGAAGTCTCTGCAATTGATCTTGCTTGCTCATTGTCGAGTTAGGAGGGGATCCAGAAAATAGTTTCCAGAGCCTTAGAAGCAAGATCACGTAGAGGGGCACAGGCTGCCAGAGAGCGAGGGCCCTAACCTTTGTGTCAATGGAGATCACGGATGGACTTGGAAGGTTCATAAAAATGGTTGGCGGAAGAAAGCCTAGTGTAAAAGCGAGCGGAATACCAGAGAGAATGGCAGGATCAATGGCCAGGTTAGAGGGAGCTGGTGTAGCCACCGTTGGTGATGTGATGACGTATAGCAAAAGATATGCTGGTGCGATGAGAGCGAGTCCGCCAGCTTGGAAGAGCAACCCATACACGGAGATGCTGAGATGGAGGGTTAGCAATCTAATCATGGGGTCGCGTAGAGGGCAGAGGCAGCATACAAAGATACCAGTTTGCCTTTGTTGCCATTTCTGTATCCCTCGAGCAGCCAAATCATAAAGAACGCGAACCCTTGGACTGCGAATAAGGAACTTTGCAGGCTTAAGCCAGGGGCCGAGCCGTCTGTACATGGCGAGAAAAACTGCACCAAGGTAGCAAGGAAGTCATCAACAGCCTCGGCACCTGTGATTTTTGGGTTATACAACGTTCCGTCAGAAAGCACGCCTTTTGCTTTGTGCTGTTCAATCAACTCATAGTAGCCTGTGGAGATGGAAAGGCCGTGAATAGTGGCTCCACCTACCAATAGGAGAGCAAACAGAGTAAACTTCGTAAGAGCAGACATGGCTTGCGAACAAAATCTTTAGCTCAAGAAAATCCGGAATGAGGTGGGAATGTGCTGTTGATGACAACGATTATAACGAGATGATAATGAGACGGATTGCAGGCGTCCATCATCACAACCTTTTACCAAGGCGTGCTGATTCGTATCGACTCGGCTGACATGTTGCTCCGCAACACGAGACGATTCCTTGCTGCTGATCGCGTGAACTTAATAGGCTACAGGTTGACGTACATTCTCGGTACATGCAGGGAGTCTACAAGTACCTGTGGACCGAACTGCACCGCGGCTGTTTGAACGGCGGCTGGCTTTCGGGCGTATCTTTACTCAGCCAGTATTGGTATAACTGTCTTGCTGAAATCGTCATGGCTTTGCTTTGGCATGCGATGACGGGATTTCGCTGTCCTGCGTGCACTTCCAGCACAGAGCGCAGACAAGGCGGCCCCGATGCCGGTCGCAAGTTCTCGTGGCTTCTACGGGATCGCAAACTTTCCAAACATGAACCGATAAAGGACGGCACAGACGTCAAGGCCAGCCCAATTTTGCACGATGAAAGCTATATTCGCTGTAAATGAAAATTACGCACCTTGGTTTTCCTTCCCTACGTAGTAACTAGCATTTGATCTGCTCCGTCTACGTAGCGCCATCGCCCGATCACCTCTCCTACTCGATCATTCTCCGCAGGAGTACCCTCCGTCATCATGTTCGGTGTAATCGTATCTGGTCGACCGGTTCTCACAGCATTTGAAAAGATCTCGGACACGCAGATCAAATTCTCGATTCCTTCACATCCGCCTTTCAACCACCTCGTCGTTTTTACCTTGCCCGGCGCATCTCTACCAGTAGACGCCGCGGCTGCTTGCTATCTGCAAATTGCTCCAAGTGCAGACTTCAAGCTTCTTGGCGCGTTGAGCAATGACAAACAAAGCGCAATCTTCAAGATCAGGAACACGGCCGTAGGCACAGCAATGCATGGCATTGGAGTTGTGGACGAAGACGTGATGACCGATGGAGGAGCTCCAGGCTCAAATGATGCTATCACATTAGGCATATCGCTTGAACCGATAGCACAGGTCGAGGCGAATCTAGCTGCCGCAAAAGCTGCTCAGGGAGGCACCACAACAGGGCAAGAGCTTGTGAGAGCTGGAACGCCAATCGCTGCCCCCAGGCAAACGATCAACACAAAATTGTTGGCTCAACGAATCATACAAAATGCCTTTAACTTCCTTTCGAGCTTCTCAAGCGGAGGAAGCAATGATGCGGTGCCACTTAAGAGCTTTGAGGAGTGGTGGAAGAAATTTGAGAAGAAAATAGACTTGGACCCAGGCTTCTTGGAGCGCGAGACAGGATGAGGCTGTGACGCTCAATTGTTGCTTGACACTTTGGGAACAGCTCCCCAAGGTCGTAACTTTCTTCCTTTTGCCGATCAATTACGAACAAGTGCTGTTTTAAAGTCTACCTAAACATCGGGGGCAAAACCTCGTTCAAGGTAATGCCTAGGTGGAATGCAAGTGTCGACTCCAGCACCCCCTCTGTGTGCAGGATACTCCCTGACACAACCTCATCTCGATGATACTGAATTTTAAACCCCCCAAAATCTCAGTGCAGATCATAACGGCCCCTATCTGACTGATCAAGGCGACACTGCGCTGCCCAAAGCCTATATAGCAACACAGCAGCTGCTAGGTTACCCATCCATTTCGTACTCAGAAAACAAACGTACCCAGGACTGCGATCCTGTTTCATCGGCTAGTTCGTTTTGAGAATGATGTGCACTTCTGCAATATGCATGGACTAGCCTTTCGGGAGCGAACATGTACAAAAAGCCTGATCTGAGAAAACGTCAGTACGGCTCCAGATTGACTGTTGTAATCCACTCACAGTGACCATGCGATATGGTCAACTACAGTTCTGTGGAGCCGGCCTTCGTGTACTTCCTAGCTATGTTCACTGCTGGGAAATCATTTACATAGCTGCCCATTCGAATGTAAAAGCTCTCACATCGTCTTTGGCTCTTGCGCCTCCAATCATGTAGCCTTTCTTGACTCCCGTCCCCAGCCGCCCCCCACCAACAATGTCTAGTAAATCTATTTCTTCGTCCCATTCATAGCTGGTAACCAGAAAATGACTGTGATATCGAAGTGGATCTCCAGGATAAGCGACATACTGACATCCAAATCGCAAGCCTGGTCCCATGAAATATCCTTTCTCATGCAGGTGGGCAAACAAGGGGTACGATGAAGGGACTTTTGGCAGGTCTGGAATGGGTGACGCATGTAATGGTGGATAGGATGTTGTCGGTGTGAGCCGCAGGGGTTCGATCTTAGAGCTCTGTATAGCTTCCATGCTAGACCCAGCTCGTTTCAAGTGCGCCTGTTTTTTTTGAAGCGACTGCTGCCGCTGCATCTGAGCACCTTCGAGTCCTTCGCGCTCAAGTTCTGCAATGAAAGCTTTCTTTTCTTCTGGATTCAAATTGGCCAAATTACTCGCATGTCCCGCAACATCATCGGCAATAAAAGCATGGCCTTTTTCAACCAACAGCCTGGCCTCTTCAGGCATCAGCTCTAGAGGAATTCCGCTGAAAACCGTCTGCTGCGTAGCTTGTGGGATGTTGCCAATGAGAACTCCGCAGATGTGGTGTTTGGACCTCATGTGTGTGACTGTGCTGACATCAAATACGAAATAGCGAGAGGAAATCTCAGAGATCAAAAACGGCTCCGATACTGAGACTTGGACCATTTTGCACGACGTACGCTGTCTACACACATAGATAAAAAATTCAAATGCCATTCCGGTGTGTGACGATTTGTTGCGACCGGACTAGCTCCGTACGCGTACACTTCAGCATGCTCAAAGCACAACGTGGTAGTTCTACTTGGCACATCTGTAAATCAGAGCGATGTCTTAAGTTAGAAATAGGATTTCGATTGCGTCAACATGGCCTCCCCTTGTACGAATATTTCCCCAGATGCCTTGTAAACTATACAATCTGTGCAGCGCGTTGAATGATTCTGTGCCTATATTTGCTTATCAAATCTCCTCAATCAGGACCTGAAGCTTCTCATAGAACTATCTCGTCGTCACCATCCTCACTAGTCTTCAAGTTCACTTGACTTGCATTTTTATCATTTCTAAACGATTTTCAAAGGCGATTTTGAATTTTAATGTGCAATCGGGCAATAAATCAGGCTTTAGATTTGAACCTTTGCTTTCTCTGAATTCCTATATTCCCATTCCTCGCCGTCAAATGAAACAACGAGTTACGTTTAGCTTCGAGCGCTGGAATGTTTTCCCCGGACGTAATGGGTCAAAGGCTGCTAAGACTAGACTGTAAAGACCATTCCAAAGTTTGGAGCGAACATGATTAGGTTATTATGCAGTTTAATGCCGATCGCGCTCATATCGACCTGATTATTCGTTAAAGCCTCGCATTTTCGAGCTGCTTGCTGGTAACACAACCTTTGACAACGCAAAGAAGAAGGGCAGTTTTCCTAATGAGAGCTCTTAGTCATGGTGAGCAGCCCGACAGAGTAGGAAGACGAGAATTTTCGGTGCCGAGATGAGGCTCCTTCAAGGCAATGGCAAGCATGATTGTTCAAAGCGTCTGATGTGCGAAATGTCCAATTACATGCGCAGAAATTCTCCACTTCCAATTCCTGTCTCAACCCATTTTTCCCGACATATCTCCTTGCATGGGATTTTGGGCATATACTCTGATGTCGGCTATTACCGGATGTGGAAGTTCCAGCAGCTCTTCACACTAGGTACTATCCGGGGTCTGCGTTGAGAGGATCCACCGTTATCAACCTGTTCCCGTACTGCTCTTTGCTGGTCAGTAACGCAACCAGCGATAATAACAAGGATAAGATACAAACGCTTTATCTTTCCAACGGCTTTGTTCTGCATTATGTCGATCCCTGCATGTTGTGCCGTTCCGAGGGGACTAAGGGACTTGCTTCCTGCTTAGGTGATAGATAGCGAGACTTCTTGCTTTGTCGTAAAATATACAAGAGCTGCGAAAGGATCTGGCTACGCAACCTGAAAAGAATCTGTTCATTTCGAGATTTTCGTATTCGTGTTCCAATCTATTGCGCTACCAGAACAATGAGTTCACAGCTCACGTCTATTCCTGGCACAGTCCACCTTGTGGATCTTGAAGGTACAATGCATGTTCGCCACGCTGAGGGAGGGCAAAGAGACATTGTACTTGTTCCATCACCCAGCAGCGACCCAGAAGACCCGTTGAATTGTAAGTTTTGCGTGGCAATGTCTCGCATCACTGCTCCATGTTGATACCTGTCTTAGGGTCACCTCGTCGAAAAACACTATCCACGACATGTATGTGCATCTACACGCTCATGGTCGGAATCGCGTCCGCAGCTATATATTCCGTCCTTGAGCCTATTTCAGAAGCAACAGGCCTAACTCTGGGAGATCTGAATGCGGGCACGGGTTACATGTTCCTCTTCTTCGGCTGGGGTTGCTTGATTTGGCAGCCTCTTGCCCTTCAATATGGCAAACGACCAGTGTACCTGATCTCCATTTTAGCGACCATGGCAATTCAAGTGTGGGCGCCATACACCAAAACAAATGGACAATGGATCGCGAACAAGATCCTGCAGGGTTTCTTTGGTGCGCCAATCGAAAGTCTATGTGAGATCAGCGTGACGGATATTTACTTCACTCACGAGAGAGGTCGGTATATTGGATTGTACGCACTCCTTCTGGCAGGGAGCAATTTTTTTGCGCCCATCATCGCAGGCTTTATAGCAGACAGCCAGGGTTGGGAGTGGGTTCTGTTTTGGTGCGCCATCTTCTGTGGAATTGGATTTGTTTTCTTGTTTTTCTTCATGGAAGAGACAAATTTCCCCCGCGGGTCAGTGTTGCGTGAAGAAGAGAGCGGCACGCTATCGCCTATCGAAGTTGCCGAAACACCTACTTCAAGCAACGAGAAAAAGGGAGGCATAGATTCCAGTGCCGACAATATATCGCCCGTCGAACTGGAGACTGGGCAGACTGTGTTGTCTGAGCGACCAAGGACATACCTGGACAAGATCAAATTAATTCATTCTCGTGACTTAAAGAAGGAGAATCATATTCTGGGAATGATGTGGCGGCCGCTAGTCTTCCTCACATTTCCAGTTATTTTCTACGCCGGTTTCTCCTATGGCAGCAACTTGGTTTGGTTCAACGTTCTAAATGCCACAGCATCGCTAATCCTTGCTAATCCGCCATATAATTTCAAAGCCTCAATGGTCGGACTTTCTTACTTATCTCCTTTGATCGGTGTTGCTATAGGTTCCTTCTATACGGGAGTCCTTGGCGACAAGTTTATTTTAAAGCTTGCTAGAAGGAGATCTGGCATTTTGGAATCAGAATATAGGCTTTGGCTCTTTGCTCCAAGCCTGCTACTTATTCCGGGTGGTTTGATCTTGTGGGGCGTTGGAGCTGCCCACAGCATCCACTGGTTTGGAGTTGTCTTCGCGATGGGCATCATCGCTCTTACAAATACAATTGGACTACAGCTAAGCGTAGACTACTGTATCAATTCTTACAAAGACTTGAGTGGAGAAGCCATGGTAACGGTTATTCTCGTGCGCAACACGATGAGTTTTGCGATAGGATACGGCATTACTCCATGGGTCGACGATATGGGTCTGCAGAATGCATTCATCACTGCCGCGTTTGTGGGTCTTGCCCAGTGTTTGACATTTTTGATCATGATTAAATACGGCAAAACTCTACGCAAGATAAGCATGGTTAGATACCAAAAGTATGTTGAGCAAATGGCTGCGGTAGGAATGATTCACTAGCTGCAACCGACGTAGACGCATTCGGATGGCGAGTCACTTTTTCGCTGACAAGGGAATGGACGCGTCTATACCGCTGAGGAGATGAAAACCATGAAAAAGATGATGAAATAATATATCTGGTAGCCAGGAAAAGATATGAAATTTTCATGACTCGCTATTCTTGAGCATCAAAGCTCTACTGAAGGTTTATTTAAGGGAGGCCTGCTTGGTTGTTGCATACAATTGAGGTATGCTCTGGGACATGCGAATCAACTCCAGCCTAAATTCTGGCCTGGTCAATCATAGAGAGGTTGTAAGCCTCAGTGCAACAATCTATTGTGCTTTGATTCCTTTTCACTCCGTGTCTAGTTTCTATGAACAAGACAAATCTCAAGTATTGCAGTTTAAGACTCGAAACAATTGCGTAAATTGACTGACTTAAGTTATCAGTCTTCAGATTAATTATTCGACGTCTGTTGAAAATCATGATGTGAAACATGCTGGTTCAGGTACACTGAAACTCGGTGCATATTGATTCTTGAAGGTCCTGCACACAGCTCTGGCTAGATGATTTGCTGCTAAGAGTCAAATCTACTTATGGCTCTGTCATGCTTGACATGAAATTCATGAGAATAAAATCTGAGGCTTAAAAACCATTCCAGCTAAACAAGGTCTGGGATTCTGCCTACAACCACGGTCTATTGCACATAGGAAATAAATTCAGAAGCTGTAGTGGCTGATCATTGAATGATGACGCAATGGCATCGAACATACAGAGATATTAACATAGATTCACACTTCATATTGGCTGGCTTGAAGACACGAGTTGAGATGCCGCAATAAGCTTAAAAGGATACTTATGTAAAAATACGCTTCTAGTATCCAAACCGACATGCAAAAATGCGTCTCTATCAATCAAGAAGCGCCAAAGCCTAAAAGCTAAATTTCCATTTTTACGATATAAACCTGGTTGTTACATAAAATTTTCTAACACATTTCTATGAAATATCTGCTCAAATGCCCTATGAGGTTTCCCACACGGGCAGATCACTAGAGCACGCATTAATTCTGCGTCTTATAGCTATCTTGAATGAACTAGGCACATATTGCACATACACTCACATAAAGCTCTCTGTCAGCGCTCCTAAACAACTATAGCCTTCTTCGAATTTCTGGACATCGGCCGAGACCTGAAGATCAAAAGAAGTTGATGTTGGTTATCCCAACAATCACCATGAGCATGAAAAGAACAAGATTCACTTACGTCTTTTCTGGACCTTAACGTAGTCGAATATTTGCGTATGAAAGTGACAACATGAACAAGATATGGATAAGTGGAAATGTCCAAGTGCATCCCATTGCCTTATTTTACGCTTTCCAATAGTAAAAGTTTCTCGTTAAGATGATCGTGAGGCATATTCTCTCATGCCTGTCAGATTGTAAAACTTTTACATGTTTCTAAGCACTAACATTGTCGCGCTCAAGGCGTTCAAAAACATACTGCGTGAAAGTCGGCGATGGACAAGAGACGATATATTCAGAAACGAGATCTAATTTAGACCATGGAATAATTTCACAAATTCTGAGATCCCTTGCAAAAATATGCATTCCTCCTTCTCTCTACTACAGCCTTAGCTAAGGGTACAAATTCATATAATGGTAAAGGGCATCCATAAATCTGTATTTCTCTTCAGAAAATTTTACCCGTTTGAAAGAAATGTAAATTATGAGACTAATTTAGTACTGCATTACAAGTTTAGAGAAAATGAGAGAAATTAGCATGTAAACTTCTTATTTTGTCCCGTGGTCATATGAGCGAATGAGAAAATAACGTTCCTCTGGAAAGTATATACCATCCAGAATACATCAGAAATGCTGCTTCCATAACAAAATTGCTTTCGTAAATTCATAAAATGATTTTCCTAAACAGTAATACAACATAATTTTTAGTATTTAGCCCACTTAATGCATTTCG